CCAAATTCTCTCTGTTTGAAGCCTTTTCACAGTTTGTTAGCAATCGAAAAGTTGTTTTCCAAGATCTAAAAATTTAAATTCAAGAATTCAAGATCTAATTTATCTAAGTTATTTGCGTCTATGATTACCTGATTTGCTTCTATTCGCCCCCTGAATAAAGCATATATACTGAAGCTGAAGCTAAAAAACTTTAAACTAATTTAGCTTGAACTAAAGCTAATTTAGCTTGATCTGAACTAATTTAGCCAAATGTAACCTAATTTAGACAACAATTAGCGATCAAAAAACAATTTCTTATCCATAAAACTTTATTACAACAAAACAATAAATAATCAAAGAAATAATCAAATCATTTCCTGATTCACCAAAACATTGCTTTGAAACGTTGTCAAAGTTTTCTTGCAGTTTCCTCGTTCTCATCTAATGGCACCTTGGTGATCGGTTTTTTGTATTTTGCCTGGAAAATTTTGATTTAGAAATTTCTCAAGTTATAAACCTCAAGATATTCTATGGAGAACCGTAGTAAAAATTGCCGGTGAACGTATACCATGGGTACTCCTTGCGTGGATCGAAGAGTTTTAGCTGAAAAATTTGAATTACTTTTAGATCAACTGATGCCTTAATTACGTTAGTTTTCTGTTAAGAAGTGCTGTAGCTATGGTTAGATTATGGTTCTTTAAAAAGATGCCTTTTAGGAGTGCATTACTTCTAGTAACTAGAGATACAGTAATCTCTGGCTACAGTTTCTCTGTATAAACCTGGGCTTTTCTCTCCTTCGACAACTCCACCAATCCCTCCGCATTCTCGTTCATTTGCCCAGTCGGCTTTTGATTACTATTGATCCGTTGTAGTACCTAGAGATACAGACATCAATTACATTTCCTGCTCCATCAATGAATAAGTGAGACTACAAACTGGGTATATTGTTGATTAGATAAAATACAGTAATCTTAAGTGTGTATTGGTTTTCCTCACCTGTACCAATCAATCACCTGTACCAATCATTCTAGACGTTTATTTCAACTTTAAACACTTACTTCTTGATCCATTTGTAGAATTTAACCAAAGAGTTTGTCCAATTACTCAATAAAACTGAATAGATAAGCCAAAAATATTTTCGAAAGTGACTCTTCACCTTGCTTTCCCTCTGATAAGCCAAAGGGATATCCATAAAATTTTTCTTGCGTAAGAGTTTTTTGAATGATGAGGAAGAAAAAAAGAGCAGTTGTCATGAAATTTCGCAATCGAGCACTATGACAGTGCTGAGATGTGCTACTGCAAGAATCGGCTGTTTTTGAAACGTTAAAACAAAGAAACGTTAATATTTCTCCATACACATTGTTAGTTTGAAATTCTCTGCTCGATTGATGTTTTAGATTTGCAACTTTTCAACTCTAGCTATTCCGAAATTCCTTGATTTACTCTTAAGATATGCTTAATGATAACCTCAAATTTGGGTAATTAAACAAAAAATGAACAGCTTCTGTTGTTTCTGCTGCCAAAAATGAGTAACTGTGATCAATTCTGGAAAAGACTATTTGAGAAATCAATAAAATTTTTCTTGCGTAAAATTTTTTTGAATCATAAGGAAGAGAGAAAAAGCCGTTGTCATGAAATTTCCCAATCGAGCACCATGAAAGTGCTGAGATGTTCCACTGGAAGAACTATTTGAAAAGCTGAGTCTTAAAGAAGAGATTTTCAACTTTAAATTGTTTAGTCAAAAAATCCTATCAAACTGATGCAAAAAATCTTTCGATTTTATGCAAACAAGTAAAACCCACTAAAGCATTTATTCAGAAGCCGACAAAATTTAATTTTAGCATCTCGTTTACTTTGGTTGAATCTAGTCATTGTTGCTCGCCTCTGGCATCTCTTGAGTTCTAAGAGGAACAGTAATGTCACGAGCTTTAAAAATGACACGACGCTTGACACTTTCATGACAACGTTCTAAACAAAGCATCAGTTATTGTATAATCTCTGACTCTAGTTTAAGATGAAAAACTCACACTTCAACCGTCATCGTCGGGGCGGTGCCGATCGATGGCACAGATTGCATAGAGGCAGTCTTGTTTACGCGAGCTAAAGTTAAAACATTAACAAAATTGATGATTGCATGAAGCCTATTTAAATTTACAGTTAAAATTTAAACCACTCACGTGCACCACTTCCTTTCGCCACCGTGCTCTTCTTTGTCTGCGTCCTGTTGCTCGGTTGCGTCGGCTCATCTTCTAAAGCAGAGAAATGAAGTTGCTGTTTGAAAACAATGCTTAAATTAGTTCTAAAACTTACACCCGAGTTGTATCTGTCTATCCAAATAAAAAAACAAAAATTTGCGGTCAAGTGTCGCTAGAGGTCATTCATGATAGTTTGTAGTGAGTTTTGTCCAAGGCTCTCTAGTCCCTAGTCACTCCAATGGTCAAGGTAACCCTCTAGCTCCGGACCAACGTGCCATTGTAGGAAGACCTTCCTTTTATTGACCCCCTCTAGAGCCGTGTGCCAAAAAGAGCGCGATTGTGTAAGCGCACAGAAAACGCTGAGGAAAGAAGCGGTACATGTGGATCTTTTCGCATTTGCCATTTTGATCAATTTCAAATGCAATGAATGATTGACAAAAAGTAAGATCAAAATATGGTTAACTTGCATTTCATTAAAATTACAGAAAATTTTTGTAAAAACTAGAACAGAAAGACTTTTTTGAAGATAGTTACCGTTAAATATTAAAGCGATTAAAAACCAATTTCTTATCCATAAAACTTTATTACAACAAAACAATAAATAATCAAAGAAATATGTAAAGGTTTTAAAAAGAATTGCACATGTTAAACCGTTTGAGCGTCATTCTCAATCAAGATCATCTGAAAGGTTGAATTTATTAAATTCTTTTTTGTATTTCGTTCATTTCATTAATTCATTTCATTATTAAAACCTCTATAAGCGGTTCTCAAAAACCTTGAATACTCATTTCTCTGACATTTCTCATCGTTTCCTCCATTTGTGTCTCCATATCAGCTGTTGCTTGCGCGAATCTCTTCAACGATTCCACTAAATGTTCCACTTTTACCTCAACATCCGTAGCTTTCAATGTTCCTTGCATCATGATCATCTGAAAGGTCATCAAAGTGTTTGCTTGTGCAAATAGAATATTTATGTCTATCGAAATTCGTGATAACTTTTGTTGGATTTAGGGATTTGTCTACTTTGTATCTACACCAAATGCATGGGTAAGTTGATGCATTGAACAAACCAAATGACGATGCCAGAAAGTTGAGATCACCTCCCAAAAAGCTATGTCTGTTGAGTGGTGCGAGCTTGTCGACAATATTACTATATTTTAGCAGATTTTGATGGTCGTCTCCTCCTTTCCAAACAGCAAGAATCAAGTGGTTAAAACACGATTGAGGATTGTGTTTCTTGTCTGGAAGCATAAGTCTTAACTTTGTACCATTAAGTCCCTTATCGTCCATTATAATCGGTCAGCTGACTCAATCGATGTTTTACTGCTGCAAATAGATCTTTCAATACAATAGCGTTCCCTGGTACATTAATTCAACCATTTTCACAGTCGAAGAAGCAAATGGACGACACTGTCATCAAAATCAAGCAAATTTGAAAAGAGGCTTTTGAAATGTAATCAGATTTTTTATGAATTCCTAAAAGCATCCAAAAGTATTGTTACTGATTGTTGACTAGTGTTGCAGAGTTTGCAATTACTGATCTCATTTGTCTTATTTCACGTATAGCGCAGTCGAATCTATTTGGTAAGTGATTTGCAACATTTCATTTAGTTTCGAAAACAGTGGACCGAGCTGCACACAGTTCTCTTCATCACAATTTGCTCAACAGGTTTCACTTTCAAGCAGCTTTCCAAAAATTATTAAAAAACAAACAAAAACAAGAAAAACAAAAAAATAATCCAAATATTGGTTTAAGTGCTCAGAAAGTTTTGATACACTACACGGAAGTGAATATTCGGTGTTTGTTTATGTTGCTCCATAGCCAGGGTCCAACATTTTCAAACGTTTTTTTTTTCCAAATCTATCAACAAAACTTGTAAAGAATCATCAAAGGAATGACGAGAAAAATAGCTTTGAAAAATTGATGTATGAAATCGAAGATATTCAGCCAACAGACTGAATATTCACAAATAAAAATGAAATTTGATTAAATTTTTCCAAAACACTAACTAAACATGGTAAGTTTCCCAAAAAAAGATTCTCAATTTTTACTCGCAAACGTTCTTGTTTGGTAGGCCATAAACTTTCTCAAGAAAAATCTCCCTTTTATCACAAAGCTTAGAAGACGGGACTCTCATTTCGGCCGTAAAACGGCTTCTTATCTGCCTCACGAACATAACATTTTCTCGAAAAAAAATATGAGGAACACTTTAACCTTTTCATGTCCATTTTCACTAGCATTGTTTCAATTTTAAGATTTCTTTCTTACTGTGTAGGTTTAACATTGCTTAGCAATCTGTTACCTGTTGCTAAATTTACAAACTCTGAACATGCCTTTGGACGTTGGACGTTGGACGTTGGACGTTGGACGTTGGATGTTTTATGAGTCTACGCTTTTATGTCTGAGTTTTTGTTTTACAACAGAACATAAGCTTTCAATAACTTTGAATATATTCTTGATTGAATTAAAAAAAGAACTAAAGCTTTTTGCTAAAACCATTGAATGGCTCTAGTCACAACGAAATTTACGATCCACAGCCGTCCGCAATAAACTTTTCTTATCTATCTCACAAATGTCGATCTATCTACAACGTAAACCCATTCGTTCGAAATGCCTTTTTTTATTAGCAATAGAATTGCTCAAATTTCTCTACTTTCTCTCTCTTTTCCTTACAATACTTCTCAATTCCTAGACAAGGTGACAAATGGACGAGGTTGAAGTGCCCGATAACTTAACGTGTTCGATTTGTCTGGAAACTTGTAGGGTTTAATTTAAGTTAAGGATTTTAATGAAAATGTATAGATGACGAAGGAGATCATCGCCCGATGGGCCTGGGTTGTGGGCATTCGGTGTGCCAATTATGCTCTAGGAGAGCCCAAAGGTTTGGCTCAATGATGAAAACATGAATTTCTGATAATTAGCGGATCATGATAATGCCTCATCGCAACATCTGTGAATATATTTTCATTGTTTCAGTTGCCCAAAATGTAGACAGATATTCACTGCCCCGACTGTCAACTATGATTTGCTAGGTAGTTAAAAACTTTCTAAATTAGCCAAGGAGTATTTAGGTGTCCTTGAGCAATACTTGAAGTTGAAGGCGGAGAATGATGCCAATGTAAGAAGAAGATTTGCTATCGTGTATATCGATATTTAGACTCAATTGAGTGCTCAGGCAGTCAATGACTTGCGAAGAATGCAGGAAGAACGCAACAATGCACATTTACTGCTCGTAGAAGCGGAACGAAAGCAACTTCTGGATGAGGTAGCTGAAAAATGAATTACTTGTTGAGTTCTCTTCAGCATTTAGCTTTTGGTAAACTTGAATTCGTTCAATTTTTCTAGTAACAGCAACAATTTTTTCTATTCTAGCAACAGCAACAAATAAAATTATATAACTTAAGTATCTTTCAAGTAATTTCAAGTAAAACAATCGAATTCAGCAAAAGGCTCATGAGGCAAGAGACGTGGAACGCGCCATAGCACAATCGTTGCTCGACGAGGAAAAACGAAAGAATCATGAAAATGAGGTGATTAGAAGAGACTTTCAAAGAGATCAAACTCTTTCGAATTTAAATGCTTTGAGTATTTTCAAGAAAAGTTTAGCGAGAGCTTCTTGGCGCATATAATCTGCATCAAAATCAACAAAGGGACATGGAGGAAAAATTTGTACAACTAGCAATACTCCGGTGAGACTATGCAAATGTTAGAAATATACCGCATTTCCTCTAATAGTATTGCACCGTCTGAATCGTTTAAAATGATTAATAGCTAATGAACCGCTAATTAGAACCCCTTCTCGTGGGGTCCGAGAATGTAGCTGATGTGTAGAACTTTTAAATGAAAAGCATATTGGCCTTCTGGAAAGCCCTGGAAGTCTTCTATTACCATTTGCCGCGTCCAGGATGCAATACTATTCGAGGAAATACGGTACTTGACTTTTGATCTTCAGGTCTCGAGAGGAGAAACTCGTGAACGAGTCCCGTCAAAATGCGGATCTCCAAAAGTCGATCACCGAGTTGGCAGCCGCTCAACTCGGGGTAATGCTTGCAATTAAATTTCGAACATAGCCCTCTATTTACATTAATTCCATTAGTTTTTGTCTTGTTGCTTAACAACTTTTTTAGAAAGCAATAAACTGGAAGACGGTGTTCATTCGTGGTTTGCCGGCCGGGATGAGCGAGGATCAATTCGAGCTCATGTCCCTAGCGATCATCGATGATCTCACCGAGAAAATCACGTGACTTGTTACTGGATTTAAAATTTTCATTGGCTTCAATTCATCATGACATCGACCACCTTTTTTCCGTGTATTAGATTGTCTCATAAACCCAGAGATTTTTGTTTTAATCAGTACTCGCCACAACACAATGTTTTGTATTTATCTTTTTTTTTCTTTTTCATGCTAAAACTTTCTTCTTTCTTGTACTAACATTCATTTTTTAGGAGTCAACACGAGAAGAGGGTTGCAATCGATCGAATGAAGCCAACTCGAGAAGAAATCCACGCCCTACTGCTCTAACGATTTTCAAGAGGGACTTCAGCGGTCAAAGCAGAAATCAATTAATTTTATCGCAATAGAATCGTTGAAACGAGTACTGCACAGGAATGGTTTCATAAATTCAACAAGGGTAACACGAGGATCAAACCGAAGAGGGGAAGCGGCCGACCCCGGGAAATGGATCGATCGATGCTGAGACAACGATTCCTGCGGAGTCCCGATGGATCAACTTGACTGGACTGTGGATTTTTGGCTGGACGTTACTATGGACAAATGACTGTGTGGCGTTGGCTCGGAAGAGTGGGAAGAAATTGGAGAAAACAACGCAAAATCCCATACGAAATCTCAGAAACAGTCCAAGCAACAAGAAAGCGGACATGCCATCACTTGTGGAGCGAATACCGGCATGGTCGGCTTCCTCTTTCGAACATCATCACTCACGATCGAACGTGGATTTTCTATGATGATCAAGTGTTACAACGGCAGTGGTTAAAGAAAGGGCAAGTAGGAAAAACGGTGCCAAAACGGAACATCCACGGAAAGAAGGAAATGCTGTGTGTTTCCCCTTCTGATTATCACTTGTTCTTGTCGCTAAAGGATTTCTTATGTGGTACAAAGATGAGAGCGCACTGGAGAACGAATTGAACATCTATTTTCGCTCGCGCACACTTGGGTTTTACGAACGGACGGATTGTCAAGCTACCCAAACGTTGGAAAATCTATCATTTAATTCTGATTTTTCGTTGTTTCGGTCTTTGTTGTTTTTCGTTGTTTCGACCGAGACAAAATTTTAACACCGATGTTTATCTACGTCATATGCAAAAAGTGGAATAAAAAGTCGGGTTGCTTTATGGAAACAAATGAAACGGCTCCGTTTTCGTTCTTCAGAATGGTGCAAGCTCCAGCAAATCAGAAAGATCGATCGATTTTGTGAAGAACAATTTACACTGGGATATCCTTCCTCGTGCACCGTATTTTTCGGACGTTGCCCCTTCTGATTATCACTTGTTCTTGTCGCTAAAGGATTTCTTATGTGGTGCAAAGATGAGAGCGAACTCGAGAACGGATTGAACGACTATTTTCGCTCGCATCTGCTTGGGTGCTGCTTCTGCTTTTACGAAAAAAACCCAAGCAGGTTTATTAAGAACGAGGGATTGACAAGTTAAAACCCAAACGTTAGAGAAAAGAGAAATTCATCTAGAAAATATATAATTTGATTCTTCGTTGTTTCTATGTGTTGAAAATAAATAAAATTCAAAATCTCTGGGTTTTTTGGGACAACCTAATAGAGTCTAGCCTCTCTCATAAATTAACATTAGTGATTGCGATTTCCGTTGCCATTGCTTTGTAATTGTAGTCCGTTTGTAGTTTTAGAAGCTACGAATGTTATTATTGTCTTTTAGTATCAAAATTCATCAACCGCAAAGCAAAGGAGAGTGTCTGATCACTTTCGAATACGATGAATCGGCTAGCAAGGTTTCTCTATAAACAAAAATCCGACCAATCACCATCGACCAGTTCAGTTCATCGAAATGTACAACAAACAAAAGTTTATGGACACGGAAAAAGTGATGAAGATTGAATATGGAAAGTTCACTGTGAAGAATGACAATTTGAGTAAGAAAAGTTTACAAAAATGAAATAAAATCAATTCAAACTGTGTTCAGCATCATCAAACAATCAGCCACAATCAACCAATGTCCAGGTAATAAGGTGGTTTTGCAAAAGCATTCTTCTGCATGGTTAAATTGCTGCTGCTTTAAAAAAACGTGCATTAAAAAAGAGAGTGATTTCGACTATGATCATCTCTTCCAATATTTAATCAAATTTTTGCCACCTTTGTATTAGGTACTACGGAAAACAATTGTGTTTTTTGATATCATTTTTTTTTCATTATGGACTCCTTTAGAATTTTTTAACAAAAAAGTTGTTGATAGCTTTTCTTCACAATTTTGTCTATCTAAACAAATGAGGAGAATAGACAAATGACAAATTTGTACGATTTTTTGTATAAGTTCAAGCCTGGACGTAGCGCAACGGTTGCGATCGAAAAACATGAATTGTGCATTTGGTCATGAGACTACTTCTGTTAGGTCCGCCCAAGTTTGGTTCAAACGATTCCGGAAAAGAGACGAGGATCTTGATGACAAGGAGGGTCACGGCCGCCTAAGACTTATTGATGAGGATTTAAAACAAGTTGTCGGAGCCAATCCGGCGGACTATTGAGCCAGAACTAGCAAAACACTTCAATGTAAGGATTTCGATCACTACTTGAAGAATATCGGAAAGATTCAAACACTAGAGAAGTGGGTACCCAATCAATTTGACGACCGCCAGAAGTTTGCACGCTTTTTTGCTGCTTCTTCGTTGAAATCTCAGAACAATAGAGATCTTTTTTGGACCGGCAGATCAAAGCTCAATTGAGTCTAAATATCCATATACACGATAGCAAATCTTCTTCTTACACTGGCATCATTCTCCGCCTTCAACTTCAAGATGCGATGAAAAGTGAAAACTATATGACAATCGAAAACGAAATTCGGAGTGGCTTGACGAAGAGAAGTGCCTCATTTGTTCCCGAAACCCGATCTCCATCCAAAGAAGGTGATGTTCTCTGTTTGGTGGTATAAAAAGAGTGTCATTCATTATACTTTGCTCAAAACGGGAAAAAGTATAGATTCAGACATTTATAGGGAAAAAAATTGAAGAAAATGTATTCAAAATTGAGAAATTTGAGCCCGACCTTGGTCAATCGAAAGATTAAAAATTGTGCTGCGGAACAATGCTAGCCACAATCTATATATTTGAAGACCCTTGAAGAGTTCTTTTTAGACAATCGACAAGACAAAACTCTTCATCACTGGTATTCCTTCGTGGGTTTCTGTAGATGATATTCACAAGTGGATCTTCGAATTCAATCCAAATCTTCAAAATGGAAAGTGAGTCATCGTTAACCATTAAAGTCATGACTTTTCACATCATTTAGATCGGGAATTTCCTTGCGAAAAAGTGGCGACAAGCAAACTTGTCTGGCTAGCTTCACAAATGACAACGATCCGACCAAAGTTTGTATCTATTTTGTCTAAAGATTTCAAAAGATTTTTAAAACCCGTTCAGATAATCACTAAATTTCACAATCAATTATATCCGGGGTCGGATCATGAACTTGCCATTTATCATCACCGACCGAAACCACAAAACAGAACACAACAAAATGGTGGGCTTACTAATAATCTGTTCTGTTTGAGCTCTGTTCATTTTTTCAGATTTTACTAGCTCATTAAGAAACTTGAGCTGATTGTTTTCAGATATACAAAAGCGTCCAAATGAGACGCCAAAAACGAACGATGAAGTCGATCTCTTTATATTGGGTTTGCCACCAAAAGTCACCGAAACTGATGTGACGGTGATGATCTTTCGAAATTCACCAAATTTACTCACACATAGGTGGGAAATGACAAATTTCTTTTGTATTCTTTTACTGTTCTTTGTTCTATACGATTGTTCTTAATATGTAAATGGAGAGAAATTCATAGTAGGCTGAAACTTGTTATAATTTTGATCATGTTTCACATGCAAGGTTTAAAGACACCTGTAAGTTGTGTTCAGAAAAATGCACCAGTACTGAAATGACAAATATGAGATCAGAGAAAAAATGTCAGCTGAAGAATAAGCTAACAATTGGTTATGGTATTGGTTTTAGATTTTAACCAACAAAACAATAAAAACTAATAAAGTAACCAAAGATGATCTCAAAATACAACTTTCAGCATCTCACTCAAACCCGTTGGCAGTGTGCAATCGTGTAAAGCGACAGTGAAAAGTAGAACCTTCGCTACTCTGGTATAGTAACAATTTCAGCTCTGTTCACATTGCTTTCAGCTCATGTCCGAGTGGAACGGAAAGAATTATCCGGGTAGCAGCAGTTTCATCAAGATCGATTTCTTTAAGCCACCCAACCGCCCAAGAGATCCTTCAAGAGGTCAGCTATTCGGTTGTAAACTAAGTCTTGACCCCAAATTCAAAACAATATTTATTGACAACCAAAAGAGGAGTTTAGTCGAAATAATCTCCATTATTTGCAATGACTTTCGCCCTTTTACTGGCAATTGGCGGATTCCCCTCTCATAGAAAATCTTTGGTTTCAAGTCAAAATAGTCAGTCTTGGAGCCACTTTTTGAGGTCCTCTTCATTTTGGAAGTGCTCTTCACCTAGGGCGTGTTGCATCGAGCGGCAAAGATGGTAATCTGTAGGACTGAGGTCAGGAAAATCTGGTGGGGGGATTGATCAATTTGACTCGATTTGCCGCAAACCGGCCGGGTAGACGAGCAAGAGCACCATTTCGAAGAGTGACCACCGTTCCTAGCATGAGCCTTGACTTGTGTTTCGGGTCATTGTCCTGGTAGAGCACGCATCCAAGAGGAGTCGTTTGGGTGGCAAAAGGAAGCATATGAGTCTCCATGATCGTCTTGGAAGCGTAAGAGTTCCCAGTTCAACTCGTGGATTGTGGAGCGAGTCAACTTTGCCGTACGTGAATTGGCGTTGTCGTGCTTGGAGAATGAGCTTTTTCAAATTGCGGCGCTTGTCCTTAATTTTCTTATCGAGTTTTTTGAGCTGCAAAGGTCGGTGACAATGTCAATTTACAAATTTAATGATATTTGCTTTGCTATCAAAACGAGTAAAGCGGAAAAAAATGAAAGCAAGTTCAACAATTAGAATTTATTTTTGAGATTCAGGCCGTGCTACCCAACAATTGAGCCGTCCAGTCCCTAGACTCACCCCATCGCCCACCAGCCCCACATACCCGCCTCGTCAACATCGACAAGACAACTTTCAGGTCACTGTTAATCCGTAAATTGAATCCAATTTGATTTAGTTTTTTTAAATAGTCAAAACTAGATAGATCTTCAGTAATTTACCAATAATTTCTTTTATTCTTCAGTATTATTCAGTATCTAAATATATTATTATTTTATTCTTTATTTAATTCAGCCGCCGCAAATGTTTTATGCACAGCAGCAGTATCAACAAGTGCTCGCTCCAAACCACTTTGCTGAAAGGTGAGCGAAACTTAGAAACTTAAAAAAAAAACACAAATCCTCAGTGAAATTGTGATAAATCAGTTTTTGTTTAAACTAAATTGTAGAAAACCGGAGCAATAAAGCTTTGATTTTCTTTTCAGAGTCGAAACTCACCAATTCGCGCCAACCTTTAACTCTGGCTTGCCAACACCTCAGGTTTGTGTTTAATGAGAAAGCGAATTTTTGAAAATTTTGAGCAACTACACAAAGTGCTCGTGAGCGGGCTACCGGCTGAAACACAAATCGATGATCTTGTCACCGCGTTTCATCCGATATGCAAAATCGCTCTTGATTTCGAATTAAATCCACGGTGATTTTCAGTTAGCCTCAATTTCGATGAAAAATCTGTTTGGTTAGGGCTATTTTTAGCTTTATTTTGGCCTAATTTTTGCTTTATTTTAGCTTATTTTTGTTAGTACAATTGCGTTCGATAAAACAGCAAAGATTCAATACTTATACTTCAATAAAATACTTTTACAAAGAAACATGATGGGTCAACATGTGGCAAAAAGCCTAATGCATAGATTAGATGATAGACTAAAGCATTTGACTCGAAATACTAGAGCCAAGTTTTTGAGACTATATCAAAAGAACGCCGCCAAAAGAGTGCTGTTCAAAAGGGCACCGCTTCGAATTCCCCCGTCGTTCCGTTTTTGCATTGGCACTCTTTTGATATCGTCTCAAGTTTTTGTATTGTTTATTTAAATATTCAGAGTGCGTACCAAGTTTCAGAATCGAAATATACCGTGATACAGAGGGTCGTTTCCTTGGAATAGCTTCGGTCGCTTTTCAAACAAGCGACGCAGCTCAAAAGGTGGGCTTTTAGCAAAAAAAAATAGAAAACTCTGTGTTGAAAGTGGTACTTGTCGTTGATTCTAAGCGTAATCAAGAAAAATGAATAGCAACCTTGACGAGGTGTTTAGGTTCCGAAGGGGGCTGATCAGAACAGCGCCAATAAAACAGCGCCAATAAAACAGCGCCAACAGAACAGCGCCAATAAACAGCGCCAACAGAACAGCGCCCATGTACAAACAGCGCCCAATGAAACAGTGCCGTTAGACAAACAGCGCCAAAGTCAAAAATTTCATTTTTTTTGAGTTAGATTTAGTTTTTCCCCGGTTTCATCATGTTTTACTTTTGCTTTTACAAGTTTCTTGTTTTTTCAAGTAAAAAACACCACTTTAATACACCGAAATCAACAATTTTTGAAATAATATCAAGAGAATGAAAAGAAACGCTGGCACGATAGTCGCTCACTTTTTGTATCGTATTCGTTTTTGACGCTGTTTTAAGCAGCAGTCGTTCCGAATAGGTTTTTCAGTCGATGAAGTTAACTCAAAACAAGTTGAGAAAGCCACTGAACTCAAACATTCTGATCCTTTTCAAGATCATAAATGACTATTGGCTTACTCATAACTAGATTTTAGTTGCAGAAAAAGCATTAGAATCGTTTTTCAGATTGTCCATCTCTTCAACAATACCCAATTCGGTTCTACCAACAACGTCACTAACGTTAAACTCTACGGCTGAGACCCGGCAGAGTGAGAAGAAAACACAAAAACCTCACATAAAACGTAGAAAATAACATAACAAAACATTTTGTCGTTTACGAGATTGACTCTTTACGTACTTTTAGTCTTTTTGTGATAAACAAAGCACAAATAAAAGAATTTCTAAACATAAAAATACTGTTTGGCTCTGTTTGTTTTACATTTTTCGTGACAATAGCTGTTTGGTTTCATTGTCTTTTTCTAATAAAAGTTATATCATTTCATCGAATATAATAATTACAGAGCCACCGCAAGCCTCGATGCGATCGACGAGTTCTTCATGCCGCTCGTCGCCAGCTGTGCGATTGCGTCCCGACTAGCGCACGTCTTTGTCATGATCTAGAAACTAACTTTTTTAACGGAAAATTAATGGACATTAATAAAAAGCATATTGAAACACAAAAAAAAATGAGTAGTAATGCTTTAAAACTATGACCTTAAAACGTTTTCTGTGCTCGCACACAATCGCGCTCTTTCTAGCACACGGCACTAGTGGGGGTCATTAAAAGGAAGGTCTTCCCAAAAGGGTACGTTGGTCCGGAGCTAGAGGGTTACCGAGAAAACTGGACTCCATCCGTGGATCCAACCCTGTCGGACAAGCACCCTCTAGCAACACTTGACCACGAATTTTTTTGTCTTAATGTGGATTGACGGATACAGTTAGGGTGCAAGTTTTAGAACCAATTTGATCGTTTTTGGACAAAATTGACTAATTTTTATGGTCAAAAATACTAATTATGTAGCGAAAAGGTTATCAGAGAAAAAAAGGTAATATGGAAAAAATGATGCCGCCCTCCGCCTCCCGCGCAACAACATCACATCACATAGCGCATAAGACCTCCCCCCGAGATGACAACAAGTTTTACCTGTGCCGTCTCATTGTCATTGTCATTGTCTTTTTCTAGTAAAAGTTGTACCATTTCATCCAATATGGCTGAAAATTATGTGCGTCAAAGAAAACGCCATAATTTAATTTTCTTTCAAAGAACAAGTAAAAATTATATATTGTTTAAAACTATACCAGATACTGCGCGCACGTAATTTTCAGCCACTCCGTACATCAATTCAACCATCTTCATAGTCGACGAAGCAAATGGACGACACTGTCATCAAACTCTAGCAAATTTGAAAAGAAGCTTTTGAAATCTAATCAGATTTTTCTTGATTTCTTAAAAGCATTCAAAAGTATTGTTACTGATTGTTGACTAGTGTTGCAAAGTTTGCAATTACTGATCTCATTTGCCTCATTTCACATATAGCGCAGTCGAATCTATTTGGTAAGTGATTTGCAACATTTCATTTAGTTTCAAAAACACGGGACTGAGCTGCAAACAGTTCTCTTCATCACATTTTGCTTAACAGGTTTCAGATTTCCAAAAATTATTAAAAAAAAACAGTTGAAGAACAAAAAGAACAATCCTAATATTGGTTTCAGTGCTCAGAAAGTTTTGATAAACTACACGGAAATGAATGTTCGGTGTTTGTTTATGTTGCTCCATAGCCAGGGTCCAAAACTTTCAAATGTTACTTTCGTTGGGGTTGAATTGTTTGTTTGAAAAATTGTTTTCATTTGGTTGAATTAGCTAAAATATTTAACCGGTAACTATTTTCAAGAAAAGTGTTTCTCTTCTAGTTTTTACAAAGGTCTTCTACAATTTTAATGAAGCGCAAGTCAACCATATTTTGATCTTACTTTTTGCCAATCATTTAAATGAAAATTTTCCTAATTTGCATCTGAGATTGCTCATGATGTTAAAGGCAAGAAGATCCACATGTACCGCTTTTTCTTTCCTTGGCGTTTTCTGTGCGATTGTTTGTTTGAAAAATTGTTTTCATTTGGTTGAATTAGCCAAAATACTTAACGGTCACTATTTTCAAGAAAAGTGTTTCTGTTCTATTGAGTTGTCCAGTTATGAATGAGCGTTTTTACTATTTTGTAAATTTCTCAAGATATCGAACAGATGTATATGGGTGTTATATATCATTCGAAAGCTGAAGATCTCCTCTACATTTTGGAATAAAAAAGTTTTTGAATTGATTCAACTTTTTGGGAAATTGACTGCACAAAGGGAGAGGTCGTTTTCGAAAAAACCCATTCCAGCTTAGCTATTCCTCAAGTTTTATGGTGTAAAATAACCGCTCAGAAAAGAAAAGAAAAGTAAAGATGCTCTGAAATTGTTATATTTTAAAAAAACTTGTATTGGTATATCTATTGGCCAAACATCAAGCGGTTAACTCAATTTGAGCGGAGACAAAACTGGATCCAAAGGCACCCTTCCATTTTTTGGCCACCTCTCCCTTTGTGCAGTCAATTTGCCCAAAAGTTGAATGAATTCAAAAACTCTTTATATCAAAATGTAGAGGAGATCTTCAGCTTTCGAATAATACTCATATATATCTTTTTCTTGATTTCGGTATCTTGAGAAATTTACAAAATAGTAAAAAACGCGCATTCATAACTGGACGACCCAATAGTTTTTATAAAAATTTTCTACAATTTTAATGAAACGCAACTCAACCATAATTCGATCTTAATTTTTGTCAATCATTTAGATGCAATTTTTCCAATTCGCATCTGAAATTGATCAAATTATAAATGCAAAAAGGCCCACATGTACCGCTTTTTCTTTCCTAGATCACGCGTTCTCTGTGCGCGTACACAATCGCGCTCTTTTTGGCACACGGCCCCAGAGGGGGTCAATAAAAGGAAGGTCTTTCCCGAAGTGTAAGTTGGTCCGGAGCTAGAGGGTTACCTATACAAGTTCGCCGCGCCGCGGCGATGAACCTTTGACAAACAACTTTGAGCACTGAACCTTGGAGACCTTTCTCACCGAGAATCCATCCAATACAATTTGGCCGCAACTCCGCCATCAAGCTATGACTTTGGGCGCCGACCCTTGGAAACCTTACTCACCCAGAATCCAACTCCTCTAGCAACACTTGACCACAAATTTTTTTGTCTTGAGGTGGATTGACAGATACAAGTTTTAAGTTTTAAAACCAATTTGATGGTTTTTGAACAAACAGTGGCTAATTTTTATGGTCAAAAATACTAATTATCTAGCAAGAAAGTTATCAAAGTAAGTCTCCGTTATGAAAGCTTTGAATAATCAAATTCGAATAGTGAACGGTAAATGTACACAGTTAAAAAGCTGTTCAAATAAGAACTTAAATATAGCCTCTATTGTACATGAATCTCAATCACTTCAAGAATATCGTAGACATTAGAAGTTTTGATTGAAATTTCGAGTACTTTACGCGAAACAATAAAATTCCAAATTTCTCAATTTGGATTTATTGGCGCATCCAGCTTTTCGAATTTTCCCTTCCTTTTCATTCTTTTTCTTCTTGCATTTTCATTCGATTCTATCTACATTCGTAAGTTTTTTCAAATTATAATTTTTGTTTTGTTTGCTTTCCTGGTTGTTGATAAGTAACTTTGGACGCTGAACTGCGAAACTTTTCATTTAAACAAGCTTTTTCCACAAATCTTTATCGAATTTATGTAACTCAGGGCCTCTAACAAATTCAGAATGTTATTCTTTTGTTTAAATTTTTGTTTTCAGAGAACAGAAAGAGAACATATGCCAGAATTCGTCAAACTTCAAGCGGGGAAACAGGCAGGCGGCAGTGTAGATATGTGAGTTTTTCTTGGTTTTTGTCCATTAAAAGATCAGATTTTTAGGGCTTGAATCTATCTTTTAGCCTCTTCTATTTGACGCTGAGCCTCAGGGTGGCCGCCATGTTAAACATCGGCTTTGTGATCATCGAACAGGTGAAGCTTTGTGATTTAAAAGATTGCTTGAGCTGTTAAAATTTAGCGTGGACTTTCTATTGTCAGTTTTAAAATCGTGAAGTGCCTTTATAGTCATAGGTTCTGGAAAGTTAATGTTATTAGGGGTTTGCAAAAGAAACTGCGCATGACTTTCCGGCACAATATTTTCTCTATTTGAAAGTGCTCTAACCCAGTTTAAATTTTATTCTATTGTGTTGATAACGCTTATTTATTTTACTGATTTTCACATTTGTTTGACCATTGAATTATAAATAATTTTAGTTGTCGAAGATGACGGATCAAAAACTCATGTTGCGAGCGTGCCTTCTCTATGACCTCAAAATGAAGAAATCAGCATCGAAGTCGCACCGGAATCTTTGTGAAACATTCAGAGAAAACATTTTGAGTGAAAGGACTTGCCAGGAATGGTTTCGACGTTTTCGTGAAGGGGATGGCAGCTTGGAAGATGGATATTGTCCAGTTGTCTTCGATAATGCAGAGTTGCTGGAAATTGTAGAGTTGGATCCAACTCAAACTTTGCCCGAATGAGCCGAATACTATAATTTCTCAAATCTACGCCAAAGAACGGAAGAAAGTTAATGCAATTCTACGAGAAAGAGATGTTAATCCAAGGGCAATCCATTTACTCGCTCACAATTTCCGGGTACACACATCAAACTTGGCTCAAAACACCCTAGAAGAATTAGGCTGGAAACTTGTGCCTCATCCGCCCTATTCGCCTGATATCGCTCCCTCAGATTACCATTTGTTCCTGTCTATGCAACACTCCCTTGCAAATCAACAGTTTAACAATTACCAAGAAGTCGAAATTTGGGTGCAAGACTATTTCGCGTCACAAGATCCGGAATCTTTCGAATCAGGCATCCGAAGTCTACGTAAAAAATGGAAAAATATAGTTGATAATTTTAGCGAGTACCTTTTGGAATAAAGTCTTTTATTATTAATTTCGAGGTGTTTGAACGTTGCGTATAATACGCAGTTTCTTTTGCAAACCTCTAATATTAAACTTTGGTACTAGCCTAGTTGAGGAGAAACCCTATTTTTTTTCTCCAAAAACAGTTTTTCTAGGGTAATTTTATGTGTAGATTCCGAAAAACACAACGAGAGCTTGGGAAAAGGCGTTTTGAGCCGAGTTTCGGGGCTCCAAAGTGCGCGCTTCTATAGTGTACTTCACTATGTGGAGCCTTAGCTCTCAACTATTGGAGCAAAACGTCAAAACTAGAGTCAAAACTATTTTTAACCACTAAATATTCATCTTGTAACTTAAATTGACTGGCAGAGGCAAAACAAATTGTTTTTCGGAATCTACGCATAAAATTACCCTAGAAAGAAATAGTGCTCCTCCTCAACTAGGCTAGTACCAACCTTTTTGTTTAGAGTCATTAAAGTTCCTGCAATCTAATCTTATTAAACTTTTTTTGTTCAGAGGCGAGCACGGCGACGTGAATGGACGGATAGGGCCGAGAAGGAGCGCAAGCAGGGGTTTGAACAAGAGGTGCGACTATTTTAATTCTAGGCTTGAGATTGAGAACTTGTCTTTTCTTTTTTCTTTAGAAAATCCAACAATGGTATCTCGAAGAGGTCTACAAGGAGATAGCGCGCAAAAATCAACAGAAACTCCGCGAGAAACAGAACAAACAACTTGAGTGAGTGATTGGATTACGAATCTAATTGTTTTGTTATTACAGTGCCATCAAGAACCCATTGCTTGCACTCCATAACCTCAAGGCTCTCAACCTGGTATAGATTTGCTTATATAGTTAGTTTAATTCATCCTTTGCTTTTTAGGGAGGTAAACGCGAGCCTGAGAATAACACAAATACAAAGGATGAGAAGGTGACGAAGATAAGACAAACGCACGCCGCAAGATCGAGTCAATCTTATGCTATAAATCTTATGCTATAAATCAAGCATTGTTTTCAAACAAGAACTTCATTTATCTGCTTTAGAAGATGAGTCGACGCAATCGAGCAACAAGACGCAGACAAAGAAGAGCACGGTGGCGAAAGGAAGTGGTGCACGTGAGTGGTTGAAATTTTATCTGTAAATTTAAATAGGCTTCATGCAATCACATTGATTTGGTTGATGTTTTAACTTTAGCTCGCTTAGAGAAGACGGCCTCTATGCAATCTGTGCTTTCACCGATCCGCACCGCGCCGACGATGACGGTTGAAGTGTGAGTTTTTCATCTTAAACTAGAGTCAGAGATTATACAATGACTTTGGTGTATTGCTTAGAACGTTGTCATGAAAGTGTCAAACGTTGTGTCAGTTTTAAAGCTCATGAGATTACTTTTCCTTTTAGAACTCAAGAGATGCCAGAGGCGAGCAACAATGACTAGATTCAACCAAACTAAACCAGATTCGAAAATTAAAATTTTGTCGGCTTCTGAATAAATGCTTTAATTGGGTTTTACTTGTTCGCCTTGAACTCCCTTGAACTTGAATTCCGTTTTTTCCTCTTCCCGAATTCACAAATCTTTTATCATCATTTTAAACTGCTCTTTTCGTCTTCCTTATCATTCAAAAAACTCTTACGCAAGAAAAATTTTATGGATATCCCTTTTGGCTTATCAGAGTCACTTTCGAAAATATTTTTCTCTTATCTATTCATTTTATTGAGTAATTGGACAAACTCTTTGGTTAAATTCTACAAATGGCTCAAGAAGTAAGTGTTTAAAGTTGAAATAAACGTCTAAAATGAAATAAAATCCCTAATAGGTATGATAGAGTAGTGCAAAATAGAACCAGCGCCTTTTCTCTTTCAATATCAAAGACTCAGTCCAGTCATTTTGTTTTCTATTTTGCATTAACTATGCCTTATGACATTAAAATATCTAGCAATTTCAAAACGAGTTGAATCAATTGATAGCTGGATTTGAGCGTAATTTGATGGATGAGAAAGCAAAGAATGGAAGGCTCGAAAGAGAGATTAAACGAGTGAATGATGAAAATGCAAAGATGAGACAGCAATTGCAAGTGTTAACGGCGGAGAACAAAGAAAAGGAATTGGTACAGGTGAGGAAAACTTGAGGGATTGGTGGAGCTGTCGGAGGTGAGAAAAGCCCTACAGAGAAACTGTAGCCAGAGATTACTGTATCTATAGGTACTATAAGTACTCGAGTAATGCACTCCTTAAAGACATCTTTTTAAACAACCCTAATCTAACCATAGCTACAGCACTTCTTAACAGAAAACTACCGTAATTAAGGCGTCAGTTGATCTAAAAATGATTCAAATTTTTCAGCAAAAACTCTTCGGTCAACGCAAGGAGTACCCATGGTGTGAGCCCGACGGTCAGCCGCAAATTTTACTACGGTTCTACATAGAATATCTTGAGGTTTATAACTTGAGAAATTTCTAAATCAAAATTTTCCAGGCAAAATACAAAAAACCGATCACCAAGGTGCCATTAGATGAGAACGAGGAAACTGCATGAAAAATTTGACAACGTTTTAAAACAATGTTTTGGTGAATCAGGAAATGATTTGATTGTTTCTTTGATTATTTATTGTTTTGTTGTAATAAAGTTTTATGGATAAGAAATTGTCGTTTGATCGCTAATTGTTATCTAAATTAGGTTAGATTTGGCTAAATTAGTTCAGATTAAGCTAAATTAGTTTAAAGTTTTTTAGCCTCAGCTTCAGTATATATGCTTTATTCAGGGGGCGAATGGAAGCAAATCAGATAATCATAGACGCAAATAACTTAGATAAATTAGATCTTGAATTCTTGAATTTAAATTTTTAGATCTTGAAAAATAACTTACCGATTGCCAACAAACTGTGAAAACGCTTCAAAGAGAGAAAATTTGGGGGTGCCTCGAGATATGAGACGCACTGTATGATTCATCGACATCCAGCTTCTCCAATAGCTACAATTTGAGCTTTTTGGGAGCAGAAACAGGAAAATTTAGATTTTGAATCGATAAAGAAGAGATTTCGAAAGAATCCTAAAATTATTATTTGAAGAAGATAAAAAATTTGATTTTTGATTTACACGTTTTTAAATTTTTTTTTCAAAAGCCTGATCTTATCCAATTGAAAGTATTTTTGCCGGAACGTTTTCTGGCCAACTAACGTGGTTCTGGCATTTGCAAAAAAACTCAAAAACGTGTGAGCTTTGATCGAGCCTTGATCCGGCTTTGATAACCTTTGACGCTTTTGAAATTCGCTGATCTTTGAATATGTTCAATTTTAAAAAGCATCACAAAAGAGTTCGAGTTCTGAGAATAGAAAAAGCTTTGTCAAGCTGAAAAATTGAATATCAGAGAGCACACGAAATAAGCCCAACACATCAGGAATCAATGAACAAAGAAAGAGCTGATCTTTGAAACTTTTGTTCGCTTTAGACAGCTGTAGTTAGCAGAACGATTATCGAAGAGATTTGCAAGCCAAAGGTCGTCATTTCTTTACCAAGTTACAAACAATATTAAACATCTCCCGAAGAATCTTTAAAACAAAAATTTTTCCAAATCTATCAACAAAACTTGTAAAGAATCATCAAAGGAATGACGAGAAAAATAGCTTTGAAAAATTGATGTATGAAATCGAAGATGTTCAGCCAACAGACTGAATATTCACAAATAAAAATTAAATTTGATTAAATTTTTCCAAAACACTAACTAAACATGGTAAGTTTCCCAAAAAAAGATTCTCAATTTTTACTCGCAAATGTTCTCGTTTTGTAGGCCATAAACTTTCTCAAGAAAAATCTCCCTTTTGATCACAAAGCTTAGAAGACGGGACTCTCGTTTCGGCCGTAAAACGGCTTCTTATCTGCCTCACGAACATCGGATTTTCTCGAAAAAATATAAGGAGCACTTTAACCTTTTCATGCCCATTTTCACTAGCATTGTTTCAATTTTAAGATTTCTTTCTTACTGTGTAGGTTTAACATTGCTTAGCAATCTGTTACCTGTTGCTAAATTTACAAACTCTGAACATCGTTGGATGTTTTATGAATCGACGTTTTGATGTCCGAGTTTTTGTTTCACAACAGGACACAAGCCTTCAATAACTTTGAATATATTCTTGATTGAATTAAAAAAAGAACTAAAGCTTTTTGCTAAAACCATTGAAAGGCTCTAGTCACAACGAAATTTACGATCCACAGTCGTCTTTTCTTTTTCTTCTTATCTATCTTTAAACTTTTCTTATCTTTCTCACAAATATCGATCTATTCAAAATTTACAACGTAAACCCATTCGCTCGAAATGACTTTTTTATTAGCAATAGAATTGCTCAAATTTCTCTGGTTTCACTCTCGTTTCCTTACAATACTTCTCAATTTCTAGACAAGGTGACAAATGGACGAGGTTGAAGTGCCCGATAACTTAATGTGTTCGATTTGTCTGGAAACTTGTAGGGTTTAGTTTAAGTTAAGGATTTTAATGAAATGTATAGATAACGAAGGAGATCAACGCCCGATGGGCCTGGGTTGTGGGCATTCGGTGTGCCAATCATGCTCTAGGAGAACTCAAAGGTTTGGCTCGATGATGAAAACATGAATTTCTGATAATCAGCAGATCATGATAATGGCTCATCGTAACAGCTGTGAATAGCTTTTCATTGTTTCAGTTGCCCAAAATGTAGACAGGTCTTCACTGCCTCGACTGTCAACTATGATTTGCTAGGTAGTTAAAAACTTTCTAAATTTGCCAAGCAGTATTTAGGTGTCCTTGAGCAATACTTGAAGTTGAAGGCGGAGAATGATGCTAATGTAAGAAGAAGATTTGCTATCGTAAATAACGATTCTTAGACTCAATTGAATGCTCAGGCAGTCAATAACTTGCGAAGAATGGAGCGAGACCGCAACAATGCACATTCACTGCTCGTAGAGGCGAAACGAAAGCAACTTCTGGATGAGGTAGCTGAAAAATGAATTACTTGTTGAGTTCTCTTCAGCATTTAGCTTTTGGTAAACTTGAATTCGTTCAATTTTTCTAGTAACAGCAACAATTTTTTCTTTTCTAGCAACAGCAACAAATACAATTATATAACTGAAGTATCTTTCAAGTGCTTACGTGAAAAACAACCGAATTCAGCAAAAGGCCCATGAGGCAAGAGACCTGGAACGCGCCATAGCACAATCGTTGCTCGAAGAGGAAAAACGAAAGAATCATGAAAATGAGGTGATTAGAAGAGACTTTCATCAAACTCTTTCGAATTTAAATGCTTTGAGTATTTTCAAGAAAAGTTTAGCGAGTGCGAGAGCGAGAGCTTCTTGGCGCATATAATCTGCATCAAAATCAACAAAGGAACATGGAGGAAACATTTGCACAAAAATTAAATTTAAATCAAATTGAAAATCATTGAGAAAAACACAGTTATTTTCCGTAGTACCTAATACAAAACGTCTTTGTACAAAACATTTTTATACAATTTTTATATTGACAAGGCCAACTGGCTGAGTCTCTATACAAGTGTGAAAACAAGAAATATTTTCTGCGGAGGCAAACTAGTCAGCACTGCCTAAAAAAAGCAAAAGTTAAACCCAGAATGAGATCGAACTTGTGAGGTCTCGCTTTGGAAACAAACGCTGTACTACTCGGCTGCCCAGAATTAGGTCCGCAAGAAAACCGCTAAGACCCAAATGACCTCAGAGACCTAACAAAACTTTCGACGCCTATAACTCTTGAGAGATTGTCATTTACAAAAACGAAATACAAATTCGGAATCAGCATAAAATTCTGCGTCGAAGGGTATAGGTCGCATAGCGTTTAGCCATTTAGGCTTGTCAGTCAGTTGACCTTCTCTTGTGAATTGTGCATTTTTGCGGAATGAGTTTTTTTCAAAACTAAAAACAATAAACGTTTAAAACAAAAAAACTACCTCAAAAACTCTAACCTTAAAATGATCGTTATTTTTAGACAATCGACAAGACAAAACTCTTCATCACTGGTATTCCTTCGTGGGTCTCTGTAGATGAAATTCATAAGTGGATCTTCGAATTCAATCCAAATCTTCAAAATGGAAAGTGGGTCATCGTTAACCATTAAAGTTATTACTTTTCACATCATTTAGATCGGGAATTTCCTTGAGAAAAAATGGCGACAAACAAACTTGTCTGGCTAGCTTCACAAATGACAACGAGCCGACCAAAGTTTGTATCTATTGGATTGGTGAATTGAAAACTGCCGGCTATTGTCATATGTGACAGTTTGAGCACTTTCTTCAAAAGAAACCCATTTTGGTGTCAATGGAAAAGTTGTAGAGAATCAAAAATTAAGCTTATATCCAGATTTTCAGAACGATTCAAAAACTGGTTTTCAAGAAATGCCAAATTTACAAATTTTCACAAAAGTTGCATTTTAAGCGAAACTACTTTTGGTATCTTTTTGGAAATTTGGCTATAAGCCTAATTTTTGATTCTCTACAACTTTCCTATTGACGCCAAAATTGGTTTCTTTTGAAGAAAGTGCTCAAACTGGGACATCTCCAGTCCTCCATTTTTGAGTCTTACACTTGTCTCACACACAAACCAAAATCCTACTACGAAAGAGGAATCCGCAAATTGCCTTTTCTCCTTCTCGTTCTCCTTCTCGTTCTCCTTCACGACAACGCGCGCCCTCATGTTGCAAAACTGACTCGCTCTAAAATAAACAGCCTTGGTTGGAGACTTTTGGCGCATCCCGCATACAGTCTCCTCGCCCCTGCTGATTACTATTTATTTTGGACCATGAGTAATGAGCTTGCGGGAGAACACTTCGATTCGGAAGAAGCAGTCAAAAATTGGCTTTAAAAGTTTTTCGATTCAAAAGCAAAAACCTACTACGAAAGAGGAATCCGCAAATTGCCTGTAAAATGGGCAGAAGTCGTCAATAATAATGGAAACTATTTCGAATGAATTCATGGTTTTATGTTGAATAAATTTTAGTTCAAAGTCCGGCAGTTTTCAATTCACCAACCCAATATTTTGCGTAAAATTACTAAACTCGTTTAGATAATCACTAAATTTCACAATCAACTGTATCCTGGGTCGGATCATGAACTATTCATTTATCATCACCGCCCGAAACAACAAAACAGAACACAACAAAATGGTGGGCTTACTAATCATCGGTTCTGTTTGAGCTCTGTTCATTTTTTTCAGATTTTACTAGCTCATTAAGAAACTTCAGCTGATTGTTTTCAGATATACAAAAGCGTCCAAATGAGACGCCAAAAACGAACGATGAAGTCGATCTCTTTATATTGGGTTTGCCACAAAAAGTCAACGAAACTGATGTGACGGTGATAATCTTTCGAAATTCGCCAAATTTACTCACACATAGGTGAGAAATGACAGATTTCTTTTGTATTCTTTTACTGTTCTTTGTTCTATACGGATCTTTCTAATATGTAAATGGAGACAAATTCATAGTAGGCTGAAACTTGTTATAACTAACTAACTGTTATAACTAACTAACTGTTATAACTTTTGATCACGTTTCACATGGTTTAAAGTCACTTGTATGTTGAGTTCAGAAAAATGTACCAGTACTGAAATGACAAATATGAGATCAGAGCAAAAATGTCAACTGCAGAATAAGCTAACAATTGGTTATGGTATTGGTTTTAGATTTTAACCAACAAAACAATAAAAACTAATAAAGTACCCAAAGATGATCTCAAAATACAATTTTCAGCATCTCACTCAAACCCGTTGGCAGTTTGCAATCGTGTAAAGCGACAGTGAAAAGTAGAATCTTTGCTACTCTGGTATAGTAACAATTTCAGCTCTGTTCACATTGCTTTCAGGTCATGTCCGAGTGGAACGGAAAGAATTATCCGGGTAGCAAAAGTTTCATCAAGATCGACTTCTTTAAGCCACCCAATCGCCCAAGAGATCCTTCAAGAGGTCAGCTCAGCTATTCGGTTGTAAACTAAGACTTGACCCCAGATTCAAAACATTATTTATGGACAACCAAAAGAGGAGTTTAATTGAAATAATCTCCATTATTTGCGATGACTTTTGCCCATTTTACTGGCAATTGGCGGATTCCCCTCTCATAGAAATCTTTGTCAAAGTCAAAATAGTCAAGTCTTGGAGCCAATTTTTGAGGTCTTCTTCATTTTGGAAGTGCTCTTCATCTAGGGCGTGTTGCATCGAGCGGAAAAGATGGTAATCTGTAGGACTGAGGCTGAGGTCAGGAAAATATGGAGGGGAGGGAATGGTCAATTTGACTCGATTTACCGCAAACCAGCAAGAGCACCGTTTCGAAGAGTGACCACCGTTCCTATCATGGGTCTTGACTTGTGTTTCGGATCATTGTCCTGGTAGAGTATGTATCCAAGAGGAATCGTTTGTGTATTGACTCGTGGATTGTGGAGCGAGTCAACTTTGCCGTATGTGAATTGGCGTTGTCATGTTGGAGAATGAGCTATTTCAAATTGCGGCGCTTTTCCTTAATTTTCTTATCGAGTTTTTTAGAGCTGCAAGGGTCGGTGACAATGTCAATTTACAAATTTAATCATTTTTGCTTTTGCTATCAAAACGAGTACAGGGGAAAAAGTGAAAGCAAGTTCAACAATTAAAATTTATTTTTGAGATTCAGGCCGTGCTACCCAACAATTGAGCCGTCCAGTTCCTAGACTCACCCCCTCGCCCACCAGCCCCATATATCCGCCTCGTCAACATCGACAAGACAACTTTCAGGTCACTGTTAACCCGTAAATTGAATCCAGTTTGATTTAGTTTTTTTAAATAGTCAAAACTAGATACATCTTCAGTAATTTTACTTACTAATAATTTCTTTTACTCTTCAGTATTTAATCTAAATATTTATTATTTATCTATTATTATTTTATTCTTTATTTAATTCAGCCGCCGCAAATGTTTTATGCACAGCAGCAGTATCAACAAGTGCTCGCTCCAAATCACTTTGCTGAAAGGTGAGCGAAACTTAGAAACTTAAAAAAACCCAAATCCTCAGTGAAATTGTGATAAATCAGTTTGTGTTTAAACTAAATTGTAGAAAACCTGAGCAATAAAGCTTTAATTTTCGTTTCAGAGCCGAAACTCATCAATTCGCGCCAACCTTTAACTCTGGCTTGCCAACGCCGCAGGTTTGTGTTTAATGAGAAAGCGAATTTTTGAAAATTTTGAGCAACTACACAAAGTGCTCGTGAGCGGGCTACCGGCTGATACACAAATCGATGATCTTGTCACCGCGTTTCATCCGATATGCAAAATCGCTCTTGATTTCGACTTAAATCCAAGGTGATTTTCAGTTAGCCTCAATTTCGATGAAAAATCTGTTTGGTTAGGGCTATTTTTAGCTTTATTTTAGCCTAATTTTTGCTTTATTTTAACTTATTTTTGTTAGTACAATTGCGTTCCATAAAACAGCAAAGATTCAATACTTATACTTCCATAAAATACTTTTACAAAAAAACATGATGGGTCAACATGTGACAAAAAGCCTAATGCATAGATTAGATGATAGACTAAAGCATTTGACTCGAATTCCTAGAGTCAAGTTTTTGAGACTATATCAAAAGAACGCCGCCAAAAGAGTGCTGTTCAAAAGGTCATCGCTTCGAATTCCCCGTCATTCCGTTACCTAAAAACAAAAAAATGTAAATAACATAAAAAAACCAGCAAAAAGATCAAGAAAAATGAAAAAAATTGGGGCGCAAAAATCTAGTCGCGCTCTTTTGAGCGTTTTTTTATTGGCACTCTTTTGATATCGTTCCAAGTTTTTGTATTGTTTATTTAAATATTCAGAGTGCTTACCAAATTTCAGAATCGAAATGTACAGTGATACAGAGGATCGTTTCATTGGAATCGCTTCGGTCGCTTTTCAAACAAGGGACGCAGCTCAAATAGTGGGCTTTTAGCAAAAAAAAAAATAGAAGACTCTGTGTTGTAAGCGGTATTTGTCGTTGATTCTAAGCGTAATCAAGAAAAATGAGTAGCAACCTTGACGAGGTATTTTTCCAGCGCCAACAAAACAGCGCCCATGTACAAACAGCGCCCAATGAAACAGTGCCGTTAGACAAACAGCGCCAAAATCATTTTTACTGTTACTTTTTTAATTCTTTTATAAGATAGATTTATAAGAGAACACATGTTATGTCAAAGCACCTTACAACAATGCTTATGTCTTAGTAAAGTTTGAAATTTCAATAACAATTTTTGAAATAATATCAAGAGAATGAAAAGAAACGCTGGTACGATAGTCGCTCACTTTTTGTATCGTATTCGTTTTTGGCACTGTTTTAATCAGCTCCGGTTCCGAATAAATTTTTCAGTGGATAAGGTTAACTCAAAAAAAAGTTGAGAAAGCCACTGAACTAAAATATTCTGATCCTTTTCAAGATCATAAATGACTATTAGCTTCCTCATAACTAGATTTTAGTTGCAGAAAAAGCATTAGAAGCGTTTTTCAGATTGTCCATCTCTTCAACAATACCCAATTCGGTTCTACCAACAACGTCATTAACGTTAAACTCTACGGCTGAGACCCGTGAGAGTGAGAAGAAACACAAAAGCTTAACATAAAAGGTAGAAAATAACATAACAAAACATTTTTTCGTTTACGAGATTGACTCTTTACGTACTTTTAGTCTTTTTGTGATAAACAAAGCACAAATAAAAGAATTTCAAAACAGAAAAATACTGTTTGGCTCTGTTTGTTTTAGAGTTTCTAGATTTTTCGTGACAATAGCTGTCTGGTTTCATTGTCTTTTTCTAATAAAAGTTATATCATTTCATCCAATATGGCTGAAAATTACGTGCGTCAAAGAAAACGCCATAATTTTATAGAGCCACCGCAGGCTTCGATGCGATCGACGAGTTCTTCATGCCGCTTGTCGCCAGCTGTGCGATTGCGTCCCGGCTAGCGCACGTCTTTGTCATGATCTAGAAACTAACTTTTTTAACGAAAAATTAATGGATAATGATAAAATGCATATTGAAACACAAAAAAAAATGAATAGTAATGCTTTATACATTGCTTAAAACTATGACCTTAAAACGTTTTCTGTGCTCGCACACAATCGCGCACTTTTTGGCACACGGCACTAGCGGGTTCAATAAAAGGAAGGTCTTCCCTAAACCCAACGATGGTCCGGAGCTAGAGGGTTTCCAAAGAAAACTCGACTCCAATCGAGGATCCGACCTTCTCTGGCAAACACCCTCTAGCAACACTTGACCACGAATTTTTTTGTCTTAATGTGGATTGACAGATACAGTTATGGTGCAAGTTTTAAGTTTTAAGACCTCGCCCCAAGATGACAACAAGTTTTACCTGTGCCGTCTCATTGTCATTGTAATTGTCTTTTTCTAATAAAAGTTGTACCATTTCATCCAATATGGCTGAAAAATACGTGCGTCATAGAAAACGCCATATTTCAATTTTCTTTCAAAGAACATGTAAAAATAATAAAACTATACCAGATACTGCGCGCACGTAATTTTCAGCCACTCCGTACATCAATTCAACCATCAATTTTTTTTTTTCAGGCTTTTTTTCAGGGCTTTTTTAGAACCAGAAAAACGAAGGAAAATCGCGAAAAGCGGCGGAAAGGCTATTGATCTGAGGGTCGCTGGTTCGACTTCCACCGATGACAATATTTTCCAAAAATTTTTTGCGAAGATTCTGAAAATGCGTGTCTAGGGGTTATTTTTGACGCTGATCACGAAAAACATGTTTTTAGCCTAGGTTTCTGCACGAAAAACTAACGAAACGTGAAAACAGCCATTTTTGGCTCTGCGGCCCTTTACTAAAATAGCTGTAAAAACTTTTAGAAAAGAGATATCTCAAAACGGTTTTTACCAGTCGATCCGTCTTGAATTCAGCTTTAGGATGAGCTATAAAACGTCAAAATTGGACAAATTTAAGGTACTCTCCCAAAAAATCGGAAAGGACTTTTCCACCAACCCAATATAATTTTTGTCTTCTTTGCTTTCCTGGTTGTTGATAAGTAATTTTGGACCCTGAACTGCGAAACTTTTCATTTAAACAACTTTTTTCCACAGTTTTTTATCGAATCTACACAACTCAGGGCCTTCAAAAAACTCAGAATGTTATTCTTTTGTTTAAATTTTTGATTTCAGAGCACAGAAAGAGAAAATATGCCAGAGTTCGTCAAACTTCAAGCGGGGAAACAGGCAGGCGGCAGTGTAGATATGTGAGTTTTTCTTGGTTTTTGAGCTTTAAAAGATCAGATTTTTAAGGCTTAAATCTATCTTTTTAGCCTCTTCTATTTGACGCTGAGCCTCGGCGTGGCCGCCATGATAAACATCGGCTTTGTGATCATCGAACAGGTGAAGCTTTGTGATTTAAAAGATTGCTTGAGCCGTTAAAACTTAGCGTGGACTTTCTATTGTCAGTTTTAAAATGGTGAAGTGTCTTTAGAGTGATTAAAATTCTTGCAATTTAATGTTATTCAACTTTTTTGTTTAGAGGCAAGCACGGCGACGTGAATGGATGGATCGGGCCGAGAAGGAGCGCAAGCAGGGGTGTGAAGAAGAGGTGCGACTGTTTTAATTCTAGGCTTGAAATTGAGAACTTGTCTTTTTTTTCTTTAGCAAATCCAACAATGGTATCTCGAAGAGGTCTACAAGGAAATAGCGCGCAAAAATCAACAGAAACTCCGCGAGAAACAGAACAAACAACTTGAGTGAGTGATTGGATTATGAATCTATTGTTTTGTTGTTACAGTGCCATCAGGAACCCATTGCTTGCACTCCATAACCTCAAGGCTCTCAATCCGGTATGGATTTGCTTATCTACTGAGTTTAATTCATTCTTTGCTTTCTAGGGAGATAAACGCGAGCCTGAGAATAACACAAATACAAAGGACGAGAAGATGACGAAGATAAGCCAGAAGCACGCCGCAAAATCGAGTAAATCTTATGCTATAAATCATGCATTGACTTCAAACAACAACTTCATTTCTCTGCTTTAGAAGATGAGCCGACGCAACCGAGCGACAAGACGATGAGGAGTCGACGATGACGGTTGAAGTGTGAGTTTTTCATCTTAAACTAGAGTCAGAGATTATACAATAACTTTGATGTATTGCTTAGAACGTTGTCATGAAAGTGTCAAACGTGTCATTTTTAAAGCTCATGACATTACTGTTCCTTTTAGAACTCAAGAGAGGCCAGAGGCGAGCAACAATGACTAGATTCAATCAAACTAAACGAGGTGCGAAAATTAAAATTTTGTCAGCTTCTGAATAAATGCTTTAATGGGTTTTACTTGTTTGCATAAAATCAAAGATTTTTGCATCAGTTTGATAGGTTTTTTTGACTAAACAATTTGAAGTTGAAATTTAAAGTTGAAAATCTCTCCTTTAAGACTCACCTTCTCAAATAGTCTTTTCCAGAAGTGTCAATTGATCACAGTTGCTCATCTTTGGCAGCAGAAACAACAGAAGCTGCTCATTTTTTGTTTAATTACCCAAATTTGAGGTTTTCATTAAGCATATCTTAAGAGTATATCGAGGAATTCCGTTTTTTCGTCTTCCCGAATTCACAAATCTTTTAAACTGTCCACTGCTCAATGAAGCATACAAAGTTCAAGTTTTCAAGCTCATGAAATCACCACAGATCAACTGGTACCCCTTGTCGACAATTTTGTCCATCAGCTGAGAGTGTTCATAGCTAAAACTAAGTTGTTCATAATAGTAAGAAAGGGTTAGAAAAAGTGGTAGCTAGAGTCGAAAGGTTGCAAATCTAGAACATAAATCGAACAAAGAATTTCAAAGTAACAATGTGTATGGAGAAATATTAACTGTTTTAACGTTTCAAAAACAGCCGATTCTTGCAGTGGCACATCTCAGCACAGTCATAGTGCTCTATTGCGAGATTGTCTTACAATTCTGAAATTCTGTTTTTTCGACTACCACTTTCCTTTCTGCTTTCTGCAAATCCTCCATTTCCCATTTTTTTTTCATGACAACGACTCTTTTCCTCTTCCTTATCATTCAAAAAACTTTTACGCAAGAAAAATTTTATTGATTTCCCTTTTGGCTCATCAGAGGAAAACCAAGGTGAACAGTCACTTTCGAAAACACATTTTTGACTTATTTATTCAGTTCTATTCAGTAATTGGACAAATTCTTTGGTTAAATTCTACAATGGTTAAATTGGGTGGAGAAGTAAGTGTTTAAAGTTGAAATAAACGTCTAAAATGAAATAAATTCCCTTGTAGGTATGATAGAGTAGTGCAAAATAGAAAATGAAGACCGTAGAGCTTTTCCTGACAACAGCGCCTTTTCTCTTCCAATATCAAAGACTCAGTCCAGTCATTTTGATTTCTATTTTGCATTAACTATGGCCTATGAGATTAAAAAACCTGGCAATTTCAAAACGAGTTGAATCAATTGAAAGCTGGATTTCAGCGTAACTTTTGGGATGAGAAAGCAGCCAATCAAGTGCTCGAAAGAGTGATTGAAACGATGAGACAGCAATTGTAAGTGTTAACGGCGGAGAATATGGAAAAAATGGCGTCGATGGAGAAAGAAATGAAATTTATGAAGATGAGGAAAAGATTGAAGAAAGTACAGTAATATTTAGAGAAGAGAAAGATCTGGAGATTTCTCGGCTCAATGAGGAGTTGAAGAAACACCAAAAGCCGGCTGGGAAAATGGACGAGAAGGCGGTTGAGGGATTGGTGGAGCTGTTGGAGGTGAGAAAAGCCCAGGCTCATACAGAGAAACTGTGACCAGAGATTACTGTATCTCTAGGTACTACAACGGATTAATAGTACTCGAGTAATGCACTCCTAAAAGGGATCTTTTTAAACAACCATAATCTAACCATAGCTAGGGTAGTACTTAACAGAAAACTACCGTAATTAAGGCGTCAGTTGATCTAAAAATGTTCCAAGTTTTTCAGCAAAAACTCTCCGGTCAACGCAAGGAATGCCCATCGTGTGAGCCCGACGGTCCGCCGCCACTTTTCAGTAAACTATGGATCTGCACAGAACATTTTGAGGTCTCTAACTTGAGAAATTTGTAAATCAAGATTTTCTAGGCAAAACACAAAAAATCGATTACCGAGGTGCCATTAGATGAGATCGAGGAAATTGTAAGAAAAGTTTGAAAACGTTGCAAAGCAATATTTAGGTGAATCAGGAAGTGATTTGCGCTGATTGCATCCAACACTCGCACAGGAGATGTCAAAAGGATATGACGAATTTGCTGGAGTTGAAGGTTAGGGTTACTGTAGGGTTACTGTGCCGTTTTTGACCCAAAGTGGATCTTTTTTGGGACACCCTGTAGTTTGAGGAGTACGGTAGAGTCTTCCTCAAAAAATATATCTTTAAAGTTACTGTACCGTACCTGGGATACTGTAGGATATCTTTTGAGATACGATAGTTTGAGACGCTTCCTTTTTTCCGTATAGTAGCTGGCTTTTCTGGCTACTACTTTACTGTCTTCTTGCTTTAATCAACTTTTCAGAAACTCTACATATGTGAAAAGATGCGTCAATTCTTGGAAATGATCAAATGGAAAGAGAGAATCGGAGAAAGAGTGCCGAAAACGAGTGCAGAATCGGCTGAAGAAGTGAATTGAGAAAGAAAGAAAGACTGAACTTTGCAAAAACATATCTAGATGGCTTCTGAGTTAATAAAAAAAGTGAATTTCAGAGAATCCGGAAGAAAATCGATGATTTGATGCAAGGAACACTGAAAGCTACGGATGTTGATGTAAAAGTGGAACATTTAGTGGAATCGTTGAAGAGATTCGCGCAAGCAACAGCTGATATGGAGACACAAATGGAGGAAACGATGAGAAATGTGAGAGAAATGAGTATTCAAGTCTTTTGAGAACAACTTATTGGGGTTTTAACAATGAAATGAATCAATGAAATGAATGAAATACAAAAAAGAAATCAATGAATTCAACCTTTCAGATGATCATGATCGAGAATAACGCTCAAACGGTTTAACACGTGCAATTCTTTTTAAAACCTGTACATATTTCTTTGATTATTTATTGTTTTGTTGTAATAAAGTTTTATGGATAAGAAATTGTTATTTAATCGCTAATTGTTATCTAAATTAGGTTAGGTTAAGCTAAATTCGCTTAGATTAAGCTAAATTCGTTTAGATTAAACATCTCTTGTTCGATGATCACATAGCCGATGTTTATCATGGCGGCCACCCCGAGGCTCAGCGTCAAGTAGAAGAGGCTAAAAAGATAAATTTAAGCCTTTAAAATCTGATGTTTTAATGGACAAAAACCAAGAAAAACTCACATATCTACACTGCCGCCTGCCTGTTTCCCCGCTTGAAGTTTGACGAACTCTGGCATATTTTCTCTTTCTGTGCTCTGAAATCAAAAATTTAAACAAAAGAATAACATTCTGAGTTTTTTGAAGGCCCTGAGTTGCATAAATTGACTTTGTTTTTGTAAGTTTTTGTTTTGATATTTGATATTACGGCGTTCACTGTATGCGGAAAAGATCCACATCTACCACCTTTTCTTCCCAAAATTACGGCGTTCTCGGTGCGTGTACACAATCGCGCTCTTTTTGGCACTCGGCACTAGGGGGGGTCAATAAAAGGAAGGTCTTTCCCAAAGGGTACGTTGGTCCGGAGCTAGAGGGTTAACTTTGCCCGCATGAGGCGATGAACCTTGGAGTGTTGCTTACACGCCAACCCTCAACTCCTCTAGCAACACTTGACCAGAAATTTTTTTGTCTTGAGGCGGATTGATAGATACAAGTAGGGTGGAAGTTTTCAAAGAAAAGTTATCAAAGAAAAAAAGGTAATTTGGAAAAAATAGTGTCCCCTCCCTCCCGCGCAACTAGCTTAGTACCAAGTTTTTTGTTTAGAATCATTAAAGTTCCTGCAATTTAATCTTATTAAACTTTTTTTGTTCAGAGACGAGCACGGCGACGTGAATGGATGGATCGGGCCGAGAAGGAGCGTAAGCAGGGATGTGAAGAAGAGGTGCGACTATTTTAATTCTAGGCTTGAGATTGAGAACTTGTCTTTTCTTTTTCTTCTTTAGCGAATCCAACAATGGTATCTCGAAGAGGTCTACAAGGAGAATCTATCCACATCAAGCAAATCTCAATGATCTCAATCCCATCGAAAACTTGTGAGAAGTCTTAGCAAGACCTGATTATGGTGATGGAAAGCAGTATGCTAAGGTTTTTGATCTCAAAAAGTCGACTGAGGTTGAATGAAACCAATTGCCACTCAAACTCCTCGAAAACCTCGTTTCAACGATGAATTCACGAATTCACGACATGATTCAAAGAAAAGGATAACAATTGTTGGTGCTTTTCCAATATCGGGGGGAGCGGTCCGATTATCGGGGGAGCGAAAGGAAAATCGGGGGAGCAAATTTTGGCAGCGCTACATATGTCCTATTTAAAATTGTGACGAACGGGAGCTTGCTTTGTTGCAAAAAGTTATCGACTCGAATTCCTCTTGAATGCTTGGGGACCTTTCGCCGTGCGCAAGTGTCACATACCCAGCGAAATAGATCTTTTCCCTTTGAGCGGACTTTGATCGATTCGCCACAGTTGCAAATCCACGACTGGATGACTCCTTTGGTGACGAAATAATCGATTGCCGTCGATTTCTTGAACGCACAAATATCGGAGAAGCGCATCGTCGTTAAAGTTTTAAAAAAACGTTGCAGCTAAAATACAGTCCCGGAAATGCATTTTTCGAGGGGGCAAAATTTGCTCCCCCGATTTTCCTTTCGCTCCCCCGATCATCTTTCCGCTCCCCCCAATATTGGAAAAGTACCCAATTGTTGATTAGATGAATTTAAAACGCCGACTCATGTTTTTGATATTGGTTTTGCTATGTTAATGATCATTTATTGTTATGGTGTCTCGACAATTGGGACACCTACATATATTTCTTAATTCGTTACTTTACAAAGCTATTTCTGTTATTTTATTGAAATAAACAATATCAATTTGGATTTTTGAATACGCTGATCTTGAGAAACAACTTTTCGATTGCCAACAAACTGTGAAAACGCTTCAAACAGAGAAAATTTGGGGGTGCCTCGAAATATGAGACGCACTGTATGATTCATCGACATCCAGCTTCTCCAATAGCTACAATTTGACCTTTTTGGAAGCAGAAAGCAGAAAATTTAGATTTTGAATCGATAAAGAAGAGGTTTCGAAAGATTATTTATTATTTGAAGAAAATAAAAAATTTCATTTTTGATTCACACGTTTTTAAGTTTTTTTCAAAAGCATGATCTTATCCAATTGAAAGTATTATTTGCCGGGACGTTTTCTGCCCTTCTGCCACTTTCGCCGTCTGAAGGACGAGGAAAAAGAAAAAAACAAAAACTAGAATGCTGTTTTCACAGTCCGAATCACAACAAATCACCAAAAAAAAACTAGAAGAACAGGATGCATAGCGCATAAGACCTCCCCCCAAGATCACAAAAGGTTTTGAGACGGCACAGGTAAAACTTGTTGTCATCTTGGGTGGAGGTCTTATGCGCTATGAACCCTGTTTATGTTGTGATGTTCTTGCGCGGGAGGGGGGGGGGGCACTATTTTTCCATATTACCTTTTTTTCTTTGATAACTATCTCGCTACATAATTAGTATTTTTGACCATAAAAATTAGTCACTGTTTGTTCAAAAAAGGATCAAATTGGTTCTACAACTTACACCCTAATTTTATCTGTCAATTCACCTCAAGACAAAGAAATTTGTGGTCAAGTGTTGCTAGAGGAGTTGAAAGTTTGTGGGTGAGCAATTCTCCATCGTCCAGAGTTGTCTGTCCAAGGTTGATCGCCGCATGGAGTCGAGGTTTACAGTTTATAGGTAACCCTCTAGCTTACTCATAACTAGATTTTAGTTGCAGGAAAAGCATTAAAAGCGTTTTTCAGATTGTCCATCTCTTCAACAATACCCAATTCGGTTCTACCAACAACGTCATTAACGTTAAACTCTACGGCTGAGACCCGTGAGAAGAAAACACAAAAACTTCGTAAAACCAGAAACGTAGAAAGTAACATAACAAAACATTTTGTCGTTTACGAGATTGACTCTTTACGTATTTTTAGTCTTTTTGTGATAAACAAAGCACAAATAAAAGAATTTCTAAACATAAAAATACTGTTTGGCTCTGTTTGTTTTAAATGACAATAGCTGTTTGGTTTCATTGTCTTTTTTCTAATAAAAGTTGTATCTTTTCATCCAATATAATAATTACAGAGCCACCGCAGGCCTCGATGCGATCGACGAGTTCTTCATGCCGCTCGTAGCCAGCTGTGCGATTGCGTCCCGACTAGCGCACGTCTTTGACATGACCTAGAAACTGACTTTTTTAACGGAAAATTAATGGACATTAATAAAAAGCATATTCAAACACAAAAAAAATGAGTAGTAATGCTTTATGCATTGTTCAAAACTATGCCAGAAAAACCATGTTTTCCGTGCGCGAACCCAATCGCACTCTTTTTGGCACACGGCACTGGAGGGGGTCAATAAAAGAAAGGTCTTCCCAAAAGGGTACGTTGGTCCGAAGCTAGCGGGTTACCTTACTTGGCTTAAAGTATGAAACACCCTCTAGCAACACTTGACCACAAATTTTTTTGTCTTGAGGTGGATTGACAGATACAAGTAGGGTGTAAGTTTTAGAATCAATTTGAGAGTTTTTGAACAAACAGGGAAAGATGCTAATTATGTAGCGAAAAAGTTATGAAAGAAAGTCTCCGTTATGAAAGATTTGAAAATCAAATTCGAATAGTGAAATTTAAATGTACACAGTTAAAAAAGCTATTCAAAGGTTTTAAATGTGGCCTCTATTGTACATGAACCTCAATGACTTCAAGAGTATCGTAGAGACGGCCACCTTAGAAGTTTTGATTGAAATTTCGAGTACTTTACGCAAAACAATACAAATTCTAAATATTTCAATTTGCATTGATTGGCGCGTCGAGCTTTTCGAATTTTCCCTTCCTTTTCATTCGATTCGAAAGTTTTTTTCGAAATTATAATTTTTGTCTTCTTTAAATTTTGATTTGACGAATAATTTGGTTCCTGAACTGCAACCCTTTTCATTTAAACAACTTCTGCACAACTTTAATCGAATTTATGCAACTCAGGGCCTTCAACAAATCCAGAATGTTATTCTTTTGTTTAAATTTTTGATTTCAGAGCACAGAAAGAGAACATATGCCAGAGTTCGTCAAACTTCAAGCGGGGAAACAGGCAGGCGGCAGTGTAGATATGTGAGTTTTTCTTGGTTTTTGAGCTTTAAAAGATCAGATTTTTAAGGCTTAAATCTATCTTTTTAGCCTCTTCTATTTGACGCTGAGCCTCGGGGTGGCCGCCATGATAAACATCGGCTTTGTGATCATCGAACAGGTGAAGCTTTGTGATTTAAAAGATTACTTGAGCCGTTAAAACTTAGCGTGGACTTTCTATTGTCATATTATCTGGAAAGTTAATGTTTATTAAACTTTGGTACTAGCCTAGTTGAGGAGGAGCACTATTTTTCTCCAAAATCACTTTTTTTAGGGTAATTTTATGTGTAGATTCCGAAAAACACAACGAGAGCTTGGTCAGCAAATCCAACAATGGTATCTCGAAGAGGTCTACAAGGAGCTAGCGCGCAAAAATCAACAGAAACTCCGCGAGAAACAGAACAAACAACTTGAGTGAGTGATTGGATTATGAATCTATTTTTTTGTTATTACAGTGCCATCAAGAACCCATTGCTTGCACTCCATAACCTCAAGACCCACCATCTGGTATCGATTTGCTTATATAGTTAGTTTAATTCATTCTTTGCTTTTTAAGGAGGTAAACGCGAACCTGAGAATAACGCAAATACAAAGGACGACAAGATGACAAAGATAAGCCAAACGCACGCCGCAAGATCCAGTAAATCTTATGCTATAAATCAAGCATTGTTTTCAAACAACAACTTTATTTCTCTGCTTTAGAAGATGAGCCGACGCAACCGAGCAACAAGACGCAGAAGAAGAAGAGCACGGTGACGAAAGGAAGTGGTACACGTGAATGGTATAAACTTTAGCTGTAAATTTAAATAGGCTTCATGCAATCACATCGATTTTGTGAATGTTTTAACTTTAGCTCGCGTAAAGAAGACGGCCTCTATGCAATCTGTGCCATCGATCGGCACCGCCCCGACGATAACGGTTGAAGTGTGAGTTTTTCATCTTAAACTAGAGTCAGAGATTATACAATAACTTTGGTATATTGCTTAGAATGTTGTCATTAAAATGTCAAACGTTGTGTCATTTTAAAGCCCATAACATTACTGTTCCTTTTAGAACTCAAGAGATGCCAGAGGCGAGCAACAATGACGAGATTCAACTAAAGTAAACGAAATGCGGAAATTTAAACTTTGTCGGCTTCTGAATAAATGCTTTAATGGGTTTTATTTGTTTGCATAAAATGAAAGATTTTTGCATCAGTTTGATAGGATTTTTTGACTAATCAATTTAAAGTAGAAAATCTCTCCTTTGAGACTCAGCTTTTCAAATAGTTCTTGCAGTGGAACATCTCAGCACTGTCATAGTGCTCAATTGGGAAATTTCATAAAAACGGCTTTTTCTCTCTTCCATATGATTCAAAAAACTTTTACGCAATATAAATTTTATTGATTTCTCAAATAGTCTTTTCCAGAATTCATCACAGTTGCTCATTTTTGGAAGCAGAAACAAAAGCTCTTCATTTTTTTGTTAGATTACCCAAATTTGAGGTTATCATTAAGGATATCTTAAGAGTATACAGAGAAATTCCGTTTTTTCCTCTTCCCGAATTCACAAATCTTTTATCATCATTTTAAACTGTCCACTGCTCAATGAAGCATACAAAGTTCAAATTTTCCAGCTCATGCAATCACCACAGATCAACTGGTACCCCTTGTCGACGATTTTGTCGATCAGCTGAGAGTGTTTATAGCCAAAAACGAACTTGTTCAGAATAGTGCTAGAAAAAGTGATGGCTAGAGTCGAAAAGTTGCAAATCTAAAACATTAATCGAGCAGAGAATTTCAAAGTAACAATGTGCATGGGGGAATATTAACTGTTTTAACATTTAAAAACAGTCAATTCTTGTAGTGGCACACCTCAGCACTGTCATAGTGCTCGATTGCGAGATTGTCTTGAAATTCTGAAATTCTGTTTTTTCGACTACCACTTTCCTTTCTGCTTTCTGCAAATCCTCCATTTCCCATTTTTTTTCATGACAACTGCTCTTTTTGTCTTTCCTTATCATTCAAAAAAACTTTTACGCAAGAAAAATTTTATTGATTTCCCTTTTGGCTTATCAGAGGAAAATCAAGGTGAACAGTTCACTTTCGAAAATACATTTTTGACTTATTTATTCAGTTTTATTCAGTAATTGGACAAACTCTTTGGTTAAATTCTACAAATGGGTCAAAAAGTAAGTGTTTAAAGTTGAAATAAACGTCTAGAATGCAATAAATTCCCTTGTAGATATGATAGAGTAGTGGAAAATAGAAACAGCGCCTTTTCTTTTCCAATATCAAACATTCAGTCCAGTCATTTTGTTTTCTATTTTGCATTAATTATGGCTTATAACATTAAAATATCTAGCAATTCCAAAACGAGTTGAATCAATTGAAAAATCAATTTGAGCGTAATTTGATGGATGAGAAAGCAGATAATGGAAGGCTCGAAAGAGAGATTAGACGAGTGAATGATGAAAATGCAACGATGAGACAGCAATTGCAAGTGTTAACGGCGGAGAACAAAGAAAAGGAATTGGTACAGGTGAGGAAAACCAATACATACCTAATATTACCGTAGTTGATCTAATAAATAGTATACCTAGTTGGTACTCTCAGGTATTCACTGATGGAGAAAGAAATGTAATTGATGACAATTTCAGGTTCTCGAGGAAATGCAAAAAGATTGCATTAAAAGGAATGAGAATGCTACAAAAAAACTGAAGGAAATGGAAGAAAAAGTCGACAAAAAAGGAGAAGAGTTAAAAGAGAAAATGGAAAAAGTGGCGTCGATGGAGAAAGAAATGAAATTCATGACGATGGCTGTGTGAGGAAAAGATTGAAGAAAGTACAGTAATATTTAGAGAAGAGAAAGATCGGGAGATCTTTCGGCTCAATGAGGAGTTGAAGAAACACCAAAAGCCGGCTGGGAAAATGGACGAGAAGGCGTTTAAGGGATTGGTGGAGCTGTTGGAGGTGAGAAAAGCCTCGGTTTATACAGAGAAACTGTAGCCAGAGATTACTGTATCTCTAGGCACTATAAATACTCGAGTAATGCACTCCTAAAAGGCATCTTTTTAAACAACCATAATCTAACCATAGCTACAGTACTTCTTAACAGAAAACTACCGTAATTAAGGCGTCAGTTGATCCGAAAATGATCCAAATTTTTTAGCAAAGACTCTCCGGTCAGCGCAAGGAGTGCCCATCGTGTGAGCCCGACGGTCCGCCGCCACTTTTAAGTAAACTATGGATCTGCACAGAACATTTTGAGGTCTCTAACTTGAGAAATTTCTAAATCAAAATTTTCTAGGCAAAACACAAAAAATCGATTACCGAGGTGCCATTAGATGAGATCGAGGGAATTGTAAGAAAACTTTGAAAACGTTTTAAAGCAATATTTAGGTGAATCAGGAAGTGATTTGCGCTGATTGCATCCAACACTCGCACAGGAGATGCCAAAAGGATATGACGAATCTGCTGGAGCTGAAGGTTAGGGTTACTGTAGGGTTACTGTGGCGTTTTTGACCCAACGTGGATTTTTTTTTGGACACCCTGTAATTCTGAGGAGTACTGAGGAGTAGAGTTTTCCTCAGAAAATATATCTTTAAAGTTACTGTACCGTAGCAGGGATACTGTAGTGTATCTTTTGAGATACGGTAGTTTGAGAAACTTTCATTTTTTTGTATAGTAGCTGGCTTTTCTGGCTACTACTTTGCCGTCTTCTTGCTTTAATCAACTTTTCAGAAACTTTACATATGTGAAAAGATGCGTCAATTCTTGGAAATGATCAAATGGAAAGAGAGAATCGGAGAAAGAGTGCCGAAAACGAGTGCAGAATCGGCTGAAGCGGTGAGAAAGAAATGCTGAGTTTTTCAAAAACATATCTAGATGGTTTTTGAGTTAATAAAAAAAGTGAATTTCAGAGAATCCGGAAGAAAATCGGTGATTTGATGCAAGGAACACTGAAAGCTACGGATGTTGATGTAAAAGTGGAACATTTGGTGGAATCGTTGAAGAGATTCGCGCAAGCAACAGCTGATATGGAGACACAAATGGAGGAAACGATGAGAAATGTGAGAGAAATGAGTATTCAAGGTTTTTGAGAACAGCTTATTGAGGTTTTAATAATGAAATGAACGAAATACAAAAAAGAAATCAATCAATTCAACCTTTCAGATGATCATGATCGAGAATGACGCTCAAACGGTTTAACACGTGCAATTCTTTTTAAAACCTGTACATATTTCTTTGATTATTTTTTTTTTGTTGTAATAAAGTTTTATGGATTAGAAATTGTTATTTAATCGCTAATTGTCATCTAAATTAGCTTTAGATTAAGCTAAATGCGTTTAGATTGAGTTAAATTAGTTTAGATCAAGCTAAATTGGCTTTAGATCCAGCAAAATTAGTTTAGATTTAGCTAAATTAGCTTCAGCTTCAGTATATATGCTTTATTCAGGGGGCGAATAGAAGCGAATCAGATAATCATAGACGCAAATAACATATTGCTAAAATACTTTCACAAAAAAAAGGAAAGAAAACTAAAAATAGTACAGTAAAACTACATAAGTCTAGTCTCATAATTTGGAATAAGAGAAGAAGGGAAACAACAAGTGAATGCTTTTCTAGTGAAACGCCATTGGACATTTCCAACTAGGGTGATAAGTTTCTTATTGGAAGATGACCATACGATGGTGGCATACTCGAGCAAAGGCCGGCAATACTAACCAGTGCTGAAAAGTCATTTCTCTCTCAAATGAAAGCCGCATTTGAGTTTAGCCTAGAATTCGAATGGATAAATCTCAAGTTTAAAAACAACCTTTCCAGCACTTGTTCGTATTTTCCCAAATTTTTACCCGAAAAAACTTATATCACGATTCTATAGCCTAATCTTTCCATATTTTATGAAATTCTTGAAGTTTCTAAGCTTTATTAATGGCTTGAGCTAACGAAAAAAGATATTGAGTAAACTTATATTACGATTCTATAGCCTAATCTTTCCATGTCCTATGGAAGGATCACGGTAATGTACCGTATTTTAGCAAATTTTTAAACTAAAAGAAGTTATATTCAAATTTTGACTCTAGAATCCTTGTAAAAGTATTAGAAATATTGCAAAATCAAACTAGAAAATCGATCTGGATTGTCAATCTGGAATGTAGTAACTGGGCAGCTAGCTCGTTTTCAACCTTAAAACTGGAGTCTCTTTGATTGTTTATTATTTTTTGACCCACTCAGAGAGGCAGTCGGATATCCCATTCTCCTTTCGGATCTGGGATGCGGTCATCAACGGTGGTGTCCAAAAGAACAACCAACCATTCTTCCCGCTCTCCGTTTGCCCATGTCCCAATCATCGCAAGTGCAGGGTGTTGCATAAATGTAGGCAAAGCGAAATCTAAACTACAGAAATGATCCTGTGAAGTATGATTTCAACAGCCAACCGGAGGGAGCTGGGATCTATTATGGCCGTCCGCCAGAAAGCGAGCGATTGTGCGCAGAGAACGCCTAATTGACTGGGGCGAAGAGCTTTTGGGGGAAAATTTTAGGCTTATAAATCAGTATTTCTGTAAATATTTTTAGCATTATCTATTTTAGCACTATTGTTTAGCATTATCTAATCCTTAAACTTATCTAAACGACCCATTTTCCTTACTCACTTTCCCCATCTCTTCACCAAATCATTTCCTCCATCGAAAATTGTGTCTATCACCTCTTTTAAAGGTGAATTCTTTTTTTGGTAAACTATTTCAATTTAAATATCGATAGAGAACAACTTGGTGCATCTAATGATACCAAGAACATTTAAATTGAACAGCCCAACACCAAGATATTTGAGCTCAAAGTTAGATTGCCAATGGCCAATGCAGATGTGACTTGTGAAGCAGAAGCGAAGCGTATCAACTGTCCAACAATCACCCACCGATCCTCTCTCGATCTCTCGATCGATGCACGTTTGAGTCTTGATTTACACTTAAAATATGGAGTCCGGGTAATTCTCGAATACCCTGTACTATTCGTCTAGCAAAGCATTTAAAATAGAAATTTATGTTGAAAATTGAATGAAAGAGTTTACTCGTATTGATTGATAAGCACAAAGCAAAATGAATAAGATAAGTGATCAGCTTTTTTCACTTTTTCCTTGAGCTTTTCACCAAAAATTGACACCCAAACGATGAGATCGACCGGGGAAAATGGATCCATTGTACTTTTTGATTATCTAAACTTGAAGAATTCACCGACCTAATTCCACCTTCGTTTTCTCGGCCGTTGCTTGGCCGCTTTCTCTGAACTTTTGTCTACAGATAACAATCAATCAGCTTGTAGACAACCTTTCAGAGCAATCAGTCAAGAACCGGTCGAGAAAACGAAGGTTGAATTAGGTTCGGCTTGAATTTTCCCGTAAACCTACAGTTTGAGCGGCTTTCCTTGTATTCAGCGTGACAATGCATTGACCGTTTAGAGCCGATTCCCCTGTAGCTGGTGTAAACTCAAGCCTATAACATAGCTGATAAATTGTTTCCTTTGAACAACTTACAAATTCTTTCCGTTCACCATTCTGATATATACATAGACTCCATCGATTGTTTTCTGATCAAGCGTCTGGATGATGAAATTCTCGGTGAAACCGAATGGAATCCGCGTGATTCGTATTCGGCAATTCTAAAGGGAAAAAAATTTATTTTCAAATTGCAAATATACCTCTTCAGGATCAGAATTATTGACAAGACAAGACTTTCTTTGAATTTTCGTAAATCATTGGACCTGTAAGTTTAATCAAAAAATTTGTGTTTACAATTGGAAAATAATCTGGATACCAGTTCCAATCAGTTATAGAAATTTATAAAGTCAGCCAGTCAATGCTTACCACCATAGTTTATCCCAAAATCCCTCTTTGAGATCCCAAAATATTCAACAAGTAGTCGAGAATTTCCGCATATCGCTTTGTTGCTCCATTTCGTGATTGTCTAAAGGTTTTTCTGGTAATTAAATTAACCCAAAAATCAATTATCAATAAAAAACATAAAATACCTGTCTGGCAGCGTCTTCCTTTTGAAAATACACAATACAATTGACACCATCTCCTGCACGTTTTGTGATCATCTTGTACCTAAAAAATTCGGCTTTAAGCAGATTATCAATTTATCTGCGATAATCTATTTTCCATTCTGTGCTAACCAAGGTAAGTCAAAAAAAACTTTCTTTTACCCCCACCTTCCGCCTTCTTTCATGATATCTTTTCCACCATTCAGATAAGTTTCCAAAATCTTCTTCTCAGCTGAACCCTTTGGCAAACCACTAATGAATAGAGCACTTGTTGTCATCTGAAACTCTAAAATATTATACTTTTACAAAGCCAACTCATACATTTTCAGGACAAATCGCAAGATTTGTCCAAGTTGTTGATGCTTTTGAGGTTGAAGCGCTTGATTGAGACGCTTCGCTTTTAGAACCTAAAGTTTATTAAAATGAATCTTTCCATAAATAGCTAACTTGTAGTTGCTGACGATCCCGTTTCCGTTTTAAGAATTCCATTCTGTGCCTTGGGCAACTCCACCGGCTGGATTGGCGCTCTTGCTATCAAGGCTAAAAGTTGCATTTGCCCAAAATACAGGGTGCGCATAAATCCATAAAAGTTACAGGCCTCGCCCCAAAAAAAGGTGCGCCCAAAGCGCCCCTCAGCGGACCCTCTTCTCAATCACTTGTCTTAAATAGCGTTGCACTTATAAATTAACCAGAAACGTTTTCTAAATCAGTTTTTCGCGAGGAATTCGAATTTCTTACTTTTAAAATCGTATCTTTTATCTAGAATTACCAAAAATGCAGAAAATACAAGTACGGGAGCTCCTGGTATCACGGCTAAAAGTTGCATTTACCCAAAATAGTCACCTAGATCCTGGATAATTCCAGGGTCTAGGTGACTATTTTGGGTAAATGCAACTTTTAGCCGTACGAAAATTTCGTATTAAATGATTACCATAATTTTTCCGAAAATCCCGATAATCTTTTCCATAATATTCGACGAGCAGCCGCATTCCATTTTCCATAATTTGCGCGTTCCATCTCGTGATCATCTAGATTTTGTAAATTTTAATGGAGTTTTATGATAAAATTCACCTTTTTTGCATCGATCTCATTTTTCAGCTCAACCACACAATTCTGAGCCACTCCTGTGTCCATCAAAAAGATTTGGAGTCTAAAAATTTTAATTGTAACCTTTTTTTCAGTTTAAACTTTATTTATTAGACCAACTTGTCATTTTGTGTCACCAATTCGACGTCGCTGAAAAGCTCATTCCGAGAATGGTACTCTCGATATTCTCTTGGTAAACCGCTGATGAAAAGTTTCCTCTTATTTAGCTGAAAAGTGGAATTGAACTTGAAAAAATTGCAAGCTAACGCTAATTTTGCTAATTTTTTGCTTATACAGCTAGAGAAAACTTTGTATCAACTATTTTTTAAACTCGAATCTGACTTGCGCTGATTTTTAGGCCAACAATTAGCCAGGCTTAGCTGATCCTGACATATTAGCTTTCTATTAGATGAATTGCTATTAGTTCTTTTACTTTTAAAGTACTTTGAAAAGAATTGAGACTTAAAATGAACTTTTTGCATGTCATTTTTGTTTAGAATTTCCCCAACTTACATCTTTCGTTGGCTTTATATGAAATTCAATCTTATTCAACACTGAAACATCAACTGCAGCATTTGGCGCTTCATCTTTCACCGTTGAATTCTTGATCATCGGCTCCCAGTTTAAAGCCGATTCCTCGTCCATTTTAACAGGATCTTAAAAATCAGCTTTTGTCCGGTTCAATTACGCAAACTCACCACAAATCAAATCCTCATTCTCTTCAGTGATCTCTAAAAAGTCCACAGTTGCATCAGCAAGTGATTTCTCTCTCAAATGAAAGTCGCATTTAAGTTTAGCCTAAAATTCGAATGGATTAATCTCAAGTTTAAAAAACAACCTTTCCAGCACTTTTTTTACTATTAAAGTAAGCAATACAGAACCATTTGTCGTCATCAGTGACTCGAAGGGAAACGACTGGGCTGTAAAAACTGGTTGATTACATGAGTTCTAAAAGATTTTTATTCAATCACCGTCCGTCACAATGTGCAATCCCATTAGACCTCTCGAAAAGCCCATTCACAACATCGTTCACCGTGAAATCTTTCGGTAGTCCAGTGATGCAAAGTTTTGCCTTATCGAACTAAAGTCTCTTTCTAAACTTGTAGAAATTAAACAAATGAAATTTCAACTAGATTTTGCTCTAAGTCTTCTCATACCTTTTTCTCCTTTAGAGGCTTAACAATTTCCTCGTTTTCCATTGATAGAACTTCATTTTCAGCGATCTCTTCCTGAAATTTGAGAATAAAAAAGTAAACTTTAAGCCTAAATGTGGTAATTCAATTAAAATACCTCATTATTTGTTTCTTCATTGATTAACTGAACAGGCTGTGCTTCGAAAAGTTTAACAAAACCTAAAGACAGTCCATTATTTTATCGTTTTGCTCAACAATTACCTAATAAAGTCTTCGAAAACACTCCGCTTTTGATTCTTTGTCCACAAACCGAACAATTGAAGCTGAAAATTGTGTAAACTGTAATATAGTGTGGCTTACTGTTCAGATAACTAGCAGAGATACTGTACCCAGATTGTAGTCTAGTTTAACACAATGTCAGCTAAATAGGGATACTGTACCTAGATTGTACTGCAGGGTACTGTACTGTAATCGAATGTCAGACAGACATACTGTACTAAATTTGTCTAGTGTACTGTAATCAAAGAATTAGAAAGCATAATGTACTTAGAAAATGATGTGATGTAAGGTTGTGATTGGGTTTTAAGTAATTTAACTATAATTTACTGTTATTTATAGTAAACTCTAAAAAACCAAAGTTGACACGATCTTTTGGTAAAAAGAGCTTTTAAAAATAGCTATTCTACTCGTTTCTACAAGCGTTTTTAGTCTGATTTTGTAGTTTATAGTGTCCATGTCTAATTCTGAAGTTTTTTTAGATTATAGATTTCTAGATTACTTTTTTAGTCTAGTTTCTGTATAGAGTGTTCAATTTTTATGGAGATTACTAGCTTTCGGACTCATTTTGTACAAGTTTAATGCTTAAAAAGGAAACACATTTATCAATATGCTCAATTTTTACAACTTTAGGTTACTAAATTCCCCTTTTGCGCTGCGTTGCTTGCCTGGAAACGCCTGTGGAAAGTTGAATAAGTTGGGTTTTTTTCGCAAAGTCTCGTTAAGCTTTCTGGAAAGAAACAAAAATTAAATGTAATTCTAACATTTTTAATGTCTCGTAGATTCGAAAACTGTTAAATAATGGACTTTCTCATCGCTAAACAAGAACAACTGGGATCTGACTCCAAAATTTGGTGATCGACTTCCAATGAATCGATTTTGGTATATCAAATTTAGTAAACTCTAAAAAGAATCTAGAAAATCGAGTTTTTTCCAACTTCTATGACGATTTCTTGGCACTTTTTTTTCATAAACCAATTTTGAAAGTGCTAAACGAGCTGTGAGCTCAAAAGTTCCCATAAATAATTCCCTCAAAACTTTACCTTTATCCTTTGTCCTTTGTCCTTTGTTCTTTGTCTTTGTCCCAACACGATTTACACATTGAATGCCCGCATGGAATAAGTGTAACTGGATATCGATCTGATGAGACTAAAGAAGAGGTTTCATTGTAAATCTTGAAAACTCACATTGTTTCTGACAAACACTGCATAGTAAGATTTCGTCGATCGTCGAGCTGAAACAAATTGATTTTAAACTTAGAATTTCGCATACTTTCCAGGGAAATAATCCGTTTTATCACCAAAATCATTGACTATTTCGAGATTCTCTTCGGTTTGCGTTCCGTGATCGATTTGTGGTGAAGATTTGTGTACTGGCTTTGGTGCTGCTTCATTTCTAGAGAATGGCTCTGAACTCCATAAGGAGATCACCTAAAATTGATTATTTAAAGTGTACTTTGTGCTTTAAAAATACTCAACTCTTGACTTCTGGCAAAGTTAGGTAGTGTGTGTTTTCAAGAGCATAAAGTACCACAAGACTTACATGCTTTTTGTGTTCTTCAGACGGATTTGGAAATGGAGATGTGTAGACTACAGAAGCTTTGGTGGAGAACCTAAAAATAGAAAAATTAAAAGCAAAATGGCCGAGGTACACTATAGGTCGGCTTTGAACAAAAAAGTTAGTGTCATATTAGGTACTCCGGAAAATAACTGCGTTTTGAGCAAAGTATAATGAATGATGCCCTTTTTTCTAACACCAAAAAGAGAGCATCACTTCTTTTGGATGATAATCGGGCTTCGGGAAGGAATGGGCTGCTTCTCCTTTGTCTACCCACTCCGAATTTCGTTTTCGATTGTCATATAGCATCCACTTTGATCAAAACGTGATCTTTGATCTTTGATCACGTGATCAACCGGTCCAAAAAAGCTATTGTTCCGAGATTTCAACGAAGAAGCAGCAAGAAAGCGTGTAAACTTCTGATCCATTCAATTGTCCAATTGATGAGGTATCCACTTCTCCAAGCTTTTAACCTTTCCGATATCTTTCAAGTGATGACTTATGATCGAAATCCATAAATTAAAGTGTTTTGCTAGTTCTGGCTCAGTAGTCCGCGGATTGGCTTCGACAAGTTGTCTTAAATCATCATCAATAAGGCTTTGGCGGTCGCGACTCTCCTTGTCATCAAGATCCTCGTCTCTTTCCCGGAATCGTTTCAACCAAACTTGAGCGATCCTAACAGAAGTAGCCTCATGACCAATGAACAATTGATGTTTTCGGTCGCAACTCTTGGGCTATAACCAAGCTTGAACTCATATAAAAAATCGACCAAATTTGTCATTTGTCTATTCTCCTTAAGTCGAGCCCCTAAAATTAACCATTGCCTAGATAAACAAAATTTTTACGGCCTTGTGAAAAAAAGCTATCAACAATTTTTTATTAAAAAATTCGAAAAGAATTCGTACTGAAAAAACCCAGAAACAAGGCCGGAAATGATTGATATCAAAAGCAGTTATTTTAGTATCTAATAGAATTTCAGCATTTAAAATTTACCAGAAAACCAATTGACTCACCATAATGAGAGAACTTGGGTGTTGAGGAGAAAAAGTGGGATCTCGTAGATGAGTCTGACCAGGTTACAGCCCTCGATTCGCCAGAAATCCCCATTTCTTCGCTGAATTTATCCTTTATAAGCTTATTTTTTAGAATATTTACCACATCAAGCTGAAAATTGAGTGTCAGTGTTGCCTCAGGAATGTCTAGGGAAGCTGAAAAATGGCTGAATTTTGGGTTTCTTGACTAAATTTCTGGATTGACTGAATGTTGTACCAGTTTTTTTTGAATTTTAAATACTTTCAATCTTTTTACTTACCATAAACAGACTTGGGAATTCCTCGAGAAAACAGCTCTTTTTGTAATAAATCTGGCAAATATTGCAAATAAATGAAATCAAGACGTTTCTCGAGCTTTTCCAAGCTAAAAGTTGGTTTTTTTGGTTTTCTTAGGGTTAAAATCTTTTTTTAAGGATCAATTTTTGATATGAACCTCTAAAAACTCACGCCTTCCATTCTAGATCGTTTCGCTTCAGGTTTTGCAAAACTTGCTGATACATTTGATACAATAAATCCCCATGTTTTTGATAGAATTGAAATTCTTTGCGATAGTACTCAACAATGCGCTTGAATTTGACGTTAACTCTCTGAAAGTTTGATTTTCTTTACAAAATTTTTTGTTTATACCTCTATTCTATTCGAATAGATCGAAAATTCGATGTCCCAATTGCCCTAAAGATAAATATTTGAATGTTGGAGTTGAAAGTGAATAGATGAATAGTTTTTACGTGTAAATGAAAGAATTCTCCAAGCTACAGTAATCTTTTACAGTCTTCTACGGTGTTCTTTGCAACCTTTAATATGAATAAATCAATTCAAAGTACAAATCATCAAAATAGGAAGCTATTGGAACCGTATTGGAACCGTATTAGATCCGATTACCTTATTGTGAGCGTTGTGTGTTTCTCTGGGTTGAACAGATTGGAATTGGTCGTGGGAGTTGAAAATCTGATTGGAAAACTATTATTGAAAAGCTTTGGCTCTTTTTTCAGTAAAATAAGAAATTTCAAAGTTACCTGTTTGTTTTGCGCTTCTGTAGGCACGGTTGACGCAACGTCTCCTACCGGTATTCCCTTTAAATTTTAACTTTTATTAATATTATTTTCCAAAATTTCTTTACCTCTTTTGACTCCGCGGAACCCATTTCGCTTAGATTTAAAAATGCAAAAATGAAAGCTGAAATGTAATCGTAAATAACTTGAAAAGAAGGAAAAGAAAGAATTTTTGAAACCACGAAAAAGAGCAAAAATCTGATAAGAAAATGAGTCATATGAAAGGAACAAAAATGAAACGGAAATTGACAAAAGAAATGCTCGACTTACAGTCGAACTTCGATATAACAAACAAACAAAACAACAAACAACTTTGAACAAACAAACAAACTTTGAAATTCTAAAACCTGCATAAAATTTCTGCGTAGCTGCCCTAGTCAAATGCAAACAATGGCCGTCCAAGGCAGCTACGCAGAAAATTTGAGGCACACTTTAGATTCTTTATTGTTTTCGGTTCCAAGCGATTCGTGCTATCGAAGTTCGACTATACTTTTATTCAATCTATCCACTTTTTGTTTGATTTTGTAAGGGTTCAAAAAGAATATCGAAAGATATAAAAAGTGAATAGATTGGCTAAAAAATAGAGACAAGATTACGGTAGAAAAGGGACACTGTTCGAAAAAACGGAAAAGTTAAGGCAAGAGTTAGTTGATGCGATTTCGAAAACATTTTATTGGAGAGGAAGATGCTCTAGTGATGTTAATGCGAATGCTACTAAATTACGGTATTTTACATGATAAGTTACTGTACTCTGATTATCAGCATTAAGGTAGTTTTCTGGAAATTGATATTTTTTAGAAAAGATGTTAAGAAAATGTTTAAAATGTTGAAAATATAAGCAAATGAAAATGTTAAAAACAAGCAAAGATTCAATGTGAAATAGAATGCTGCATTTTGTGCTAAAATGATTCAAATGAAGTTTAAACTGTAGGAAATTCGTGAGCAGTTTTTAAAATCGAAGTTTTTCTTGCCCTCAAAGTTTTAATCAATTGAAAAAACGTGAAAATTCGTCAGCGAATGCAGGAAAACCATTGGAAACAAAGAAGAAAAAAAGCTGGAAGAAAAATATGGGGACTCTTTGAGAGAGCGCAGACATTCCAAAGATGGACTCGAATGTTCAAAAGGAAGAAAAAATGATTTCATATCGTAAGCGAAAAAGAACAATAACTAGGAAAATATGGCATAATTTTAGTACAATGTTTGGTTTGTTAATTCTTTTAAAACTACAGTATTTAGCTGTTTTAACGAGCTGGTGCGAAAGCGGCGAGGCGCGTTTTCTAAAGAGTGGATGCGCTACCGTACCCCGCACAAAATTCCCCTGTTGCCATTCTTTTCATAGGGAGGTAGTCAAATGAGCGCCAAAAATTGAGCGCCAATCATTTCAGCGCCAATCATTTCAGCGCCAATCATTTTAGCGCGCGTTCATTTCAGCGCGCGTTCATTTCAGCGCCGCACCAAAAATGACTGGAAAACATTCATTTCAGCGCCGAATCAGCCCATTCTGTATATGCATGTTATTTTTGCATTTTCTGCATGATCTCAAAGTTTTTACTGTATGTTTTTATCTAAATCATCTAAAGATAAAAATAATTCTTGGCAGCAAAATAAACCAAAATAAATCATGAACAAAACGTTACTTTGACTCAGAGTGTTTCTTTGTCTCGCCACTTCTTACGCAGTTCACGAGCCTAAGCAAAGAACTATGTTAACTGTAAGCAAATTGTAAACGAAAACGGCAAGAAACGGTGAAAAAGCATGCTATTGGGGTAAATATCATACAACTAGCAAATTTACACATTTTCATCAAAAAAACCTTAAATACGAGCTAATCTAACAATTTTTTTCCGCGCATTTGGTGCCTACTGCCGTGCCCTAGGTCAAATGAGTGAAAAAAGTGTAAAAACAGAAGCAAAACCCTAAAAAACATGCAAAAGCAGCGTAGAAAGCAAAAATATTAAAATTTAGTCGCGCTGAAATGAACGTTTTCCAGTCATTTTTGGCCCGGCGCTTAAATGAACGTTTTTAGGCCTTTTTAATTTGGCGCTCAAATGATTGTTTTCCAGTCATTTTTGGCACGGCGCTCAAATGAGTGGCGCTGAAATAAGCGTGAGCCAAATCGTTGGCGCTGAAATGATTGGCGCCCAATTGTTGGCGCTCATTTGACTACCTCCCTTTTCATATTCTTTCGTTTTGATTCGTCCGCCTTTTATTTTCAGGTTATTTTACCTTTATTTTATTTTATTTGAGAATCCCGGTAATTTTTCTTCCGCTTTCGTAAAATCTTTTATGTTTTTGTATTGTGTTTTTACTTTTCTTTCTTGTGTGCTTTGACTTTTAAGTACTTTGAGCACTTAAAAGTGCAAGTCAAAGCATACAAGTTTGGGAAAAGTCAACTTCCCACCGATGTAGCGAAAAAAAGAAGAGGGAAGACAGAGTAAATGAGCTTCAGCAGCATTTTAGTACTTCTGGAGCCCAAGCTATCAACTATCAACTCGAAGCGGCTAGAGAGGGCGGATACTTTCACAAATTACAAATTCGCCAGATCGATGACATGAGAAAGCAGATTAGAGAAGAGGTGAGTTTGGGCACTTTTTTCTTCAAAACCACTTTTTCTGGGATAGCTTTATGCGTAGATTCCGAAAAACACAACGAGAGCTTCAGGAAATGCGTTTTAAGTCGAGTTTCGGGTTCCAAAGTGCGCGCTTCTATAGCGTAATTCACTATGTGGAGCCTTAGCTATCAACTATTGGAGCAAAACGTCAAAACTAGAGCCAAAACTATTTTTAACCACTAAATATTCATCTTGTAACTTCAATTGACTGGCAGAGGCAAAACAAATTGAAAAAATTATTTTGAGATTTCAACCAATTTTGGCTCATGGTCGAGATTTGGAAAATAAGATTTTTTAAAAATTTGACTCCACTTTGATCAGAAACGTAATCAGCAGGTTCAATCATGCCAGAAGAAGTGTTTTAGGTTTCAAAATATTAGGTTGATGCATAAGTGTTTTTGTTCCTTTTCGTCTGCCGTTTCAAGCCAACAAATGCACCAATTAAACTACGGTTGATTTCATTAGAAAAACCAATTATTTTTCTGCAAAATAACATTAATACAGTGTGATGAGAGGGATGCACATAGGGAAGAGGCTTAAAAATGGTATTTTAAAACATAATAGGTTGATGCATAAGTCTTTTCGTTTTTTTCGTACTTCTGTTAAAAAGTAACAAATTCACCAATTAATCTATAGTTTGCTCTATAAAAAAAGTGTTTTTTTGTTCAATTTGCATCTTTTTAAATGAATTTCGGTTCACTTTCAAGCAAATTCGAGAGTGAAAAACGCCTTTTTCGTAAAAATCTATAAAAAACTCTACGGAAAAATTGGCTGAATGAATTTCTCTGAAATTTTGATTGACTGATTACGTTTCTGATCAAAGTGGAGTCAAATTTTTAAAAAATCTTATTTTCCAAATCTCGACCATGCGACATGAGCCAAAATTGGTTGAAATCTCAAAATAATTTTTTCAATTTGTTTTGCCTCTGCCAGTCAATTGAAGTTAGAAGATGAATATTTAGTGGTTAAAAATAGTTTTGGCTCTAGTTTTGACGTTTTGCTCCAATAGTTGATAGCTAAGGCTCCACATAGTGAATTACACTAAAGAAGCGCGCACTTTGGAACCCGAAACTCGACTTAAAACGCATTTCCTGAAGCTCTCGTTGTGTTTTTCGGAATCTACGCATAAAATTACCTTAGAAAAAGTGATTTTGAAGAAAAAATAGTGCCCCCTCCCGCGCAACTAGGCTAGTACCAAGTTTTTTGTGTAGAGTTATTAAAGTTCCTGCAATTTAATCTTATCAAACTTTTTTTGTTTAGAGGCGAGCACGACGATTTGCTCGTGTATTGCTTAAAATATTGTCATTAAAGTGTCAAAGGTTGTATCATTTTTTCATGACATGATTGTTTCTCTTAGAACTCAAGAGATTCCAGTCTTTTGACACTCTGCACTTGACACTTGACACTCTTGATTCTTGCAAATTTTCCTAGTTTGCATTTGAAATTGATTTGATTTGATCAAAATGCTAATTTACGGGGGAAAGTTCCGGAAAGACCCGCAATTAGGTGGTTTTATTTTGATATTTGATATTACGCGTTGAATGTACGGAAAAGATCCACATGGACCGCTTTTTCTTTCCAAAATTAAGGCGTTCTCTGTGCGAGTGCCCAATCGCGTCCTTTTTGCCACAGGGCACTAGAGGGGGTCAATAAAAGGAAGGTCTTCCCTGAAGGCCACGTTGGTCCGGAGCTAGAGGGTTAACATAACTGTATACAATTTGGCTGCATGCGGCGATCAACCTTGGAGGACAACTTTGGACGAGGAACCTTCGAGCATTGCTCACCCACAAAAATTCAACTCCTCTAGCAACACTTGACCACAAAGTTTTTTGTCTTGAGGTGGATTGACAGATAGGTAGAGTGTAAATTTTAGAACCAATTTGATCATTTTTGGACAAACAGTCACTAATTTTTATGGAAAAATACTAATGTAGCGAGAAAGTTATCAAAGAAAAAAAAGGTAATTTTAAAATTTCAAAGAACATGTAAAAATCTTGATTTATATAATAGTTGTAACAAAAACATTTAACAATTACAGAGCCACCGCAAGCCTCGATGCGATCGACGAGTTCTTCATGCCGCTCGTCGCCAGCTGTGCGATTGCGTCCCGACTAGCGCACGTCTTTGTCATGATCTAGAAACTAACTTTTTTAACGAAAAATTAATGGACATTAATAAAAAGCATATTGAAACACAAAAAAAAGTGAGTAGTAATGCTTTAAAACCTTAAAACATTAAAACGATTGACCTTAAAACGTTTTCTGTGCTCGCACACAATCGCGCTCTTTCTAGCACACGGCACTAGTGGGGGTCAATAAAAGGAAGGTCTTCCCGAAAGGGAACGTTGGTCCGGAGCTAGAGGGTTACCGAGAAAACTGGACTCCATCAGGGGATCCAACCTTGTCGGACAAGCACCCTCTAGCAACACTTGACCACAAATTTTTTTTGTCTTGTGGTGGATTGACAGATACAGGTAGGGTGCAAGTTTTAGAACCAATTTGATCGTTTTTGGACAAACATTGACTAATTTTTATGGTCAAAAATACTAATTATGTGGCGATAAAGCTATCAAAGAGAAAAAAGGTAATATGGAAAAAAATGATGCCGCCCTCCGCCTCCCGCGCAACAACATCACATCACATAGCGCATAAGACCTCCCCCCGAGATGACAACAAGTTTTACCTGTGCCGTCTCATTGTCATTGTCATTGTCTTTTTCTAGTAAAAGTTGTACCATTTCATCCAATATGGCTGAAAATTATGTGCGTCAAAGAAAACGCCATAATTTAATTTTCTTTCAAAGAACATGTAAAAATTATATATTGTTGAAAACTATACCAGATACTGCGCGCACGTAATTTTCAGCCACTCCGTACATCAATTCAACCATCTTCACAGTCGACGAAGCAAATGGACGACACTGTCATCAAAATCAAGCAAATTTGAAAAGAGGCTTTTGAAATCTAATCAGATTTTTCTTGATTTCTTAAAAGCATTCAAAAGTATTGTTACTGATTGTTGACTAGTGTTGCAAAGTTTGCAATTACTGATCTCATTTGCCTCATTTCACATATAGCGCAGTCGAATCTATTTGGTAAGTGATTTGCAACATTTCATTTAGTTTCAAAAATACGGGACTGAGCTGCAAACAGTTCTCTTCATCACATTTTGCTTAACAGGTTTCACTTTCAAAGAGATTTCCAAAAATTATTAAAAAAAACAGTTGAAGAACAAAAGAACAATCCTAATATTGGTTTAAATGCGCAGAAATTTTTGATGCACTACACGGAAATGAATATTCGGTGTTTGTTTATGTTGCTCCATAGCCAGGGTCCAAAACTTTCAAATGTTACTTTCGTTGAGGTTGGATTGTTTGTTTGAAAAATTGTTTTCATTTGGTTGAATTAGCTAAAATATTTAACCGGTAACTATTTTCAAGAAAAGTGTTTCTGTTCTAGTTTTTACAAATATTTTCTACAATTTTAATGAAATGCAAGCCAACCATATTTTGATCTTACTTTTTGTCAATCATTCAATTCAATTTTTCCAATTTGCATCTGAAATTGATCAAAATGCTAAAGGCAAAAAAGATCCACATGTACCGCTTTTCTTCTTCTTTCCTCGGCGTTTTCTTTGCGCTTACACAATCGCGCACTTTTTGGCACAGGGCACTAGAGGGGGTCAATAAAAGGAAGGTCTTTCCCAAACAGTACGTTTGTCCGGAGCTAGAGGGTTACCCATACAATTCGCCGCATGGTGCGATCAACCTTGGTCAAACAACGCTGGGAAATGGACAAATGGAAATGGAGCGCTGCTCTTTCAGCTCCTCTAGCAACACTTGAGCACAAATTTTTTGTCTTACGGTGGATTGACTCTAAAGGGTGGTCACTCAAAAAAATGACCAAGTCACTTCAACTGAAGAAACCTGAAGCCCACTCTGATTTTTGTTGTAGAAAACGTGGAAAAAGAAGGTCTCCGCCATGAAAGATTGGAATAATCAAATTCGAATAGTGAAATGTAAATGTACACAGTTAAAAAGCTGGGCAAAGGATTTAAATGTGGCCTCTATTGTACATGAACCTCAATTACTTCAAGAGTATTGTTGAGACGGCCACCTTAGAAGTTTCGATTGAAATTTCGAGTATTTTACGCAAAACAATAAAAATTCTAAATTTTTCAATTTGCATTGGTTGGCGCGTCGGGCTTTTCGAATTTTCCCTTCCTTTTCATTCTTTTTCTTCTTGCATTTTCATTTGATTCTATCTACATTCGTAAGTTTTTTTCGAAATATAATTTTTGTTTTCTTTGCTTACCTGATTGTTGACGAATAATTTTGGTTCCTGAACTGCAACCCTTTTCATTTAAACAACTTCTGCACAACTTTAATCGAATTTATGCAACTCAGGGCCTTCAACAAATCCAGAATGTTATTCTTTTGTTTAAATTTTTGATTTCAGAGCACAGAAAGAGAACATATGCCAGAGTTCGTCAAACTTCAAGCGGGGAAACAGGCAGGCGGCAGTGTAGATATGTGAGTTTTTCTTGGTTTTTGTACATTAAAAGATCAGATTTTTAAGGCTTAAATCTATCTTTTTAGCCTCTTCTATTTGACGCTGAGCCTCGGGGTGGCCGCCATGATAAACATCGGCTTTGTGATCGTCGAACAGGTGAAGCTTTGTGATTTAAAAGATTGCTTGAGCCGTTAAAACTTAGCGTGGACTTTCTATTGTCAGTTTTAAAATGGTGAAATGTCTTTAGAGTGATTAAAATTCTTGCAATTTAATGTTATTAAACTTTTTTGTTCAGAGGCGAGCACGGAGACGTGAATGGATGGATCGGGCCGAGAAGGAGCACAAGCAGGGGTGTGAAGAAGAGGTGCGACTATTTTGATTCTAGGCTTGAGGTTGAGAACTCGTTTTTCTTTTTTTATCTTTAGCAAATCCAACAATGGTATCTCGAAGAGGTCTACAAGGAGATAGCGCGCAAAAATCAACAGAAACTCCGCGTGAAACAGAACAAACAACTTGAGTGAGTGATGGAATTATGAATCTATTGTTTTGTTGTTACAGTGCCATCAAGAACCCATTGCTTGCCCTCCATAACCTCAAGGCTCTCAATCTGGTATGGATTTGCTTATATAGTTAATTTAATTCATTCTTTGCTTTCTAGGGAGGTAAACGCGAGCCTGAGAATAACACAAATACAAAGGACGAGAAGATGACGAAGATAAGCCAAACGCACGCCGCAAGATCGAGTAAATCCTATGCTATAAATCAAGCATTGTCTTCAAACAACAACTTCATTTCTCTGCTTTAGAAGATGAGCCGACGCAACCGAGCAACAAGACGCACACGAAGAAGAGCACGGTGACGAAAGGAAGTGGTGCACGTGAGTGGTTTAAATTTTAACTGTAAATTTAAATAGGCTTCATGCAATCACATTGATTTTGTTAATGTTTTAACTCTAGCTCGCTTAGAGAAGACGGCCTCTATGCAATCTGTGCTTTCATCGATCCGCACCGCGCCGACGATGACGGTTGAGGTGTGAATTTTTCATCTTAAACTAGAGTCAGAGATTATACAATAACTTTGGTGTATTGCTTAGAACGTTGTCATGAAAGTGTCAAGCGTTGTGTCATTTTTAAAGCTCATGACATTACTGTTCCTTTTAGAACTCAAGAGATGTCAGAGGCGAGCAACAATGACTAGATTCAACCAAACTAAACGAAATGCGAAAATTAAAATTTTGTCCGCTTCTGAATAAATGCTTTAATCGCTTTTACTTGTTTGCATAAAATTGAAAGATTTTTGCATCAGTTTGATAGGATTTTTTGACATTAACTAAACATTAACTTCGACTAAACAATTTAAAGTTGAAAATTTCCCCTTTAAGACTCAGCTTTTCAAATAGTTCTTCCAGTGGAACATCTCAGCACTGTCATAGTGCTCGATTGGGAAATTTCATGACAACGGCTTTTTCTCTCTTCCTTATGATTCAAAAAACCTTTACGCAAGAAAAATTTTATTGATTTCTCAAATAGTCTTTTCCAGAATTGATCACAGTTGCTCATTTTTGGCAGCAGAAACAACAGAAGCTATTCAGTTTTTGTTTAATTACCCAAATTTGAGGTTTTCATTAAGCATATCTCAAGAGTATATCGAGGAATTCCGTTTTTTCGTCTTCCCGAATTCACAAATCTTTTATCATCATTTTAAACTGTCCACTGCTCAATGGAGCCTACAAAGTTCAAAGTTTCGAGCTGATGAAATCACCACAGATCAACTCGTACCCTTTATCGACGATTTTGTCCATCAGCTGAGAGTACTTATAGCCAAAAACTAAGTTGTTCATAATAGTGCTAGAAAAAAGTGGTAGGGAGAGTCGAAAAGTTGCAAATCTAAAACATAAATCGAGCAGAGAATTTCAAAGTAACAATGTGTATGGAGAAACATTAACTGTTTTAACATTTAAAAACAGTCAATTCTTTCAGTGGCACACCTCAGCACTGTCATAGTGCTCGATTGCGAGATTGTCTTAAAATTCTGTTTTTTCGACTACCACTTTCCTTTCTGCTTTCCGCAAATCCTTCATTTTCCATTTTTTTTTCATGACAACTGCTCCTTTTCTCTCTTCCTTATCATTCAAAAAACTTTTACGCAAGAAAAATTTTATTGATTTCCCTTTTGGCTTATCAGAGGAAAAGCAAGGTGAACAGTCACTTTCGAAAATACATTTTTGACTTGTTTATTCAGTTTTATTCAGTAATTGGACAAACTCTTTGGTTAAATTCTACAAATGGCTCAAGAAGTAAGTGTTTAAAGTTGAAATAAACGTCTAAAATTAAATAAATTCCCTAATGGGTATGATAGAGTAGTGCAAAATAGAAACAGCGCCTTTCTCTACCAATATCAAACATTCAGTCCAGTCATTTTGTTTTCTATTTTGCATTAACTATGCCTTATGACATTAAAATATCTAGCAATTTCAAAACGAGTTGAATCAATTGATAGCTGGATTTGAGCGTAATTTGATGGATGAGAAAGCAAAGAATGGAAGGCTCGAAAGAGAGATTAGACGAGTGAATGATGAAAATGCAACGATGAGACAGCAATTGCAAGTGTTAACGGCGGAGAACAAAGAAAAGGAATTGGTACAGGTGAGGAAAACCAATACATACCTAAGATTACCGTAGTTGATCTAATAAATAGTATACCCAGTTTATACTCTCAGGTATTCACTGATGGAGAAAGAAATGTAATTGATGACAATTTCAGGTTCTCGAGGAAATGCAAAAAGATTGCATTAAAAGGAATGAGAATGCTACAAAAAAACTGAAGGAAATGGAAGAAAAAGTCGACAAAAAAGGAGAAGAGTTAAAAGAGCAAATGGAAAAAATGGCGTTGATGGAGAAAGAAATGAAATTCATGACGATGGCTGTGTGAGGAAAAGATTGAAGAAAGTACAGTAATATTTAGAGAAGAGAAAGACCGGGAGATCTTTCGGCTCAATGAAGAGTTGAAGAAACACCAAAAGCCGGCCGGGAAAATGGACAAGAAGGCGTTTAAGGGATTGGTGGAGCTGTTGGAGGTGAGAAAAGCCCAGGTTTATACAGAGAAACTGTAGCCAGAGATTACTGTATCTCTAGGCACTATAAATACTCCAGTAATGCACTCCTAAAAGCCATCTTTTTGAATAACATAATCTTAAACATAATCTAACGATAGCTACAGTACTTCTTAACAGAAAACTGCCGTAATTAAGGCGTCAGTTGATCTAAAAATGATCCAAATTTCTCAGCAAAAACTCTCCGGTCAACGCAAGGAGTGCCCATCGTGTGAGCCCGACGGTCCGCCGCCACTTTTAAGTAAACTATGGATCTGCACAGAACATTTTGAGGTTTATAACTTGAGAAATGTCTAAATCAAGATTTTCTAGGCAAAACACAAAAAATCGATTACCGAGGTGCCGTTAGATGAGATCCAGGAAATTGTAAGAAAACTTGGAAAACGTTCTAAAGCAATGTTTAGGTGAATCAGGAAGTGATTTGCGCTGATTGCATCCAACACTCGCACAGGAGATGTCAAAAGGATATGACGAATCTGCTGGAGTTGAAGGTTAGGGTTACTGTAGGGTTACTGTGGCGTTTTTGACCCAACGTGGATTTTTTTTTGGACACCCTGTAATTCTGAGGAGTACGGTAAAGTCTTCCTCAGAAAATATATCTTTAAAGTTACTGCACCGCACCTGGGATACTGTCGGGTATCTTTTGAGATACGGTAGTTTGGGATACTTCCTTTTTTCGTATCTTAGCTGGCTTTTCTGGCTACTACTTTACTGTCTTCTTGCTTTAATCAACTTTTCAGAAACTCTGCATATGTGAAAAGATGCGTCAATTCTTGGAAATGATCAAATGGAAAGAGAGAATCGGAGAAAGAGTGCCGAAAACGAGTGCAGAATCGGCTGAAGCGGTGAGAAAGAAATGCTGAGTTTTTCAAAAACATATCTAGATGGTTTTTGAGTTAATAAAAAAAGTGAATTTCAGAGAATCCGGAAGAAAATTGATGATTTGATGCAAGGAACACTGAAAGCTACGGATGTTGATGTAAAAGTGGAACATTTGGTGGAATCGTTGAAGAGATTCGCGCAAGCAACAGCTGATATGGAGACACAAATGGAGGAAACGATGAGAAATGTGAGAGAAATGAGTATTCAAGGTTTTTGAGAACAGCTTATTGAGGTTTTAATAATGAAATGAACGAAATACAAAAAAAAAATCAATCAATTCAACCTTTCAGATGATCATGATCGAGAATGACGCTCAAACGGTTTAACACGTGCAATTCTTTTTAAAACCTGTACATATTTCTTTGATTATTTTTTTTTTGTTGTAATAAAGTTTTATGGATTAGAAATTATTTTTTAATCGCTTTAATACTTAACGGTAACTTTCTTCAAAAACGAATCCACTAATTCATGAAGATTCTCTTCTATCATTTGGAAGTCTATTTTAAGAAGAAATTCGTGAAGAAGAGAGCCCATTTTTGGTGTATATTTTGTATCTGATTTGGATTTTTATCCGATTTGGATTGAAATCCCATCCGGAGATCTGATTTGGATTGAGACATTATTTCACAGTAGGGTTTTTAATGTTTTTAAAAGGTTTTTAATCATTTTCTAGAAATTTTATAGAGGTTTAACTCTGGCAACCTAGAATAGTCCGTTAGCAAAAATACAGAAGCATGTCAAAACGCGTAAATAAACTACTTTTTTGGGCAAAGGTGGTGCCGTTCTAGGTTGCCAGAGTTAAACCTCTATAAAATTTCTAGAAAATGATTAAAAACCTTTTAAAAACATGACCTGTGAAATAATGTTTCAATCCAAATCAGATATCCGATTTGGATTGAAATCCAAATCGGATATCCGCGGTGAGTTCAATCCAAATCGGATACAACATACAGTCGAGCCTCTCTATAACGAACCTCGATATAACGTAAACCTCTCTATAACGTAAGGCGTGACCGGTCCCGGCTGACGTTAAGCTATATAAAACGGTACTCTATATAACGTAAACCTCTATATAACGTAAGCTATAGCCGTCCCGTGAGTTACGTTATAGAGAGGTTCGACTGTATATACAAAGTAGACAAATCCCTAAATTCAACAAAAGTTATCACGAATTTCGATAGACATAAATATTCTGTTTGAACAAGCAAACACTTTGATGACAATTCCTTTCAGATGATCATGATCGAGAATGACGCTCAAACGGTTTAACACGTGCAATTCTTTTTAAAACCTGTACATATTTCTTTGATTATTTTTTTTTTGTTGTAATAAAGTTTTATGGATTAGAAATTGTTATTTAATCGCTAATTGTCATCTAAATTAGCTAAATTCGTTTAGATTGAGTTAAATTAGTTTAGATCAAGCTAAATTGGCTTTAGATCCAGCAAAATTAGTTTAGATTTAGCTAAATTAGCTTCAGCTTCAGTATATATTCTTTATTCAGGGGGCGAATAGCAGCGAATCAGATAATCAGATGCATAGACGCAAATAACATATTGCTACAATACTTTCACAAAAAAGGAAAGAAAACTAAAAATAGTACAGTAAAACTACATAAGTCTAGTCTCATAATTTGGAATAAGAGAAGAAGGGAAACAACAAGTGAATGCTTTTCTAGTGAAACGCCATTGGACATTTCCAACTAGGGTGATAAGTTTCTTATTGGAAGATGACCATACGATGGTGGCATACTCGAGCAAAGGCCGGCAAAAGGTTAGTGCTGAAAAGTGATTTCTCTCTCAAATGAAAGCCGCATTTGAGTTTAGCCTAGAATTCGAATGGATAAATCTCAAGTTTAAAAACAACCTTTCCAGCACTTGTTCGTATTTTCCCAAATTTTTACCCGAAAAAACTTATATCACGATTCTATAGCCTAATCTTTCCATATTTTATGAAATTCTTGAAGTTTCTAAGCTTTATTAATGGCTTGAGCTAACGAAAAAGATATTGAGTAAACTTATATTACGATTCTATAGCCTAATCTTTCCATATTTTATGAAAAGATCACGGTAATGTACCGTATTTTAGCAAATTTTTAAACTAAAAGAAGTTATATTCAAATTTTGACTCTAGAATCCTTGTAAAAGTATTAGAAATATTGCAAAATCAAACTAGAAAATCGATCTGGATTGTCAATCTGGAATGTAGTAACTGGGCAGCTAGCTCGTTTTCAACCTTAAAACTGGAGTCTCTTTGATTGTTTATTATTTCTTGACCCACTCAGAGAGGCAGTCGGATATCCCATTCTCCTTTCGGATCTGGGATGCGGTCATCAACGGTGGTGTCCAAAAGAACAACCAACCATTCTTCCCGCTCTCCGTTTGCCCATGTCCCAATCATCGCAAGTGCAGGGCGTTGCATAAATGTAGGCAAAGCGAAATCTAAACTACAGAAATGATCCTGTGAAGTATGATTTCAACAGCCAACCGGAGGGGAGCTGGGATCTATTATGGCCGTCCGCCAGAAAGCGAGCGATTGTGCGCAGAGAACGCCTAATTGACTGGGGCGAAGAGCTTTTGGGGGAAAATTTTAGGCTTATAAATCAGTATTTCTGTAAATATTTTTAGCATTATCTATTTTAGCACTATTGTTTAGCATTATCTAATCCTTAAACTTATCTAAACGACCCATTTTCCTTACTCACTTTCCCCATCTCTTCACCAAATCATTTCCTCCATCGAAAATTGTGTCTATCACCTCTTTAAAGGTGAATTCTTTTTTGGTAAACTATTTCAATTTAAATATCGATAGAGAACAACTTGGTGCATCTAATGATACCAAGAACATTTAAATTGAACAGCCCAACACCAAGATATTTGAGCTCAAAGTTAGATTGCCAATGGCCAATGCAGATGTGACTTGTGAAGCAGAAGCGAAGCGTATCAACTGTCCAACAATCACCCACCGATCCTCTCTCGATCTCTCGATCGATGCACGTTTGAGTCTTGATTTACACTTAAAATATGGAGTCCGGGTAATTCTCGAATACCCTGTATTATTCGTCTAGCAAAGCATTTAAAATAGAAATTTATGTTGAAAATTGAATGAAAGAGTTTACTCGTATTGATTGATAAGCACAAAGCAAAATGAATAAGATAAGTGATCAGCTTTTTTCACTTTTTCCTTGAGCTTTTCACCAAAAATTGACACCCAAACGATGAGATCGACCGGGGAAAATGGATCCATTGTACTTTTTGATTATCTAAACTGAAGAATTCACCGACCTAATTCCACCTTCGTTTTCTCGGCCGTTGCTTGGCCGCTTTCTCTGAACTTTTGTCTACAGATAACAATCAATCAGCTTGTAGACAACCTTTCAGAGCAATCAGTCAAGAAGCGGTCGAGAAAACGAAGGTTGAATTAGGTTCGGCTTGGAATTTTCCCGTAAACCTACAGTTTGAGCGGCTTTCCTTGTATTCAGCGTGACAATGCATTGACCGTTTAGAGCCGATTCCCCTGTAGCTGGTGTAAACTCAAGCCTATAACATAGCTGATAAATTGTTTCCTTTGAACAACTTACAAATTCTTTCCGTTCACCATTCTGATATATACATAGACTCCATCGATTGTTTTCTGATCAAGCGTCTGGATGATGAAATTCTCGGTGAAACCGAATGGAATCCGCGTGATTCGTATTCGGCAATTCTAAAGGGAAAAAAATTTATTTTCAAATTGCAAATATACCTCTTCAGGATCAGAATTATTGACAACAGCTTTCTTTGAATTTTCGTAAATCATTGGACCTGTAAGTTTAATCAAAAATTTGTGTTTACAATTCGAAAATAATCTGGATACCAGTTCCAATCAGTTATAGAAATTTATAAAGTCAGCCAGTCAATGCTTACAAACCATAGTTTATCCCGAAATCCCTCTTTGAGATCCCAAAATATTCAACAAGTAGTCGAGAATTTCCGCATATCGCTTTGTTGCTCCATTTTGTGATTATCTAAAGGTTTTTCTGGTAATTAAATCAACCCAAAAATCAATTATCAATAAAAAACATAAAATACCTGTCTGGCAGCGTCTTTCTTTTGAAAATACACAATACAATTGACACCATCTCCTGCACGTTTTGTGATCATCTTGTACCTGAAAAATTCGCTTTTAAGCAGATTATCAATTTATCTGCGATAATCTATTTTCTATTCTCCGCTAACCACGGTAAGTTAAAAAAAACTTTCTTTACCCCCACCTTCCGCCTTCTTTCATTATATCTTTTCCACCATTCAGATAAGTTTCCAAAATCTCCTTCTCAGATGAACCCTTTGGCAAACCACTGATGAATAGAGCACTTTTTGTCATCTGAAACTCTAAAAAAATTATAATTTTACAAAGTCAACTCATACATTTTCAGGACAAATCGCAAGATTTGTCCAATTTGTTGATGCTTTTGAGGTTGAAGCGCTTGATTGAGGCGTTTCGCTTTTAGAACCTAAAGTTTATTAAAATGAACCTCTCCATAAATAACTAACTTGTAGGTGCTGACGATCCCGTTTCCGTTTTAAGAATTCCATTCTGTGCCTTGGGCAACTCCACCGGCTGGATTGGCGCTCTTGCTATCAAGGCTAAAAGTTGCATTTGCCCAAAATACAGGGTGCGTAATCCATAAAAGTTACAGGCCTCGCCCCAAAAAAAGGTGCGCCCAAAGCGCCCCTCAGCGGACCCTCTTCTCAATCACTTGTCTTAAATAGCGTTGCACTTATAAATTAACCAGAAACGTTTTCTAAATCAGTTTTTCGCGAGGAATTCGAATTTCTTACTTTTAAAATTGTATCTTTTATCTAGAATTACCAAAAATGCAGAAAATACAAGTACGGGAACTCTTGGCGCTCCTGGTATCACGGCTAAAAGTTGCATTTACCCAAAATAATCACCTAGACCCTGGATAATTCCAGGGTTTAGGTGACTATTTTGGGTCAATGCAACTTTTAGCCGTACGAAAATTTCGTATTAAATGATTACCATAATTTTCCCGAAAATCCCGAAAATCTTTTCCATAATATTCGACGAGCAGCCGCCTTCCATTTTCCATAATTTGCGCGTTCCATCTCGTGATCATCTAGATTTTGTAAATTCTAATGAAGTTTTATGATAAAATCCACCTTTTTTGCATCGATCTCATTTTTCAGCTCAACCACACAATTCTGAGCCACTCCTGTGTCCATCAAAAGGATTTGGAGTCTAAAAACTTTAATTGTAACCTTTTTCAGTTTAAACTTTATTTATTAGACCAACTTGTCATTTTGTGTCACCAATTCGACGTCGCTGAAAAGCTCATTCCGAAAATGGTACTCTCGATATTCTCTTGGTAAACCGCTGATGAAAAGTTTCCTCTTATTTAGCTGAAAAGTGGAATTGAACTTGGAAAAATTGCAAGCTAACACTAATTTTGCAATTTTTTTTGCTTATACAGCTAGAGAAAACTTTGTATCAACTATTTTTTAAACTCGAATCTGACTTGCGCTGATTTTTAGGCCAACAATTAGCCAGGCTTGGCTTGGCTTGACTGATCCTGACATATTAGCTTTCTATTAGATGAATTGCTATTAGTTCTTTTACTTTTAAAGTACTTTTAAAAGAATTGAGATTTAAAATGAACTTTTTGCATGTCATTTTTGTTTAGAATTTCCCCAACTTACATCTTTCGTTGGCTTTATATGAAATTCAATCTTATTCAACACTGAAACATCAACTGCAGCATTTGGCGCTTCATCTTTCACCGTTGAATTCTTGATCATCGGCTCCCAGTTTAAAGCCGATTCCTCGTCCATTTTAACAGGATCTTAAAAATAAGCTTTTGCAGGTTCAATTACGCAAACTCACCACAAATCAAATCCTCATTCTCTTCAGTGATCTCTAAAAAGTCCACAGTTGCATCAGCAAGTGATTTCTCTCTCAAATGAAAGTCGCATTTACGTTTAGCCTAAAATTCGAATGGATTAATCTCAAGTTTAAAAAACAACCTTTCCAGCACTTTTTTTACTATTAAAGTAAGCAATACAGAACCATTTGTCGTCATCAGTGACTCGAAGGGAAACGACTGGGCTGTAAAAACTGGTTGATTACATGAGTTCTAAAAGATCTCCTTTATTCAATCACCGTCCGTCACAATGTGCAATCCCATTAGACCTCTCGAAAAGCCCATTCACAACATCGTTCACCGTGAAATCTTTCGGTAGTCCAGTGATGCAAAGTTTTGCCTTATCGAACTAAAGTCTCTTTCTAAACCTGTAGAAATTAAACAAATGAAATTTCAACTAGATTTTGCTATAAGTCTTCTCATACCTTTTTCTCCTTTAGAGGCTTAACAATTTCCTCGTTTTCCATTGATAGCACTTCATTTTCAGCGATCTCTTCCTGAAATTTGGGAATAAAAGAGCAAACTTTAAGCCTAAATGTGCTAATTCAATTGAAATACCTCATTATTTGTTTCTTCATTGATTAACTGAAGAGGCTGAGCTTCGAAAAGTTGAACAAAATCTAAAGACAGTCCATTATTTTATCGTTTTGCTCAACAATTACGTAATAAAGTCTTCGAAAACACTCCGCTTTTGATTCTTTGTCCACAAACCAAACAATTGAAGCTGAAAATTGTGTAAACTTGAATATAGTGTAGTTTACTGTTCAGATAGTTAGCAGAGATACTGTACCTAGATTGTAATCTAGTTTAACATAATGTCAGCTAAATCGGGATACTGTAACTAGATTGCACTGCAGGTTACTGTACTTTAATCGAATGTCAGACAAACATACTGTACTAAATTTGTTTAGTGTACTGTAATCAAAGAATTAGAAAGCATAATGTACTTAGAAAATGATGTAATGTAAGGTTGTAATTGAGTTTTAAGTAATTTAACTATAATTTACTGTTATTTATAGTAAACTCTAGAAATTAAAAAACCCAAAGTTGACACGATCTTTTGGTAAAAAGAGCTTTTAAAAATAGCTATTCTACCCGTTTCTACAAGCGTTTTTAGTCTGATTTTGTAGTTTATAGTGTCCATGTCTAACTCTGTAGTTTTTTTAGATTACTAGCTTTCTAGATTACTTTTTAAGTCTAGTTTCTGTACAGAGTGTTCAATTTTTATGGAGATTACTAGCTTTCGAACTCATTTTGTACAAGTTTAATGCTTAAAAAGGAAACACATTTATCAATATGCTCAATTTTTACAACTTTAGGCTACTAAATTCCCTTTTGCGCTGCGTTGCTTGCCTGGAAACGCCTGTGGAAAGTTGAATAAAATAGGTTTTTTTCGCAAACTCTCGTTAAGCTTTCTTGAAAGAATCAAAAATGAAATGTAATTCTAACATTTTTAATGTATCGTAGATTCGAAAACTGTTAAATAGTGGAGTTTCTCATCGTTGGACAAGAACAACTGGAATCTGACTCCAAAACTTGGTGATCGACTTCCAATGAATCGATTTTGGAATATAAAATTTAGTAAACTGTAAAAAGAATCCAGAAAATCGAGTTTTTTCCAACTTCTATGACGATTTCTTGACAATTTCTTTTCATAAACCAATTTTGAAAGTGCTAAAGGAGCTGTGAGCTCAAAAGTTCCCATAAATAATTCCCTAAAAACCTTACCATTCATCTTTGTCCCAACACGATTCACACATTGAATGCCCGCATGGAATAAGTGTAACTGGATATTGATCTGATGAGACTAAAGAAGAGGTTTCATTGTAAATTTGGAAAACTCACATTGTTTCAGACAAACACTGCATAATAAGATTTTATCGATCGTCGAGCTGAAACAAATTGATTTTAAATTTAGAATTTTGCATACTTTTCAGGAAAATGATTCGTTTCATCATTAAAATCATTGACTATTTCGAGATTTTCTTCGGTTTGCGTTCCGTGATCGATTTGTGGTGAAGATTTGTGTACTGGCTTTGGTGTTGCTTCATTTCTAGAGGATGGTTCTGAACTCCATAAGGAGATCACCTAAAATAGATTATTTGAGGTGTACTTTGTGCTTTAAAAACACTCAATTCTTGACTTCTAGCAAAGTTAGATGGTGTGTGTTTTCAAGAGCATAAAGTACCACAAGACTTACATGCTTTTTCTGTTCTTCAGACGGATTTGGAAATGGAGATGTGTAGACTACACGAGTTTTGGTGGAGAACCTAAAAATAGAAAAATTAAAAGCAAAATGGCAGAGGTACAATAACAGTCGGCTTTAAACGAAAAAGTTAGTGTCAAATATTAGGTACTCCGGAAAATAACTGCGTTTTGAGCAAAGTATAATGAATGACGCCCTTTTTTATACCACCAAACAGAGAGCATCACTTCTTTTGGATGAAGATCGGGCTTCGGAAATGAATGAGATTCTCCTTTGTCTACCCACTCCGAATTTCGTTTTCGATTGTCATGTAGCATCCACTTTTCATCGCACATGATCAGTCGGTCCAAAAAAAGCTATTGTTCCAAGATTTGAACAAAGAAGCAGCAAGAAAGCGTGTAAACTTCTGATGGTCGTCCAACTCATGAGGTATCCACTTCTCCAGTTTTTTAAACCTTTCCAATATCTGTCAAGTTGCCACTTATGATCGAAGTCCCTATATTGAAGTGTTTTGCTAGTTCTGGCTCAAGTCCGCGGATTGGCTTCAACAACTTGTCTTAATCATCATCAATAAGTCTTTGGCGGTCGCGACCCTTCTTGTCATCAAGATCCTCGTCTCTTTCTCGGAATCGTTTGAACCAAACTTGAGCGGACCTAACAGAAGTAGCCTTATGACTAAATGAACAATTGGTGTTTTCCGCCGCAACTCTTGCGCTATAACCAAGCTAGAACTCATACAAAAAATCGTCCAAATTTGTCATTTGTCTATTCTCCTTAAGTCGAGCTCCTAAAATTAACCATTGCTTAGATAAACAAAAATTTTACGGCCTTGTGAAAAAAAGCTATCAACAATTTTTTGTTAAAAAATTCGAAAGGAATTCGTATTGAAAAAAACCCAGAAACAAGGCCGGAAATAATTGATATCAAAAAACGCAGTTATTTTAGTATCTAATAGAATTTCAGCATTTAAAATTTACCATAAAACCAATTGACTCACCATAATGAGAGAACTTTTTGGGTGTTGAGGAGAAAAAGTGGGATCTCGTAGATGAGCCTGACCAGGCTACAGCCGTCGATTCGCCAGTAATCCCCATTTCTTCGCTGAATTTATCCTTTATAAGCTTATTTTTAGAATATTTACCACATGAAGCTGAAAATTGAGTGTCAGTATTGCCTCAGGAATGTCCAGAGAAGCTGAAAAATGGCTGAATTTTGGGTTTCTTGACTAAATTTCTGGATTGACTTTTAGTTTTACCAGTTTTTTCTGAATTTTAAATACTTTCATTCTTTCAATCTACAATATAATACTTTCAATCTTTTTCCTTACCATAAACAGACTTGGGAATTCCTCGAGAAAGCAACTCTTTTTGTAATAAATCTGGCAAATATTGAAAATAAATGAAATCAAGACGTTTCTCGAGCTTTTCCAAGCTAAAATTTGTTTTTTTTTAGTTTTCTTAGGACTTATCAGGATCATAAGGATCAATTTTTGATTATCAACCTCTAAAACTCACGCCTCAATTCGATCTTTCCATTCTAGATCGTTTCCCTTTCTGATCACTTCCCTTTGCAAAACGTGCTGATACATTTGATACAATAAATCCTCATGTTTTTGATAGAATTGAAATTCTTTGCGATAGTAATCAACAATGCGCTTGAATTTGACGTTAACTGTCTGAAAAATTGATTTTCTTTATAAAATTTTTTGTTTATACCTTTATTCTATTCGAATAGATCGACAATTCGATGTCCTGATTGCTCTAAAGATAAATATTTGAATGTTGGAGTTGAAAGTGAATAAGTGAATAGTTTTTACGTGTAAATGAAAGAATTCTTCAAGCTACAGTAATCTTTTACCGTCTTTTACAGTGTTCTTTGAAACTTTTAATATGAATAAATCAATCCAAAGTACAAATCACTTATCTTGTTGTGAGTGTTGTGTGTTTCGCTGGGTTGAACAGACTGGAATTGGTCGTGGGAGTTGAAAATCTGATTGGAAAACTATTATTTGAAAAGCTTTGGCTCTTTTTTCAGTAAAATAAGAAATTTCAAAGTTACTTGATTGTTTTGCGCTTTTCTAGGTACGGTTGACGCAATTGATCCTACAGGTATTCCCTTTAAATTTTAACTTTTATTACTATTATTTTCCAAAATTTCTTTACCTCTTTTGACTCCCTGGAACCCATTTTGCTTAGATTTAAAAATGCAAAAATAAAAGCTGAAATGTAATCGTAAATAACTTGAAAACAAGAAAAAGAAAGAGTTTTTGAAACCACGAAAAAGAACAAAAATCTGATAAGAAAATGAGTCATATGAAGGGAACAAAAATGAAACGGAAATTGACAAAAGAAATGACCGACTTATAGTCGAACTTCGATATAACAAAACAACAAACAACTTTGAACAAACAAACAAACAAATTCTAAAACGTGCCTAAAATTTCTGCGTGGCTGCCCTAGCCAAATGCAAACAATGGCTGTCCAAGGCAGCTACGCAGAAAATTTAAGGCACATTTTAGGTTCCGCCATACAACACCGCCACCATGCGATTTAGTGGAAGAAGCTCTATCACATCTAATAATATGGTAAGAGTCACTAGGGTCAAGAATAGAGGAAACTAGAGAGTCGTCTAGCTCTCGGTAATAGCAAGAAACGAATAAGATTTTGTACGAGTCATGGTCTGGAAAGTAGCTAAGCGATTTTTGCTATTAGAAACTATGCTATGGGCATTGGCAAGAAAAACACTAGGGGAAATATGAAGGGAACAAAAATCAAACGGAAATTGACAAAAGAAATGATCGACTTACAGTCGAACTTCGATATAACAAAACAACAAACGAACTTTAAACCAAAAAAACTTTGGCATTCTAAAACCTGCATAAAATTTCTGCGTAGCTGCCCTAGCCAAATGCAAACAATGGCCGCAGAAAATTTGAGGCACATTTTAGATTCTTTATTGTTTTCGGTCCCAAGCGATTCGTGATATCGAAGTTCGACTATACTTTTATTCAATCTATCCACTTTTTGTTTGATTTTGTAAGGGTTCAAAAAGAATATCGAAAGATATAAAAAGTGAATAGATTGGCTAAAAAATAGAGACAAGATTATGGTAAAAAAGGGACACGGTTTTAAAAAAACGCAAAAGTTAAGGCAAGAGTTAGTTGATGCGATTTCGAAAACATTTTATTGGAGAGGAAGATGCTCTAGTGATGCTAATGCTAATGCTACTAAATTACGGTATTTCACATGATAAGTTACTGTACTCTGATTATCGGCATTAAGGTAGTTTTCCGAAAATTGATATTTTTTAGAAAAGATGTTAAGAAAATGTTGAAAATGTTGAAAACATAAGCAAATGAAAATGTTAAAAACAAGCAAAGATTCAATGTGAAAGAGAACGCTGTATTTTGTGCTAAAATGATTCAAATGGAGTTTAAACTGTAGAAAATTCGTGAGCAGTTTTTAAAATCGAAGTTTTTCTTGCCCTCAAAGTTTTAATCAATTGAAAAAACGTGAACATTTGTCAGCGAAGGCAGAAAAACCATTGGAAACAAAGAAGAAAAAAAGTTGGAAGAAAAATATGGGGAATCTTTGAGAGAGCGCAGACATTCCAAAGATGGACTCGAATGTTCAAAAGGAAGAAAAAAATGATTTCATATCGTAAGTGAAAAAGGACAACAACTAGGAAAATATCGCATAATTTTAGTACAATGTTTGGTTTGTTAATTCTTTTAAAACTACAGTATTTAGTTGTTTTCAGGAACTGCTGCGAAAGCGGCGAGGCGCGCTTTCTAAAGAGTGGATGCGCTACCGTACCCCACACAAAATTCCCCTTTTGCCATTCTTTTCATTTTCTTTCGTGTTCACTTGTCCGGCTTTTATTGTCAAGTTATTTTACATTTATTTTATTTTATTTTATTTTATTTTATTTTAGAATCCCGGTAAATTTTTTTCCCTTTTCGTAAAACCTTTTTGTAGCATGTTTTTACTTATTTTTTTTCTTCAAAGCCACTTTTTCTGGGATAGTTTTATGCGTAGATTCCGAAAAACACAACGAGAGTTTGGGAAAATGCGTTTTAAGCCATGTTTCGGGGTTTTAAAGTGTGCGCTTTTATAGTGTACTTCACTAGATGGAGCCAACTTTATTAGTACCAATCATTTTAGAAAAGGGTTTTTAAAGCTAAAGGTATTAGGTAAGGCAGTTAGTTACTAACTTTGTTTCTATTTTTATACAATCTAATTTTTGTTTCTTGATATCCTTTATGATCCTCACAGCATTAGACAAAAAGTAGATAGATTGGATAAAAGTGAGACGATATTACGATAGTTTTGAGCCATGGACAGACGCCTTGGCCTGGTTCGGGTCGGGGAAATCGGTTTTGGAACATCCTAAGACCGGTGTGGTCCATGGACCGGCGTTGAAAATCCGTCTGAAAGTGAAATACAATTTTAATTTTGTTTTATTTTCCACATACTTTAAATTTTCAGTGAGACTTGGTTGTTCTAGTTTTTGCTTGCTTTAGAGTAATTTCCAATGCCTGAGCACCTTTCCAAGTGCCTTCCCATAGCCAATAGTAAGGATATCCCTTTCATTTTCCGTTTTCCCACTTTTTCAATTTCTCTTTAATTCCACCCAGGCTAATTTGTGCCATTGGATGCATTTCTCTTTTCCACGAGCTACATCTCGTTCCAATCCACACCTTGCGCAGTGACGAAAATGCGGAAAGGGTCTATAAGCACCCCTCCCCTTTCCCTTGATGATTCACTTGCGTAAGGAAAAGATTAGGTTGAACTTGACACCTTTTTAAATTTCAAGTCTGAAAAATTGTATGATGCATAAAATTAAGCAAACTTATAGCATAAATAAAGCTAACGTTAAATGCAAATTTTCCGAGCTTTTTTGTTCTTTTTGAACTAATTTTCGCTTGGTAAAGCGAATTCTTCTGTTGTAGTGCAAATTTTAGTGCATTTATAAGAAAAGCAAGCGCCATTTGGTAAAAAATTCTTAATAGGTATCTAAACAAAAAGAAAAATCCTCTGTGACATTTCTCCTGCAATATTTCACCACCACTCTTCCTTCAGTGATGCCATTCTTTGCGCTCTTTTTGAAAAATGACGAGATTTCTTCAAGAATTGGCTTATTTTTCTTAAGATATTTTCTTATTTTTAAGCCCCTTCATTGCTCGATTAGTTCGTTTAAAGATCTTAAAAACATCTAAAAGGTTTGAACTTTTACAAAGCCAAATTGGGGCTAGAGTAGTTGGGGCAGTCTGGAACATGAACCAAAATCGATATTTTTCCACGAAAACTTGCACAGAGTGTTTTTTAACTATGCTGAATTGATTAGTAATACTTTTATAACTTTTTTATTGATTGTATCTTTTATTTGACTTTGTGAATACGTAACGCATACATTTTCCTAGGCTTTGGCTCCGGATCTCTCGCGCCGAATGCGCCCTTGTGAGCTTGCAGCACCGACCCCGAACGCAGCATCCCTGCTGCCTAAGCCTTAAAGCTGCAGCGCTGGTGCGTTAGGGACAGGTGCTGCAAGCTCAGACGGGTGCGTTCGGCGCGACAGAGGTGCGGAGCCAAATTCTAGGAAAATATAGGTGAAATCAATCAGTAAATACGATTCAGCATACCCTAATACCTCAAATAGTAGCCCCCCCCCCCCCGTATAATCGCGTGGTCGCAAAAATTTTTACTAAATCACTTTTTTCGAAGCCCCCATAATTTCTAAAAATACATGTTTGGTACCAAAAAATAGCCCTGAATCATGAAGCACTGGTAATTCTTTCTTTTGGCGTTTTCGATGCTGATTAGCTTCCTCGCCTTATCAGTTTTTCGGCTAAAAACGGACGACGATAGTTTTTACACAATTTCCCCTTTCCTTTAGTTGGCACAAAATTGGCTCACTTTTCCGATAGTTTCTCACTCGTTTTTGCAAGTTTGCATTGTTTTTACGGTTATTTTTAATATTCCAATGTTTTTCTTTTAGAATGAGCTTTTCGGGAAGTGAAGACGATTATCAAAACGATGACGAGACGAGCTCCGAAGAAGAAAGAGATAATTTGTCCGACGATGATCTCGGTGCTATCAAAAGGCCACGAAGAACTGAGGTAAATGCTTGGAATTTGAGTTTTATAGCAGTTTCTTATTGTAGGCAAAACGTTCAACTATTTTTTTGTTTAAAAATTCTGTTGGTTTGTAAAAATTGGATAAAATTGAATTTTTAAGATTCCAAGATTGTTTTTAATAGCAAAAGAACTTTATTTAGTCTGTTAAAGAGTCAATCATGCTTTAAGGCGCTAACTAAATTCTAAGAGAATGTTGTTTTTAGGTGAGTGAACACTTGATAATGGAGCTCGAGATGGCCAATCAGTTGCTCGTTCCATATAAAGGTAGTGATGTTTTACAGTAAAACCTTGCAAATAAATAGATTGAGCAACATCGTCGAAATAACAAAAAATCAGTGATTTGGTGGTTGGGAGGGGTCACTTTTGACTTGGCGTCGAATCTGGTGTTTTGAGCGGTTCGTGTCGATATTTTTTTTATTCCGGGATAATTATATATGATAAAGCGATTGGTGCTAAATTAAGCACATATTAAATACTTTAAAATTAGCACCAATTGCTTCAGCATGTATAATTAACCCGGGAATAGAAGAAAAGTATCGACACGAATCTCTCAAAACACTAGATTCAACTAAGCAAACCAAAAGTGGCCCCTCTCAACCATCAAAGTACCAAAAGATCTCTTCTTTAACTTTCTTTTAGAATCGAAGGTCCTCGAGCTTAATGATTATCACTTAGTGATCACATTGCCAATTGACTTTATCAATGTAAGTTTGCTTCTTGGTTGGCTTGCTAAAGGGGTAATTACATATGCTGAAGCGATTAGTGCTAATTTAAGCGCATATCAAACACTTCTTGTTAAACTTTTTGTTTAGAAACGATTTCGCGAATGGTGGGGACTATCGGATCCGTGTTTGCGAATTTGTTTGGCCTTCAATCTTGCGAAATACCGTCTCGGCGATGTGCCTGAGGCAACCGCATCACTGCCATACACGAAAAGGAACCTTGCAATGGGAGCTATTGAAACGGTTTGTTTTGCTGGATTTGATGTGGTAGTTTGCTCATTTTCAGTTCATCAAGGACGACTTGACGAAATATTGGAGTGTGAGAAGCGAAGATGAACAAATCGGTGATGACAGCTTTTTCGCGGCATTCATCGATCGGCTAGCTACACGAATGAAAGAATTGGGAAAGTGAGTGATGCTTTTGGATTTGGATTTTTACCCCTGAAACACTGAAGTTAAATCCATCCAACAATCAGCAGCTAGATTCAGTAATAGATTTGGTTTCAACTACTGTTGTGTAGCAAATTGCTATGAAATGATAGATTTAAGCATTTTAAAAGATGAGTTCCATACTAGCAAATTGGATTAAACTATAAATAACTTTTAACTTTTCTTTAGCTATTGCGTGCAATGCGGGATTCAACATTTGGGCGCTCATCCGCTGCTTTCTGTTTGCGATCACCCGCTTTGCTACTTTCAGAGAGATCGTTTAAGTACGTTTTTGAATCTAATGCTTTGTGAACTTTACATAATCTACTTCTTTAGGACAGACTTTCGAGTACTCCATGGGACCCCGTCTATGGGCCGATTCGGCACAATTGCTCAACTTTTTGTTCTTCCATGCGAATGATTACCGACGATCACTAATTTGCAAGCCCGATCCGTTAGATGATGTGGATCTCAAAGAAAAATTTTTGTAGTTTATCCAAATTCTAACGTGAATTTCATAAATTTAGTGATCAAAAAGGAATCGCAACTGCTCTCAGGGGATATTGTACACGCTGTGTCTTCTCGACGTGGGAGAACTACGAGAAATTTCGTGACGATCCACTCACAAAGAAGAAAGCTGATCTTCTTTATTGGTAAGTTTTAGTGATACTAGACCACTTTTTTAACCGTTACATTTTCAGGTTATCCGATCGTTTCCCAGTAATTTGCAGATTGCCTCCTCGTTTCCGAGTCAACGCGATGAGCACAACCCATCAATATGTTTTGCCACCGGTTCCGTCGGAGAAAGAATCACGCTTTCAGGTAAGCGATCAGTGGAAATAGGGTGACTACATGCATGTCAAATCCCAAATCGGTGACCTTATAATACTCTTATTTAGGCTAGACTCGCGGCGGTTAATGGCAACAAATTCTACGCATTCCAGTGGGTTTTGTAAAAACATTTCCAATACTTTATTTTCTTTAGCGGATCGCCCGTCGAGAACTGGTACAAGATTTTGTGTGAGGGTTTGATCGTTTGCTCGGGGACAAATTTGCAATTGGTTGGAGCTGGACCTGGAAGAGGAATTTATCTCGGAAAAGAACCACAAACATCGGAGGGTTACGCTCGAGGACACTCAACAGTTGGAAAATTTGATTGAATTTTTTCGAAATGTGATCCTAGTGCTCGCCACGATACTATTCAACGAACGATTCGGCGGTCGAGTGCCGAAATACTGAACATTATTCTAGGAACAAACATATGCGACAAGGAACATATTGTTTGGCGCTCGTTGAAGGTTTGTTCTTGCTTAGTTGGCTTTAAACATCCATAAGCTTAGGCCGATAAATTCTTGCTAACATCTGTATTTAGTTGCCAATGATCGAAGCAAGTATCAAGACCACCGATGGTGTTACGTAGTACAAGATCCGGATATTCTTCAAATTCGTGTGCTTTTCATGTAAGTTATTCTTAATTTAAATAATTTGTATCGTTTTTCTAGCTATGTTTCTGGGTCGGCAATCTCAAAACTTCCGACCAACAATTTCTCGGCCAACCATCCGGATATGTTGAAAGTTCAAGAGGTTTGTTGAGAAGGATTTTTAAGATGCTAAGCAAAAGGAACTAACCTTCAGAGAAAAAAAATTGAATCTGCTCAAAATTCGGTATGGAAAGTTTCAAGGTTTGAGCTAGTAAATTAAATCTGGCGCTTAATTTTCTTTTTGGAATCAGGCTCATCTATTCATTTTAGGCGATGAACTTTTTCATCCACGGGGATTTCCACGAACGTTTGGCTGCTGTTTACGATTCGGAACTTGATGAGAAAGCATTGGAAGGGGAGAATTTGCCTAGTCATCGCTTGCAATGTTAATGCAGTAATGCTTCTACCTTAAAGTGTACAGTTATTTTTCTTCTATTCATTATTAGGCTGTAAAACAGTTGATTAAGATTTTCAAAATGTGAGCTTAAGCAAAAACTACCGTAGTCCGGATGCCTTAGAACTAAAATTTGCATTTTTGACGCATATGGGATTATGGTAGCGTTTTCTTAAGAAAATATTTTAGAAACATGACCATTATTATCAAATGTCTTTCATGATTCACTCATCTTGTCTTTAGCTTTTCATTTCTTATCCATTCCTTTTTTTCTCAGGTTCTAAACTTTCTCAAATTCTAAAAAAACGGGAATATAACCGGCAGTTTACACAGGTGCTCGCTTTTCCGTTGTAAAATAAGCCATTAAGCATTTTACATTTTCCGTTTGTAAATAATGTTTCTGTAATAAATTCGAAAATATAAACTTCATCAAATTCTAGGAAAGTGGGAATTTGACGTGCAGTTTAGATCTTAAAGCTTTGATTGGGTGAAAACCCCTTAAAAGCTTGAGATTTTGAGCACTGCAAAAAGGCACTATAAGCTTGGGGCCCTTGGCTAAAATTAAAAGATGGCCACTTCCGGGTATTATAATTGAATGTTCTTGCAAATTGCAAATTTTATGCTGATTCCTATATTCGCTTGTGCCCCCTAAGAGGGTCGTTAATAATTCTATTTATAAATAATGCTTTTGAGATGAATAAAGTTAAACTATTGTTAGTCATTGTTGGGACGGTTATTTTTTTAATAGTCCAATGTTTTTGAACCTGTTTTTATTGTTTTTGTAACTTTTCTTCACTGAAACGTTTCTTGACTCTTGAAAACATAAGATTCACACAAAGCGCCCATTTTTCACCAAAAATTCAACTCATTTCAGTCAAAAATTAAACAAAACGCGAACTTTTAAAACTCTATTGAACATTCACAAAGAAAATGCAACAAATTGTAAACAAATCAATGACAAACTCTTTAATAATAATCAGTTATTGCATTCATTTTCTGAATCCTCGTCGCTGAAACCTATGCTAAAATTGTCAAATCCTCGTGCTCACCATTCTCGATTACCCCTAGAAAAGTGAAGCAAAAATCAAAAATATAGGTGATCCCCAACCCAAAAAGTATGAAAACTTATTTTAAATGTAACAATGTTAATACAGTAATGCTTTTACCCTAAAGTGTAGTTATTTTTCTTCTATTCGTTATTAGCCCGTAAACCAGTTGATTAGGCTTTTTAAAGTCTACGTTTAAACAAAACTACCGTAAACCGGATACTTTAAAGAACTAAACATTGCATTTTTTAAACCAATAGTGGGATTACGGTAGCTTTTTCTTCAGGACATCTTTTAGAATGACTATTATTACCAAATGTCTTTCGTGATTCACTCAACTTGACTTTTGCATTTCATTTTTGTTCATTTCCTTTTTTCTTAGGTTCTAAACTTTCTCAAATTCTAAAAAAACGGGAATTTAACATACAGTTTACAAAGATGCTACGTTTTCCGTTGTAAAATAAGCCATAAAGCATTTTACATTTTCTGTTGATAAAAATGCTTTTATGATGAAAAAAGTTGAACTGTTTTCCGTATTTGATACCGTAATTGATTTGCTATTCTATCACCGATTAGCAAGTCTATTATAAGTTTACTTTATCCAAAATGTTATTGAAAAGGCATTTTAATTCCATTCTATTAGGGTGGTGCAAAAGAAACTGCCGATTTGACGGTAAATTCAAAAAAAAAGATGGCGCTCGATGGTGACATGATCACAATGGAATATTTTCGCAAGATCTCGAGCAGATTGGCATGGATCGGCCTGAATGACGTCCCTCAGCTTGGCTTCGTTCACGACTTCTGGCCTCGAACCGTGCTCGTAATCTTCCAAAGCCTCGTCTCCCTCTCGGAATCGTTGAAACCAAGTCTGACACTGCCTGAGAGACAAACAGCCATCTCCGAAAGCAGCACAGAGACGCAGCTCCGAAAGCAACGATGCGATTCGGCAGCAGACTTTTCAATTTTTGAAGTTAAACAGTAATGCTGCTCGTAGCACAAACTTTTGCTCGATCATGATCTAAATAAAAAATATAAGCATTTTTAAATAAAATAAACAACAACCGAAAAATTCAAACGTCGAAATAAATAGCAAACAAATATGCGAACAAAACATTTAAAAAAAATAATGCCGTTAGCATAGCTCGTTTCTGATAAATGAGAGCTGATACCCATCGGCAGTTTCTTTTGCACCACCCTAATATATCCTGACAACGAGTGCAAACTACAAGAGAAGAAATTTGAGCGCTCCATTGAATTTTCATGACCTAATAAACGGTGCGTTGCCCCGGTGTTCCATTTTTTTTTCTTTCTAACCAGAATATTTTTGTTGTATAACTGGCTGCAATAGTATTTCTTTTATATTGGGTTGGGGAGAATGAGTCGGCGCCGAACTTTAAAGGGACTTTTTGCACACATAAAGCCTTCTTTAAACATACGTTTGGTTTCATCAAAAGGATCCACTATTTCTCTACAAAATGACTTTTGAGAGATTCCACAAAGCTTTTCTTTCGTGGAGTTTATGAACTTCCAAGCGCAGTTGGTTAAAATGGCAAAGAGTCCGACTCATCATTTGAACAGTTTCTTTCACATAAACCTTCTTTGGTGTTTATATAAAAAAGATAGAGCACATTTAATTACTTAAGTTGCCAAATTTGCAGGAAAATCCCACCAATGGTTTTTTCTAGATGACAGTTTGTAGTTTTTGTGAAAAAATCGCTTTTTCTTGAGCGGAGGCGCTGTTTGAATTTTCTTTTAAATGTCATTTTGTAGAGAATTAGTTAACCATTCTACTGATATCAAACGCATATTATTTGACGAAGTCGAATAGAAGTTTTAGACATTTTTTTGATTTTCGGCGCCGACTCATTCTCCCCAACCCAATAGTGATTGGTTTATTCAATTATGCAAATATTTGTTTTATAAAACAGTCGATCTATCGAAAGTCGAAATTAACGAGAAGTCAGCGCATTTCGTTTTCAAATCTCAATCTAAATTTTCGATAAACCTTTTATATTTTCATTTTACGAAAAATTTCCGTTCAAAATGGTTTTGATTTTTTGAAACTTTATATGAAAGTTTCAAAGTATGAAACTTTGCCATTCTTTTCATTTTCTTTCGTCTCGATTTGTCCGGCTTTTATTTTCAGGTTAATTTGCTTTTATTTTATTTTATTTTATTTTGTTTGCTTTTATTTTATTTTATTTTAGAATCCCGGTAAGTTTTCTTCACCTTTCGTAAAATCTTTTTTTAGCGTGTTTTTACTTATTTTTTTAATGTTTTTTTATGTTTTTACCGGCGAGGCGCGCTTTCTAAAGAGTGGATGCGCTACCGTACCCCACACAAAATTCCCCTTTTGCCATTCATTTCATTTTCTTGCGTGTTCATTTGTCCGGCTTTTATTGTCAATTTATTTTACTTTTACAGTACCGAGCAAAAGTCTTGCAACATTCTATGTTTCTCATTTTTATTCTGGTCTTGCAACATTGTGTTCATTTGTCCGGCTTTTGTTGTCAAGTTATTTTACATTTATTTTACGTTTATTTTATTTTAGAATCCCGGTAAGTTTTCTTCACCTTTCGTAAAATCTTATGTTTTTGTAGCGCCTTTTAACTTATTTTTTTTCCAAAATCACTTTTTCTAGCGTAATTTTAAGCGTAGATTCCGAAAAACATAACGAGAGTTTGGGAAAAGGCGTTTTAAGCCATGTTTTTAGAACCCCGGTAAGTTTTCTTCGTAAAGTCTATTATGTTTTTGTAGCGTGTTTTTACTTATTTTTTCTTCAAAGCCACTTTTTCTAAGGTAATTTTATGTGTAGATTTCGAAAAACACAACGAGAGCTTCGGAAAAGGCGTTTTAAGCCGAGTTTCGGGGCTCCAAAGTGTGCGCTTCTATAGTGTACTTCACTATGTGGAGCCTTAGCTCTCAACTATTGGAGCAAAACGTCAAAACTAGAGCCAAAACTATTTTTAACCACTAAATATTCATCTTCTAACTTCAATTGACTGGCAGAGGCAAAACGAATTGAAAAAATATTTTTTGAGATTTTGATCAATTTTGGCTCATGGTCGAAATTTGGAAAAAAAGATTTTTTTAATTTGACTTCAATTTGATCAGAAACGTAATCAGTAGGTTCAATCATGCCAAAAGAAGTGTTTTTGGTTTCAAAAAATGTTTTAAAATACCATTTTTAGGCCTCTTCTCTATGTGCATCCCCCTCTCATCACACTGTATGAGCGCGCACTTTGGAGCCCCGAAACTCGGCTTAAAACGCATTTCCTGAAGCTCTCGTTGTGTTTTTCGGAATCTGCACATAAAATTACCCTAGAAAAAGTGATTTTGAAGTAAAAAAATAGTGCCCCCTCCCGCGCAACTAGGCTAGTACCAAGTTTTTTGTGTAGAGTTATTAAAGTTCCTGCAATTTAATCTTATCAAACTTTTTTGTTCAAAGACGAGCACGACGATTTGCTCGTGTATTGCTTAGAACATTGTCATTAAAGTGTCAAAGGTTGTGTCATTTTTAAAACCTATAACATTGTTGTTTCTCTTAGAACTCAAGAGATTCCAATCTTTTGACACTGTGCACTTGACACTCTTGACTTTTGCAAATTTTCCTAGTTTGCATTTGAAATTGATTTGATTTGATCAAAATGCTAATTTACGCGGGAAAGACCCAGAAAGACCCGCAATTAGGTGGTTTTATTTTGATATTTGATATTACGGCGTTGAATGTACGAAAAGATCCACATGGACCGCTTTTTCTTTCCAAAATTAAGGCGTTCTCTGTGCGAGTACACAATCGCGTCCTTTTTGCCACAGGGCACTAGAGGGGGCCAATAAAAGAAAGGTCTTTCCCTCAGGGTACGTTGGTCCGGAGCTAGAGGGTTAACAAAACTGTATACGTAATTTGGCTGCATGCGGCGATCAACCTTGGAGGACAACTTTGGACGATGAACCTTCTGAGCATTGCTCACCCACAAAAATTAAACCCCTCTAGCAACACTTGACCACAAATTTTTTTTGTTTTGAGGTGGATTGACAGATACAAGTAGGATGTAAGTTTTTGAACCAATTTGATCATGTTTGAACAAGCAGTGACTAATTTTTATGGAAAAAATACTAAATATAGCGAGAAAGTTATCAAAGAAAAAAAAGGTAATATGGAAAAAATAGTGCGGTAGTATGGAAACTTAGCGTGGACTTTCTATTGTCAGTCTTAAAATCGTGAAATGTCTTTAGGGTGATTAAAATTCTTGCAATTTAATGTTATTCAACTTTTTTGTTCAGAGGCAAGCACGGCGACGTGAATGGATGGATAGGGCCAAGAAGGAGCGCAAGCTGGAGTGTGAAGAAGAGGTGCGACTATTTTAATTTTACGCTTGAGATTGAGAACATGTCTTTTTTTCTTTAGCAAATCCAACAATGGTATCTCGTAATGATCTACAAGGAGATAGCGCGCAAAAATCAACAGAAACTCCGCGAGAAACAGAACTAACAACTTGAGTGAGTGATTGGATTATGAATCTATTGTTTTGTTATTACAGTGCCATCAAGAACCCATTGCTTGCACTCCATAACCTCAAGGCTCTCAATCTGGTATGGATTTGTTTTTATTGTTAGTTTAATTCATTCTTTGCCTTTTAGGGAGGTAAACGCGAGCCTGAGAATAACACAAATACAAAGGACGAGAAGATGACGAAGATAAGGCAAACGCACGCCGCAAAATCGAGTAAATCTTATGCTATAAATCAAGCATTGACTTCAAACAACAACTTCATTTATCTGCTTTAGAAGATGAGCCGACGCAACCGAGCAACAAGACGCAGACGAAAAAGAGCACGGTGACGAAAGGAAGTGGTGCACGTGAGTGGTTTAAATTTTAACTGTACATTTAAATAGGCTTCATGCAATCACATTGATTTTGTTAATGTTTTAACTTTAGCTCGCGTAAAGAAGACGGCCTCTATGCATTCTATGCTTCCATCGATCCGCTCCGCGCCGACGATGACGGTTGAAGTGTGAGTTTTTCATCTTAAACTAGGGTCAGAGATTATACAATAACTGGTGTATTGCTTAGAACGTTGTCATGAAAGTGCCAAACATCGTGTCAGTTTTTAAGCTCATGACATTACTGTTCCTTTTAGAACTCAAGAGATGCCAGAGGCGAGCAACAATGGCTAGATTCAATCAAACTAAACGAAATGCGAAAATTAAAATTTTGTCGGCTTCTCAATAAATGCTTTAATGGCTTTTACTTGTTTGGATAAAATTGGAAGATTTTTGCATCAGTTTGATAGGATTTTTTGACTCTGGAATTATCTCACTAAACAATGCCTGATCCATCAAAATCAGAAATCGGTTTCTTAGAGCGGCAAGTTTCCTTGTAGACTTTACCGTGATCACATTTTTTTAGGTTTTTTAGACAAACCTAATCTTTAACAAGTTGCCAACATGCAAGTATTCTTTTCTAAACTGTGCCCATTTTCAAAGACTATTATAATCTTGTTTCTATTTTTATGCAATCTATCGACTTTTTGTCTGAGGGATCACAAAGGATTCCGATATATATAAAAAGGTGATAAAAAGATAAAAAGTAGAGACAAGATTACGGTAAAATGAGGAAAGGAACAAGTTTAGAAATACAAGCTGTGTTCTTTTGTACTTTGCACAAGATCGGTGAATCAAAAAGATAAAATAAAGCTAACTTTGCAACTTAGTTTTTCAGTTATAATAGCTTTGGCATAGCTGAATATTAGAATTTATCGCGTTTTTGTCAAAAGGTACAGTCATGTGCAAAACTCTTTTAACACTCAATTTTCTAAAAAGTTACATCGATTTTCTTTGATAAAGTATATGGCGCTTTTTAAGCTTTTAATAGTTTTACTTACACAAATATATGTACAATTTATTTACACAAACGCTGTCGCTATATTGTTGAAGAGGTGGACAATCTGAAAAACGCTTCGAATGCTTTTTCTGCAACTAAATTCCTAATTTGCATTTGAAATTGATCAAAATGCTAATTGGCGGGGAAAAGATCCGGAAAGACCCGCCATTAGGTGGTTTTGTTTTGATATTTGATATTACGGCGTTGAATGTACGGAAAAGATCCACATGGACCGCTTTTTCTTTCCAAAATTAAGGCGTTCTCTGTGCGCGTACACAATCGCGTCCTTTTTGCCACAGGGCACTAGAGGGGGTCAATAAAACAAAGGTCCGGAGCTAGAGGGTTACCCGTACAATTTGCCGGCATGGTGCGATCATCCTTGGTCAAACAACGCTGGGGTAAGGATCTTGGAGCACTGCTCTTTCAACTCCTCTAGCAACACTTGACCAGAAATTTTTTGTCTTGCGGTGGATTGACTCTAAAGGGTGGTCACTCAAAAAATGACCAAGTCACTTCAACAGAAGAAATTTTATTATTTTTTACCTGAAGCCCAGTCTGATTTTTGTTGTCAAAAACTTTTTGAAATACAGTCATGTGCAAAAGTCTTTTAACACTCGATTTTCTAAAAAGTTACATAGATTTTCTTTGATAAAGTTCATGGCGCTCTTTAAGTTATTAATAGTTTTAATTACACAAATTTATGTACAATTTGTTTACACAAACGCTGTCTCTATAAAAAACTTATTCATCGAGAAAAAAGTAAAAACACCCCTGAAAATCGTGCTGCAAAAGTCTTTAAACACAAGACGAAATTAAGCTATAATCAATATTTTGTTGGCCCTCCTTTTGCTGGATATTTCCCGCTGGACCTTGCATCGATGCTTGCTTCAACAGCATTGCATACTAGAGGACCTGCTCGCAAGCCTATGATGACAGCCAAACACAGGAAGCAACCTTTAATCGAACCTATTCAAATTGGACAATCATGGATTGGGCCCGAGTGATTTTCGTTGATGAAACAAAAGTTGATATTTTTCCTTCAAATCGAAATCATCTGATCCGACATCCAATTGGAAAGCGATATCAACTCAAGTACTTGCAACCCACGGTGAAAAGAGGCGGAGGATCAGTTATGTGTTTCGGTAAGGATAATTTTCTTTTTATGCAGCTCAACATGATTTCTTTAGGTGCTATGTGTAAAAGTTCAACGGGTCCGCTTGTCCTCGTAAAGTCAACAATGGATTCCCGCCAATATATTGAGATATTGGACAGATGCCTACTTCCATTTACCTGCTTCGATGCATCCAGGATGGTTTCTTTATCAAGATAATTCGCCAGTACACAAAAGCAAACTTTTGATGGACCACGTTGTGAGTGAATGCAGGAAAAGCACATTTACCGGGATGGTTTGAGATGAATCACGTTTCTTTGATCAAAGCTCCACCATTCTCACCGGATTTAAATGTTATCGAGAATTTATGGGCCTATTTGAAATCGAAATTGCGAGGAAAACGTTTCAATTCTAAAGTCCAGCTATGGTTTTACATCAGAAAAATTTGGAGAACGATTGGACCTGGAATTCTTGATGAATTAATTAGATCGATGACTACTCGTGTTCGAGGAGTACTTTTGGCAAAAGGAGGGCCAACAAAATATTGATTATAGCTTAATTTCGTCTTGTGTTTAAAGACTTTTGCAGCACGATTTTCAGGGGTGTTTTTACTTTTTTCTCGATGAATAAGTTTTTTATAGAGACAGCGTTTGTGTAAATAAATTGTACATAAATTTGTGTAACTAAAACTATTAATAGCTTAAAGAGCGCCATGAACTTTATCAAAGAAAATCGATGTAACTTTTTAGAAAATCGAGTGTTAGATGACTTTTGCACATGACTGTATTTCAAAAAATTTTTGACAAAAAAATCAGACTGGGCTTCAGGTAAAAAATAATAAAATTTCTTCTGTTGAAGTGACTTGGTCATTTTTTGAGTGACCACCCTTTAGAGTCAATCCACCGCAAGACAAAAAATTTCTGGTCGAGTGTTGCTAGAGGAGTTGAAAGAGCAGTGCTCCAAGGTCCATATCCCAGCGTTGGTTGATCGAGGTTGATCGCCGAATGCGGGCAAATTCTATGGGTAACCCTCTAGCTCCGGACCAACGTACCCTTTGGGAAAGACCTTTGTTTTATTGACCCCCTCTAGTGCCCTGTGGCAAATTGTGTACGCGCACAGAGAACGCCGTAATCTTGGAAAGAAAAAGCGGTACATGTGGATCTTTTCCGGACAGTGAACCCCGTAATATCAAATATCAAAACAAAACCACCTAATGGCGGGTCTTTCCGGATCTTTTCCCCGCCAATTAGCATTTTGATCAATTTCAAATGCAAATTAGGAATTTAGTTGCAGAAAAAGCATTCGAAGCGTTTTTCAGATTGTCCACCTCTTCAACAATATAGCGACAGCGTTTGTGTAAATAAATTGTACATATATTTGTGTAAGTAAAACTATTAAAAGCTTAAAAAGCGCCATATACTTTATCAAAGAAAATCGATGTAACTTTTTAGAAAATTGAGTGTTAAAAGACTTTTGCACATGACTGTATAGTTGAAAGGACCGGAAATGTTCAAAATTCAATTCTAAACATAGTTTTCCTTGTTTTCGTTCGTTTCAATATAAAGTTTATTTAAGCGAGATCATCAAACGCGAAAAGAAAAGAAAATGACATAAAAAATACCCGTTAGAGATAAATGTGATAAGATAAAAAGTAAAATTTTTTTTACACGATAAATGGAGCACCTGTTGAGGTAATCGAGACTTTTTTGACGAAATGATGCGGAGATTCGACACGGAAAGTTGATTCTGGAAAGGAATTCAAAATTTCTAGATTTATAGCTCACTATACTCTTTTTCACAATATAAATCTTATTTCCGCTTTCTTTTTAAGCCCCACTTTCTGGCGCTAATCCCATTTTTTGGTGTGTGGTGATGAATGAGTGTTCTTCAGCTCCGAGACTTGACCGACGACGACCCGGTGGAATTGAGAGAATTGGAGGCTCCATCATTGTCGTTGAGTCAACACTTTTGTGAGTTCTGAGGAAAGATGGGTAATATATTGGTATTCGTATGGAAACCTTAATGGTGGTCTTTTCGATCGTTGATGATGATGAGCCAATAGAGGAGCTGCTTCATTTTCCCCGCTCGTTCTCGACCATTCCCGTTTCGGGGGAGATCCGGCTGAAATTAGAACAAACTTGTCTTGTTTTTCTATAAAATCTTGTTTATCTATAAAAGGCTAATATTTTCATTTATCTTTCATTTATCTTTCATTTCTTCATCTATAAAACTCACAACTTGATGACGTCCTCGATTCAGTCCGGACGAAGCGTTCATCTCTTTTCGGGCCAATGTTTCTATGACTGAAATTTGATTTGTGTTAAGTTTAAGAGTCGAGGATTATGGTTGAAATTTCTTGTAACATTTTATCTCCAAATCTTTCTCACTAACCCATATTGTCTAGCTGATGAAGTTGATGTCTTCATTTCGATGCTTGCTCGTCGATCCGTTCCTTTTATCCCATCGATTTGTCGTATTTGAGCTAATATTAGAGTATTTTTCATGTCTTTCTTTCATCTTTCATATCTTTCATAGCTAATTTTTCATAATTTTAGAATCCTACCGGTTACGGGAGCTTTGTGAGCTCTTGCTGAACCGTGGTGACTCGGAGTGTCACTGTTGTGGCTCGAGTCCGAGATTCTGAAGTGATTAGGTAAAGAAATAATTGGTTTGGAAAGGGAAATAAAGAATATACCTATGTGAAAGTGAAACTCTCGGCGGTGAGATGCTTTGTCCCTGTTTTGTGATCGATGATGAGCTGGCTTGTGACGATGATCGAGAAAGTTTCTCCGGTGATTTCTCTGGGGAATATTCTGGTTTGGCGACTGGTAACTCGTAGCGTTCCTCGATTTGTCGAAGGAATTTTGCCGATTTCAGCTGAACAAGTCATTTTGCCAGTTGTTAAAAGTTACCAGTTAGAGGCTTACCTCTCCGACGACAATATTCGCTCCCCATTGCACATGAGCGTTCGATTTCGCCTTTTTCTCTTTGATCGGTTTGTTTTCGTCGTATTGACCCTTGTACTGGAAAGTGTTTTTTATTTGAATACTCAATTTATTCCTAACCTGTACAAATCCTCCACCCCAACTCGCCGTCCTCCATAATCCATTTTCTTTCGCTAAACGAACACGCTCACTGCAACGCTCGAAAGCACTCTCGCGACGCCGGCGTTGAGCTTCGATTTTCTTGAAAAGTTTAGGTTTAGATTACTTTTATACTTCTAGAATTTCAATTTAATTTTAGAACTAATTCTTCTAGAGCTTCTAGAACTAATTCTTCTAGAACTTCTAGAACTAATTCTTCTAGAGCTTCTAGAACTAATCCTTCTAGGACTTTTAGAACTAGTTCTTCTAGAACTTCTAGAACTTCTAGAAACAGTTAAATGAATCATTTATTTAAAGAAAAAGTTGGTCTAATTAGAGTAGTCGAAACGGGAAAACAGCGTCGGCTTTGAATTCACGACTTTGCGCTTGTCAAACAAACAAGTTACCAATGATTTATTTTGTATTTCAATTTCAATATTATACACTCGACTTTCTCTATAACAGAATGGAAGTAACGAAAGTTTTTCCGTTATATAGAGTGCCATTTTATATAGTTTAGCGTCGGCCAGGACCAACATTCCATTCCATTATATAGAGCCAGCAATATTCCATTTTCGCTATATAGAGTTTCGTTATAGAGAGAGTCAACTGTAGAGTTGAAATTTCAATTTTCTATTTTAATGTCACTAGTAGTAGAAGTTAATGCTTTACTAAGAAATTAACAAGTTCTCAAAGTTTTGCTTAAAGTTTCGCTAACTAATGAATCACTTTTCCATTCGCATAAAGCTTGTCAAAGTTCCGAAAGTTTCTCACGTATTTGCAAGCTCTTTTTCCACCTTTTAGCAAATGGTTAAGCTTCACTCATAGTCAGAAATCAGTGAAAGGTGTCTAGAAGATGGGATTTGTCTCTTTCTGCTTCTTTCTGTCTCTTTCTCTCTCTTTCTGTCTCTTTATGTCTCTTTCTGTTGCCTCTTTCTGCCAAGTTTCAGCCAAGTTCTCAATCTCACCCAGCTGCTGTTTGATGACGCAAGTTTTTACACCCCTTTTCTCAAATTATACCCACAAGAAAGTGGATATGAAATGGTTTATATTCCCTCAGAGAGGGTGGATGATTGATCTGTGAAATGATCGATTTCATAGATTTGGCAAATTGGCCAACGTGTGAATTGGAGGATTTGAAATCCGTAATTTTCTTTGATTTGATTGATTGATTGATTGAAATGCATAGATTTCCGTATTAGTTTAGATTTTTTTAAATGAATTTTAATCCTTGAAACTTACGCTCAAATATAGCGAACATCTGACAACTGAGGTGAAGAGATACGTTTGAAAAGCGGCTAATAATAGAAGCAATGATGCTAGCCACATTCGTTCAAGGAGGGCTTGGATCTGGAAATCAAGAATCAGAATCAATCAAGCTCTCAAGATTTCGAGCTCACTGAATATCTTAAGAAATTGCAAGTTTTAGTCAACTTTGAGGGGTATTTTTTTGGAATACTGTAATGTTCAGAGTTGTTCTATCAAACTTTTGGCCAAAAATGGTTTCTTTTCACTAACTAGTTACATAAAGCATCTAAATTTGTGAATTTGGATGGATCAGTCCAATGGAACAGATCAGTCTAATGGATCAGATCAGTCTAAGGGATCAGATCAGTCTAAGGGATCAGATCAGTCTAATGGATCAGATTAGTCTAATGGATCAGTCAGTCTAATGGATCAGATCAGTCTTATGGAACAGATCAGTCTAATGGATCAGATCAGTCTAATGGATCAGATCAGTCTAATGGTCTAATGGATCAGATCAGCCTAATGGATCAGATCAGTCTTATGGAACAGATCAGTCTAATGGTCTAATGGATCAGATCAGCCTAATGGATCAGATCAGTCTTATGGAACAGATCAGTCTAATGGATCAGATCAGTCTAATGGATCAGATCAGTCTAATGGTCTAATGGATCAGATCAGCCTAATGGATCAGATCAGTCTAATGGTCTAATGGTTCAGATCTAGCTTGGCTTAGTTAATCATGATTCAAAACCACTTGGATCACCTGAATTTTTAAAACAATGTTACTTTTTTCTTAAGTTATCTCTTTATTTACCCCACTAAACTTTCAAGTAAAACCCTTTCAATCTGACACTTTTCCATAGAGCTTTTCTTAACAAAAAAACATTTTTGTTTAAAGCACATGACGCTATCTTGAAAAAAAGCGCTTTTGGCCTTTTTCTTGGATTCATTTGATATCATTTCAATATCTCTCTCAGGTAAAGAAAGGGATTTATTGAGGAAGAGAGAGGAGATTACACTTTTTGTTCATTATTTGAGGACATTAACCTGGGGTTTATGTGAGAAACATTGAACTCACTTGGGAAATCGTTTGGGAGCTCGAAAAATCTCATAAAATGGTTTATTTGGTTCCTTATCTTTGCGATGAAATGGGTTTAAGTGTAACATTTGGAAAGGCTGGCTTTGGTTTGAGGTATTTTGATTTTGGAAATGTTAGCTAGCTAAATAGGATCTAACTTTGTCTAGTCCATTGTCAATTCAAGTGGCTCTTTGTGACAAATCTGTAGCCAGATCAGATCTCTTTGGGTTGGCAGTCTAGGATGTTCAAATCGAGGTCTAGGATGTTCAAATCGAGGTCTAGCATTCACAAACCAGATCAGAACTAGATTCAGGGACTTTTAAGCAAGCTATAGCCAGTCTGTAAGCCAAGTCAAGTTTCCGGAGCTGGTTCGGAGCTAGAGGGTCATCACTTTTTCTTGATTTCGATAGATGTGGACCTGGACCTTGCCTAAGTCATTGACAGTAACCTTTTTAAAGTTTTACCTGAAACGAATCATTATTCGTGTAAATATCTCCATAGAAGTATGACCATGCATAGAGAAAGAAATAACCAACAGAGAATAATAGGAAGAACGCTTGCACGAAGAGATGTGGAAAGAGAAGAGTTGATGTATCCGAGAGAATCCCACAGAACATCAACAATACCTGAATTCGAAATGGATTGCTATGTTTTTCATTATTTTGATTTTCCTCCTTGAAAGTCCTTTTGTTGGGAAATGACCCTGACTAGTCGTCACTTTACATCCTCTGTTCCACATGGCTGTTAGACAAAAAGAGGAAATGAAGAACCCCACGTAATGTTAGCTGGTGTTGAACTATAGATTTGGGTTCTTTTTAACCTGAATTGTTCAACAGAATGGATAAAGTTTAAGTTTCTCTAAAAGTTTTTCCACAGAACATCAACAATACCTGAATTCTATGCTATTTGTTGTTTTTTGTTTATGAAAGTCTTTCAAGAAATTACCCTGGTTGTCACTTTACACCCTCTGTTCATTGCTGTTAGACAAAAAGGGGAAATGGCTCTCGCCACACGTACATCTTGTCTTTTGGTTTTGTTTCAATATCTGGGATGTTCAAATCGGGGCTTAGGATCCGATAACCAGATCTAGGAACTAGTATTAGCCATGACTAGATCTAGGAACTAGTATTAGCCATGAATCAATCAAAAAACGATCCGATCAAGAACCGGAGCCTGGCCTAGTCAAAAATTGAATCAAATCAACTAGATCGATTTGATTTAACTGTATAACTGATACTTTACTAGTAACAGAGATTAGATATTAATATTCTACAAGAAAGCTGACCTCTCCCTCAATAGAATTACCAATGTAACTGTTTTTAACAAAACTTAGAAGTTTACTTACACAAAGTTGCTCAAATTTACTTTAAAATGGTCATTCTCTTGCCTAATAAGCATTCTAAAGTACTAACACCAAAATGATCCAGTGTAAAGCGTTTTTGAAAGCATAATCAAAGCTTTAGCTTTGTATTAGTTCATTCCCTTAACAAATAGCTGATCAAAGTTCTACTCTAGAGAAAATATTAGCTTAACTAGTGCTGTCACTTCACTCATTTCAACTTTTTGCCAAGTTCTCTTTGAAACAAGATCTCTATACAAATCAAAATATCATTTTCTCAGTTTTTTGAGCTTTTGCTTTGCCTAACGGCTCAAAGTTCAGAGTTTTTTTTTCCCTTTCTTTTGCTGTAACTTATGATCAAAAAGCTTTTTGGCCTCTTTTTATTGAAACGATGATTGAATGATTGCAGAAAAGAGGGAAAGTTTGATAAAAGGGTCTAGTTTCAAAAAAAACAATGATCCTGCATGAAAAGTTTCAATTTTTGCTAGATTTTGACTCAATTTGAACTGAATTTGAACTGAATTTGGACTGAATTTGGACTCAATTTGAATTCAATTTGAACTCAATTAGAGTCTTTTTGTTGTAATCTGTTCTTTAGGTGAAATATCTTGATGTTAAACTTCAAAGAAACTCGATTTAAAGCCAGAGCATTGACAAAAACAAACGGATAAAATGATGAAGATCATCATTAAGGCAATGATGTAATCGAAAACCAAAGTGATGTTAAAATGTCGAAATTTAAAGATGAGACAATCGCGAAGAAAGCTGAAATATTGGAATTTCTTGTTTTTCTTGTTTTTCTTATTTTACAAACTTTTTATAGCATTGATCCAATGTTCGACTTTTCCAGATGACTTGTTGAACAATGCTGACGAGAATTAGACTTGCTAGACATGTCTGAAATCTATTTTATTTGAAATAAGACTCAAATTGTTTAACTCCAGCTGTTTGTCCTATCAATTAGCTACTTTATTTTTGAAATTGACCTCAATAATTCCCAATGTCACCGTTCCAAGCTTTACATTGCAACAATTGCAACAGGTTCGATACCTAAACTTATCAAATTTCACGGAAAAAACGCTTTTTAAAGGCTTTTTGAAATAAACAATAAATCAATGGCAATAAAATAAATGAAATAATTCATCTTTTCTTATTTAAAGCAAACCAAACGTTGATCAGCTGATTTATTTATTTTCTCTAATAGTAGTGCACCCTGAGCGTCGCCTAAATTCCTCGAAATCAAAATCAAACCGCTTATCAAAACCTATCGATGTGGGATCGGAAAATGTAGCTGACGATGAGATCTAGTGGGAGATTAGAGCGTTGAGCTTCTGCAAAAGCTTGGAAGCCGTAAATAGTCACCAACTCGGCAGGGTGCACTATTAGGGAATGCACCTTAAGGTTTGCCTAAATTCCTCGAAAACTCGAGAACCGCTTATCAAAACCTATCGATGTGGGGTCGGAAAATGTAGCTGACGATGAGATCTAGTGAGGGATTAGAGTGTTGAGCTTCTGTAAAAGCTTGGAAACCGTAAAATCGTCACCAGCTCGGCTCAGCGGGGTGCACTACTATTATAGAACATACGGTATACGAAAATTTCAAAAAGGACAAGATTTTCTGACCAAATCAATATATTTTCTAGATGCAACTAAGCTCATTATCAAATAACTAAGTGTAACTAACTCTAACCTCACTAAGTTAAACTTGAAAGTTAAGAATAATTTAAAATTGACACTCACTTATCAGGCGGTGTCCCTTCTCGCGCTGTCCGTCGCGCCTCAATCCGTAACATCACCGGGACATTTGTTAAGAAATCACTGCTAAAAAAGGACTCTAAAGAATAGTTGAATGAAGATCAGTGAAATGTTTTGATGATTTGTTATCTGAAAGTTAACAGTACAAAGTTAACAGTACAAAGTCAACAGTACAAAGCTAACAGTACAAAGTTAACAGTACAAAGTTAACAGTACTAAATTGCTTCTAAAAACATTGATATATTGAATCAGGAAAGTGTGTACGATTACAACGGAACCAAGAGGCAATTTGTGAATCGTTGTAAGTGGTGGTAGGTTATTTATTTCTCAAGAAAGAGAGAATTGAGCGTGACTAGAAAAAGAGGGGAAAAGTGGAGAAAGGAGCAAGAGGATTGAATGTAAGAATGTTTGAGAGAGAAGATTGAGAAGGGACAAAGGGGGGGGAATTGATTGAAAACAATGATTGGATATAGGGAAAGCGATAAGTAACTAGCGATAAGCTCTAAGAACAAAACTATCAAACAATTTGAAAGCATTTTTTAAAGTTCAAATATTGTACATAAAAACCTTTAAATTAGTAAAAAAATTCTAATCTTCTTTGCTAGAAAAGAAAAATTTTGGTTGAAGCGGATCCGAACCCGCGAGGGAAAGATTCCAAGCCGCGCACACTACCCAATAGGCCATCTGGACATATGGGAAGGCTGACGAGGGAAGGCTTATATCATCACGCTCCGAAAACTTCTTGCAAAAGTATTTTTACAATAGTATTTTAAATAGTCCATTGGACTGATTTTAAATCTAGGTTTTGCTCAGAATTTTGCGTAGAATCCGATGCACTAGATCTCGTAGCTTGACTCGATGCTAAGTTCAAACAATTCTCGAGTTAGATGATCTCACACTCACTAGGAAACTGCTGCAACTCAGCATTGATTTAGAATATTAGATCTAGGGCAAAAATGCCGCCTTGTAATTCTAAAGGATACATGTTTTTTAATTTTACTCCATAGCATCCAGTTTTCGAGAGAAATGCTTTTAAAGTTTGGGAAAACGACGCCGCCGCGGTATAGCGCTAAATTACTTCCATCCGAATAGTGGCCGGATGATTTAAAGGATAGAGTTAAAGGATTGCCCCGCTTCTCCCTAGTTCGAATCCCCTTGCTGTCAAACCTTTTTGCTTAACCACTAAACTACTAAAATGATTTTTAGGTGTTTTAAAGTATCTATAAACAGTAAGAAGCTAGCTAGAGATCTTGGAAATCGAAAAAAAGCTGAAAACAAGAACTTAAAGCCTGGCAAGAGCTGAGAAGAGTCAGCTATTGCTGTTTGTAGGCTTAGTTAGAGAGTAGACTTCAGGGTTTTGGTGGCTAGGGTTCAAAAAAACCGGTGGGTAATTAGAACAATAAGGCTAAGCTAAAACATAAAAACATTGACAAAAAGTGGCATTGAAATAAAGATTTGGGGGAAAGCAATGATTAGAGATTTGTGAAGGAGAGAAATAGAAAAAAAGAAGAACATGTGACGCCTATTTGTCGGGAGATTCATTTAGTCATTGGTGGCTTCTATTCTTTTAAAGAATCTCAAACTTATTTGTTTATTAGTATGCTTTGTTGAGTTATTGTTAAGATTTAAGAAAATTTGAATCAACTTTCTTCACTTGTTTTTTATTAGATTGAAATTTAAAATTAATTAAGCTGTCAGTACCAGAAATGAATCAAAAAGAGAAGAAAAAGATGAAAAAATGTCTTTAAAAGTGATTCAGAATGAAATGATAGGATTGAAATTGAAAATAAGATTGAAATAAAGATCATAAAGATGTAAATAGAAGTTAGATTATGGATTTTTCTCTAAATAACAAGATCTAAAAATAATCGTCTCATTAAGTAAAGAAAAGGGGAAACAGGGGGTGATCATGAGGTGAATGAGTACATAAACATTTATCGTAAATAAAACAAAAGCATTAGTAGATTTACCGAGTGGAAAGGTGATAAACAACACTGAGAAATATATTCTGATTTGTTTTAGAGTTGACTTTGAAAGTATAAAAAGATGAAACACGTACTTGAATCTGCGCTAAGGATCAATCAGATTCAGAAATCTTTCAGTTAGATTAGTCAGATCGCTTTCAAATGATAGATAACAAGTAGGTTTGATTCGAATGATTCAAATGATTTGATTAACCAATAAGAAAATCTATACAAAACTCTCAAATTTGATCGCTTTCTTCTCTAATTTTGACAGAATGCAGAATTTGTATAAAAACTATAGCCAAAAACAGAGCAAAGATTGATTTCTATCCATAAAAATTGGTTTAAAAAATTGATTTGAGCATAAGGACGCCTAAGAGGGGAAAGTTCAATCGCTGATTCACTTTGAGTATTTCAGAAGGGAAGCTTTTTATACCAGACATTGGTACATTCACCGATTCACCACGTACACGATCACAAACTGCTTCCACATTTCTCTATCCCTTGCTATTGTCATCCAGTGTTTCCTATCTTCGTTGTTCCTGGTTCGAAGTCTTCGACTTGCTTTTGCTGGTGGTGATTGTACTCTAGCCATCCTTTCTCTGACCGTCTCTGCCACTCTTGTGCTCCACCTCGTTGCTGGTCTTCCGATGGGCCTCTTCTGGTCCCGTGATAGCCACTCTGTGATCGTCCATCGTTCATCTGTCGTCTGTTCTTCTGGCTACGTGGCCGGCCCATCTGAGTCTTTTTCTCTCGATCATTTCCACTGGATCTCTGAGTCCCGAGAGCTCTCGCCGCGATTTACATTGAGATTTCTCTTTCACTCTTTTGCTTCCTCAAAAAGAAGATATTCAGCTGTAAATTTGTACCCAGGATCCCAATTTACCGAATTTCCGGCATCCGCGGATTGATTGGAGCGATTATTGTGCTTACATCGGATTTAATCATAAACTTTTAGATAGATTTGAAAACTTATCAGCAATCTTGGAGAGAAGATTGCAGCTTTGAGTTTTGCAGCTTTGAGTTTTGCAGCTTTGAGTTTTGCAGCTTTGAGTTTTGCAGCTTTGAGTTTTGCAGCTTTGAGTTTTGCAGCTTTGAGTTTTGCAGCTTTCAAATCCTTGTATCTTAAAGTAAAGTTGTATGAATATCCTTTATGTCTAGTAATTTGAGCAATTTAAGCCTAGTCAAGCCTTTCTCTTAGCTAAAACCTTTCTAATCAAAGATCACTCTAATAAAAACTCTTTCAAGAAGATAAATGATATCAAGATGAGAAAAAGTGTGAATGTTTGATCAGCTCAAGCACAGCTTGAGATCTGATTGGGAGCTGATTTCTATTTTTAGCTCACCAACTGACTAGAAAGTGTGAGGGTTGCGTCAATCTTTTCTTTCTTTGCGAAAATGAGATAGGTTTTTGTTTCGTTTGAAAGCTGAAATCCAACGAAATTCAATCTTTTTAAGCAAAAGTTTTGTTTTTTTAGGGAAAACCGGAAATTTGGAAGAAAATTGGCAAGTTTCTATTGAAATTTTAGCCAATTGGCCAATCTAAAGGTCAAAATTTAAATGTCAAAGCATTCACAGCCTTACCGAAAATTTAACTATATTAAAATAATCAAATATAAAGATAATTTTGAGTATTTTCAAGTGAAGTTTTAGTATTTGAGATGTTCTTTTTTTATTTATCTTTTCTAGAAAGAAAATTGTTGATTGATTTGTAAGAATTCTATATTAGATAACTTTAGATTAACTTTAGATTAACTTAGATAACAACTTAGATAACTTAAAAATAACAAAATGAAGATCAAAGTTTTAATTTATAAATAGAAGAAAAGAGAATTGAAAAGGATTCAAAGCTGGACTTTGTTTAAGTCAAAATTAGACAAAGTCACGCAATTTTCTAGTTAAATGAAGACTACGTTCTCTAGTTTTGAAGTTTAAAAAGAAAATTTGAAAGTAAATTGGTTGAAATTGGTTGAAAGAAAGAAAACTAAACTTTATAAGAAAGCTGAACAACTAGACAACAGTTGGAAGATTTGAGGAAATGGAAAGGAAATTGAGAAAGCAAAGGAATGGATGACAAGGGAAATGGAAAGGAGAAAGGAGTCCAACTCTTCTCCTCTTTTGCCCCAAAATGAAAGATGGATTGTAACACAAACATGCTGTTCAACAAGGGGAAAGATACACGAAATCATTGGGAAAAGTCATAAGGTTAAATCTCTAAAGAAATTCTCAAAATAAGCAATTCTTACAGCATTGAGTCAGCTATTTTCTTTACATCAGTTTAAATTTTCGGCTAATCAAAAGGAAAATTGGATGTATAACCGACAAGTACCAATAATAATAATAATAATAAGCTACTTGTCGGTTATACATCCACAAAGACTCATCTCGGTTAAGCATCTCCATCCGAGTCTTCTTGGTTATCGATTTTCGTTCGACTCATCGACTGATCGACTTTAGACAAGCAGTCTACTTCACTGAACAAATCACTGAACTGAACAATCACTGAACAATCACCCCTCACATCTTGTCAGCTTCTTGCTTAACCGAGTTGAATCTCTGTGGATTTATAACCGAAAAGTACCGGAAAATTAGCAGATTTGTTAAGTTTACCAAGAAAAACTAGACTTAATTGAGATTTTTAACTATACTTAAGCCTTAAGCTTAAACAATTCGTTAAGGAGAAAACGAAGAAAACGAAGAAAACGAAGAAAACGAAGAAAACGAAAACAAAACGAGAAAACGAAGATTTCAGGAGAAGAATATACAGGGTGACCAAGAATTACCGCAACAACTTTTTGGAAAAGTATCTGGGAAATGTCGAATTTATTTCAAAAGTGGCAAGTGTTATACAGAGAATTATAGGCCTAATTCTCGGCAACATTTATCTACCAAAAACATCCTGATTGGACTTATACAACTCATTTAACAAGCGCTTGAATGAGCGCTAGTCGACATCTCTCCGGCGAATCTGTCATTTGGCCACTTTTCTACATTATTTTGGTTATGCCAGTCCAGTCAAAACATTTAAGTGTGATTCCTAATGTTATTAAGTGATATTAAACGCTATTGGCAAGTGTTATAATGACAATGAAAATGACAGATTCGCCGGAGAGATGTCGACTAGCGCTCATTCAAGCGCTTGTTAAATGAGTTGTAGAAGTCCAATCGGGATGTTTTTGGTAGATAAATGTTGCCGAGAATTAGGGCTACAATTCTCTGAATAACACTTGCCACTTTTAAAATAAATTAGGCATTTCCCAGATACTTTTCCAAAAAATTGTTGCGGTAATTCTTGGTCACCCTGTACTTTAATCTTGACTCTAAGAGAGAAAAAAGAAGCTGAAAGAAAAGATTAATTTTTATTATTATCATGAAAGATGTAAACCTTATCTAATTTTTGTAATAAAATCATGTTTATCTCGAAAAAAACGAAAAAAAACGTTGATCACAAGAAACTTTATTGAAAACAAAGTTTTTTTTGTTTAGAGAAATGTTCTTATTTTCAGCAACTGTTGTTTTTCGAATTGGCTTTTGATGGAAATCAATTCTCAATTCTTTTCTTTTCAGTTTGATTTTGAAATTGGTAGATGTAGTTTTGAAAATCCAGCGTTAAAGTCAAGTTTATTTTTTTTATTTTTACTTTTGTTGTTCTTTATGAATGAAAAATTGTGTTTACTTGATAGATTTGATGAAAAAAAATAGGAAATAGAATAGATTAAATAAAGAGATTCATTTTTTAAAGCTTATTTTCTTATTAGCAAGCTTTGTATAAGACTATTAATGTCATTTCATCTTCACAATAATATTCTAAACCTAAAATCTTTAGGTTTAGAAGATTCTCTGAAGTCTAAAAACTTCAAATATCTTTTTTTTTGTAATCAAATGTTCTAAAATCGAGTTTTCTGAAGCTATAAAGTGTTCTGATCCAAGGTAAAGTCATTTTGACTTTTGACTTTGGTATTTTACCTTGACTTCGTGAAATAAAGGTCCTTAAGGACTTTGGTTTTAAGAATTCTACTAAAGCAGTCATGATCAACTTGCTAAAACCCTGTATCTTAATCCGGAGCTTCAATCTTTAATCAAGGGTTCAATCTTGCGGTTCTTTTCTTGGTTTTTGGTTGGTTTCTTGGTTGGTTAGTACTTTTTTTACTTTTTTTTGGTTGGTTTCTTGGTTGGTTAGTTCTTTTTTTCTTTTTTAAAGCAATTCAAAAAGCTCAACTAAGAGTTGGGCAATCAGTTGGGCAATCAGTTGGGCAATCAAAAGTCAAAAAGACAAAAAGCTTATAGCTTAATCTCTATGAAGTCTAAAAACTTCAAATATCTTTTTTTTGTAAACAAATATTCTAAAATCGAGTATTCTGAAGCTATAAAATGTTCTGATGCAAAGTAAAGCCAAAATACCTTGACTTCGTGAAATAAACGCTGTCAAGAAATAGATTTTGAGAATTCCATTAAAGTAGTCTTGGCTGACTTGCTAAAACCCTGTATCTTAATCTGGAGGTCAAGGGTTCAATCTTGCGGTTCTTTTTTTGCTTTTTGGTTGGTTTCTTGGTTGGTTTCTTGGTTAGCTAGTTCTTTTTTTCTTTTTTTTAAAGCAACTCAAAAAGCTCAACTCTTAAATCAAAAGTCAAAAAGACAAAAAGCTTATAGTTTTCAAAGGTTTGCTTTGATTGCAAATAAACAAGTTTATTTGACCGATTTATGACAAAGCCTGACTTTTCTTGATTCAGGACTGATCTTATAGAAGACAAACAAGCTTAAAAGTTTTGTCTCTTATAGAAGACTTTAAATCCAGATCTAGGATCAAAGTCATTCCTCCTTTTTTTATGAACTTTGAAAAGATCTTGTGCTGAATGAAAAGAAGAAGAAGAAGAACTGATATCAGAATAAAAGGAAGATGGAAGAAAGAAAGAAAGGAAGAAGGGAAGAAAGGAAGAAAAAGAATGAAAAAGATAAGCTCTATCTATTGGAGAGTGGAAATGACCCTCTTCATTTAGATTTCCCCTCAAAACAAGACTCCCACCCTCACTTTATGGATGGAAAGCTTTTAGAATAAACAAGGATCTTTAGATCTTTAAATCTCTAGATTTTTTGGCTTTCTTTATTCAATTTTATCTGTAAACTTTATAAATTAAGACTAGTTTTTGAGTTTTTTCGAGGCAGGCTAATTTCCGCCATTTTATTTGCGCAACAGGGTCATTTGCGCAAGTACATTTGCGCAACTTTTCATTTGCGCAACTTTTTTTGCGCAAGAGGGTCATTTGCGCAACTTTTTTGACGTTTTTAAGGAACTGGCGCGAAAGCAGAGCGGTGCGCTTTCTAAAGCGTGGATGCGCTACCGTACCGCGCACAAAAATTCTCTTTTTTCATTCTTTTCATTTTCCTTTATTCCATGGTGGGATCGGAAACTTTGTCCGGCTTTTATGGCGAGTCCCGCTAATGCGGAGGCGCAAATGGACCTGACCAGCGAAATTTGCATTTAGGTTCAGGAATCAGGTTAGCCTAGGAGCCACGTGGTTCTAGGGTGCAGAGTCATAGCCCAGGAAAATATCGGGGCCACATTGTTATTCATAAAGTTTTTGAAATTTTTCACGGCTAAAACCATTTTCATTCGATTCAGCGTGTTGGAAAACCTAGAAAATAAAAAACTTGCTCGTTCAATGCAAATTTCTTTGGCCACGCCCATTTGCGCTCCCGACTAGTATAGCAGCTTATTTTATTTTAGGGCTCTTTCATCAACACCTCGCTCCAACAGCTCCAACGCTCCAACAGCTCCAACGCTCCAACAGCTCCAACGCTCCAACAGCTCCAACGCTCCAACAGCTCCAACGCTCCAACAGCTCCAACGCTCCAACAGCTCCAACGCTCCAACAGCTCCAAAGGAGGTTTTATATGATGCGACTGGATTATGAATATCGCTTTTATCGGGAAAATTCAAAGGGAAAACTTTACTACAGGTATTCCTTTGTTTCTTTTCAATTGTAATTTGTCTATCAATTGTAATTTGTCTAGTTAGGTGTCTTTCAAAAAGCTGCAACGTTAAGGCTCGCTCAAGGGCAAAAGGCAAACATGTAAAGTGCCTTGGAGAACATCAGCATTTGCCTCCTGATTTTGGAAAAGAGGTTAACGCTAACGTTTGGGGTTTATTGTTTATTTTTTAGTTACGCCTAATCAAAAAAGGAGTTAAAAAGGAAGGGTTTTAGGTTTTAGAAGGGACCCAAGAATCCGCATCCATCGCATACTGCAGTCAGACTTTACGAAGAAATGACGCAAATAATCAACCGTTTCAAGCTTTCATCGGCTATCAATCTCATTGTTGGACCAAACTACGCACGGAAGAAAACTGTATTGGCTCGACAAAAGCAACGTTTTACTGCTATTTCTAATGGTCGCTTGCCCGGTTGCGAATTTGTGCAACATCTTTCTCAGCTTTTGACTTATATTAAAAAAATTTGATTTTTATTGTTGTCCTAACTTTCATTGTTATCGGTTGCACTTTTTTGTTAAATAGCTAAATGTTAAAAGCAATAAAATATTTTACTAATGGTTATTAGCTTCTAGAAAGGACTAATTTAGATAAATATTGGAAGATTGCGCAAAAAATTGGAAGATTTCATAAAAAATAGAATAAAATTAAAAAAAAAAACAATAAAAAAAGCTCGAAAATGAAAATAATGATTAAAAATCCGAGTGCTTAATACAGAGCTAAAGTTGCGCAAATGATCCAGTTACGCAAATGACCCTTGTTGCCCAAACGTACTTGCGCAAATGACCCTGTTGCGCAAATAAAATGGCGGAAATTAGCCTACCCCGTTTTTTCTTCAAGATTTCTGATTTTCCAACAATTTCTATCGGTTTATGTTTCTTTAATGACTTCTAATTCACGTGAGTTTTCTAAAATCTTCTCAGTGATAAGGAGAAAGAAATTCACGGAATTCAACCGGGTTTTTTTGAACTGTATCCGGTTCAAAGTCTTCTCAAAAACGTAGACATCTTTCTTTTCTTAAAAAGACCGAAAAAATCTCAATTTCCGTTAATTCTGTACTTTTTTCACATATAGGATACCTGATTAATAAGAAAAAACTTTAAAGAACGGAATCGAATCCGCTGAGAAAGATGAGATAGATTTCAGAGTCTAGCACACTATTCCCTAGGCCACCGCTGCAATTTCTAAGCTCAATTTCTAAGCTCAATTTCTAAGCTCAATTCCTAGATCTATTACTGATATTCTAAGCCCAATTTCTAGATCTAATACTCAATTTTTAAGCTCAATGTCAAAGCTCAATTTCTAAGCCCAATTTCTAAACTTAATTTCTAGATCTATTACTGATATTCTAAGCCCAATTTCTAGATCTAATACTCAATTTTTAAGCCCAATTTCTAAGCTCAATTTCTAAGCCCAATTTCTAAACTTAATTTCTAGATCTATTACTGATATTCTAAGCCCAATTTCTAGATCTAATACTCAATTTTTAAGCCCAATTTCTAAGCTCAATTTCTAAGCTCAATTTCTAGATCTAATACTCAATTTCTGTTTCACTCGACGACAACCTCTTATAGCTCGTCGCAGTTTACCAAAAATTTGGAAATCAAATTTTTCATCTATTTTTTGTCTATTTTTTATCTATTTTTGTCTATTTTTTTCTTTTAGATGAAAACAAACATCTTAATTCTAATATTTTCTTGTTTATTCGGTGCCTTTCTCACTTTTCGAACACAATCCGTGGCAGTGAAAGGGAAATTGATGTGCGGAAGTGAGCCGGCAAAGGGAATTCTCGTGAAATTGATCGACGATGATGGATTTAATGGTGAGAAACTTTGAATTTATAAAAATAAACCTAAAAATAAGCATTATTGATGAAGTTAAAGGTGATAAAAGCTTTCTCTTTTTACCTAAATACCGTATTTTCTCTCCAATAGTAGTGCATCTGGCCGAGCCGAGTTGGTGACGATTTTCCGGTTTCCAAGTTCTTCACAGAAGCCCAACACTCTAATTCCCTACTAGATCTCATCGTCAGCTACATTTTTCGACCTCACATCGATAGGTTCTGATAAGCGGTTCTCGAGATTTCGAGGAATTTAGGATCAGTAGTTTTCGAGATTTCGAGCAGTCTTTTTTCTTTGTTCGCAAATCTTTTGTTCATATCTAAATACCGTATTCTCTCCAATAGTAGTGCACCTGGCCGAGCCGAGTTGGTGACGATTTTCCGGTTTCCAAGTTCTTCACAGAAGCCCAACACTCAAATCCCCCACTAGATCTCATCGTCAGCTACATTTTCCGACCCCACATCAATAGGCTCTGATAAGCGGTTCTCGAGATTTCGAGTAATTTAGGCAAACCTTAAGGTGTATTCCCTAATAGTGCACCCTGCCGAGTTGGTGACTATTTACGGCTTCCAAAGTTTTCCCAGAAGCTCAACACTCTAATTCCCCACTAGATCTCATCGTCAGCTACATTTTCCGATCCCACATCAATAGGCTCTGATAAGCGGTTCTCGAGATTTCGAGGAATTTAGGCGACGCTCAGGGTGCACTACTACAGTGCGTTTCAAATTCTTAAACGCACCCTCTAAAATAGCGAATTTTGCATTTTGACCACCTCTACAACTATTAATCTTTTTTCTATTAGAAAGAGCATGTCTTAAAACCTAAATAACACGAAAAATAAGCATACTGTAAAAAACAAAAATTTTCAGAATAGAAACTTTTTGCTAAATCAACCGTTTCAAATTCTTAAACGCACTATGAAAATATTTTTATTTATCAACACAAATTAAAAATCAAAGGTAAAAAATCAAAACTAATAATCTGTACACGCACCAGAAAGATTAATTACTTGAAAAATACGGTCTGGCATTGAATTGATGAGGTTTTGAAGAGCAGAGACGTCGAGGCCGAAAAAATTGCTGCTTTATGTGTGGAGACGCCTTGAAACTGACAATGATTCTTGTAGACAGCTCGGACAAGTATTCCCCATAAATTTTCTATCGGATTGAGGTCAGGAGACTGAGCGGGTCAGTCCAAAGTTGCAATGTTGTTGTTGTTCAGTCAGTCTCGGGCGTCTCCGGCTCGATGAATTGACGCGTTGTCGTATTGAAACAAATCGGGAACGGCTTGATTTAGGAGCGAAAACGGCGACAAGCAATTGTTCAACATATCTATCTAGTCATCCGATTTGAAATCAGCTTCAGAGCGACCGTTCCATCAGCACAAAAGGCGGCCCAAACCATCACAGAACCACTGTCAAAGTTTCGAGTTCCAAACACCATCGGATCACGTCGAAGATCCCTCCAATAGTAGCCAACGCCATCGGGGCCATCCAAATTCCATTTCTTCTCATCGGAAAAGATCACCCAAATGCAAAAAAATAATAAAACATAAGCGGCTTTCCAACCATAGACCAATTATGATTCATCTGAGTCTTGGCGAAGGCCAATCGGGCTTTCTTGTGCAAAAGCTTCACGATCGGTTGGATGTTCAATAATTGTCGATCGATATGCGCGTTTTTCCTTGATGGCTCGCCAAATTGTCGACTTCGAAGAGTCGATTTTCCGTTGCGTTTTCACTTCATTGATCGTTTTTCCGTGGATGTTGTTCACAATATGGCGTCTAGCTCGCGGTGGAAGCTTTGGTTTTGGTCCTGGCTTCTTCTTTGGCTTCTTCTTTGGTGCAGAAACGAACTCGGACTTTATATAATTCCGCGTGGCAGAGTCGGATCGGCCCAAATTTTTTGCGATTTTCCTTATTGAGTCGCCAATACTCAAACGGGCATCAATCTGGCCTTTCTCATAATCCGTGAGCAGCTTTCCGTGTGCCATTTATCTGGAAATTAACAAAAATTATAAATTTAATAAAAAAATATGCACAACAAAACGAAAAATTTCAAATAACAACAGCAAAGGCGGGTGCGTTTAAGAATTTGAAACGGTTGATTGAGCAAAAAGTCTCTATTCTGAAAATTTTTGTTTTTTACAGTATGCTTATTTTTCGTGTTATTTAGGTTTTAAGACATGCTCTTTCTAATAGAAAAAAGATTAATAGTTGTAGAGGTGGTCAAAGTGCAAAATTCGCTATTTTAGAGGGTGCGTTTAAGAATTTGAAACGCACTGTATTAGAGAAAATACGGTAGTCATTTTTAGTGCCTGATCCCGATGACAATATGGGACAAACGAAAACATCTAATGATGGATCATTTTCCCTTAATGGTGAGGTTCATTGATTCAAATTCAAATTCATTTAAAAGTTGATTGTTTCATTGCTAAAAGTTTCATTTGAGGTTCCACCGCCGAACTCTCATCAATAGAGCCAGAGTTAAAAATCTATCATGATTGCAATGATGAGCATAAGGTAAAGATTTATTGCAAATTGATTTTAAACTGTTCTGAAAAATATAGCCAAACGAAAACTGGCATTGACTTTATCTTGGCTTGTTCTAGAAACTAAGAGATTATTTAAAAGCCAAGTCAAAGTCAAGTCAATCATTTTCCAAAAGGCGTTAGGCTTGAAAGGCAAACATGGACGCTACAAACTACAAATTACAAACTACAAACTAGAATTCGGCAAACAAAACTAAAACCAAAACAGACCAAAACCAAAACCAAACCAAAACCAAAACCAAAACAAAACCAAAACAAAACCAAAACAAAACCAAAACAAAACCAAAACAAAACCAAAACTCAATTTGCATATAAATTAACATGTAAATTTTAGATTGTAAAATGCAAATTTTAATGTTTTAATTTAATGTTTTAATTTTAAATTGTAAAATGCAAATTTGCCTTTCACTTTTTCTCACTCCCCAAAATCTCGCGGCCGAAAAAAGGACCAAAACACGACCTCGAAATTTCGAATCTGCAAACAGATTTTCGCTAGCTCCTCCCAATCGCGAGATATTGGCGAGTTTTGGTTAGTTTTGGTTTTGGTTTGTTTTGGTTTTGGTTTTGGTCTGTTTTGGTTTTGGTGGTTTAAGTTTTAACTTTATTGGTTAAAACACGCACGAGAAAATGCTCGTAGAAACAAACAGACAGACAGACAGACAGATAGACGGATAGACGGATAGACGGATAGACAGACAGATAGTCGGATAGACGGATAGACAGACAGACAGATAGACAGACAGATAGACGGACAGACAGACAGACAGACAGATAGACGGATAGACGGATAGACGGATAGACAGACAGATAGTCGGATAGACGGATAGACAGACAGACAGATAGACAGACAGATAGACGGACAGACAGACAGACAGACAGATAGACGGATAGACGGATAGACGGATAGACAGACAGGCAGACGGATAGACGGATAGACAGACAGATAGTCGGATAGTCGGATAGACGGATAGACAGACAGACAGACAGACAGGCAGACAGACAGACAAACAAGCAGACAGACAAACAAGCAGACAGACAAACAAGCAGACAGACAAACACTGCTCTTTTATATAGTAATTCATCTGATTTATCCGATATTCCGATTTTAGCCGTGCCTTCGCCGTTGGCTGATCCGTATCCCTTCTCGATACATTTCCGACGGTGAAAATCCGCAACAAGTGATGGATTTGGGCACACTCAATCTCGAAGTACAACTTGAAAAAGAAGACAGAAGATGTCATCAATAAATGCTTTTGAAAGATTTTATTGATTTTATGAAAAAAAGTGAATCGATGTTTATCTGGCGTGACTTTTAATCAATGTTTATCAAAAGATTTCTAGAAAAACTTTATTATGAAACTTTTGCTATTTTGCGTGCTTCCATTGCTGATGGCACGACCGGAAACGGCAAAAAAAACCTCGGGCACACAAAGTATTTCCGTGAGTTCAAATTCAACAATTTTACGTTTAATTTTAACAACAATTTTTTCTCTAAAATCAAATTTTATCGATTTTATCAATTTATTGAAGTTTTTAACACTCTAAAGAACGAATAAAGGTCTTTAAGATTAGAAAAATGACTTAACTTTAATTAAAAACTGGTTTAAAAAGCATTAAAGTTATTAGTTTTGACTTTTTTTTTAGCTAGTTTTAAAGAGTTTTTAAAAAATAAGCCAATTTACGATTATTTACGATAGCATAAGAAAAATTGCAAATGTTTAAAGCAATTGCAAAGCATTTTTGTCACTTTTTTTTTAGTTTAAAATTCTCATGGTTTTCTTTTAGATTACGTGAAGAAAAAGGATCTTTATCCTCAATAAAAGGGATTTTTTTTTAGGTAAAAGGTGTGCTTCGTTGTGGCTCAAAACCGGCGAAGGGTGTTCTCATCAAATTGATCGATGAGGATTTCGGTGGGGTTTAATGACAAACTAATAATAACTAATGACTTTCTTGTCACCTATTTACAGTTTTTAGACATTGTGCTAGTGTTTCCCTCGCGAGTAATGCGTCCTGAAAAAGTTATCCGACATTTGAGATGTGCCCCGCCCCTTTTCCCATTGGCAATCGAACTTTGAGCTCAAATATCTTGGTGCTGGACTGTTCAATTTAAATAGTTTTTATACCAATCGATAGAGAAAGTCTTGGCGCATCTAATGATACCAAGAATATTTAAATTGGATGATTGTACACCGAAATACTTGAGCTCAAAGTTAGATTGCTAATGAGAAAAGGAGCGGGGCGTGTATAAGATGTCCCAGTGTCCCGGCCCCTTTGCCATTGGCAATGATACCAAGAATATTTAAATTGAACAGCCCAGCACCAAGAAATTTGAGCTTAAAGTTAGATTGCTAATGGAAAAAGGGGTGGGGCGTATATAAGATGTCCCAGTGGCATCGCCCACTTTGCCATTGGCAATCTAACTTTGAACTCAAATTTCTTGGTGTTGGAATGTCCAATTTAAATATTCTTGGTATCATTAGATGCGCCAAGTCTTTCTCTATCGATTGGTATAAAAACTATTTAAATTGAACAGTCCAGCATCAAGATATTTGAGCTCAAAGTTGGATTGCCAGCGGCAAAGTGGGCGGGGCCACTGGGGCATCTTATATACGCCCTGCCCCTTTTCCCATTCCAAAATCTTCTCAAAATGCACCTATTTGAGCAAGCTGCCGTAATCAAATCGTTATTTTACATTCAATCAATTCGATTTTCGTATCATTAACTGAGTCTTGTAATTCCTAAAATTATCGAAAAATATGAAAATTGGGCTTATCATAAGTAAACTAGCAGATTAACTACGGTAGTCTACTTAAATAGGTGATTTTAGAAAACGAGAATCACATTTTAGTGACAATCCTATAGAATATTTTAATCGAAAGCTATCTTTACCCAAAAATTGTATGCTAATCTTTTAAATCATATTATAATATCGCTAAAAACTCATAAATACCCTTTATCTTCATTGGAAAGTCAATTATCAACAAAAAAAGAATAACCAAAACTCGATTTTCATTCAGAATTCAGTAAAAACCTATTGAAATTCGAGGTTAACTATAAGAATTTTCAAAAAAGCTGATTATTGAGCGATTATTGAGCGATTATTGAGCGATTTTTGAGCATAAACATTGAAGAAAGCCCTATTTCAGCTAAGTGCTCAGAAATTGAGTATATAAAGCGGTTTCTCAAGGCAGAATAGCTGAAAATGTTGGTCCCTTGTGATGACTAATAAAGGCAACTTTCTTCCTCATTTTCTTTTCTCCAATTTGTCTCGTTTATTCAATTTTGTGTCAAATATCATTTGTCGGAGATTAAAAAGAAAAAAAGATAATTCGATTTACTTTTTAGAATGTTTTTAATGATAAAGAAAGAGTGGGTGTCGAAATTTCATTTGCTTTCAGGACAAGACACAGATGATATGCTTGGACGTGTGCACACCGATGAGAATGGAACTTTTGAGTTAAAGGTGGGGGACAAGTACGGTAATATCACTAGAAGGTACGATACTTACCTAGAAAGTGCAGTAAGATACCTAGAAAGTACAGTAAGATACTGGGAAGTACGGTAATAACACTAGAAAGTACAGTAAGGTACCTGGGAGGTAGGGAATATACCTAGAAAGTACAGTAAGATACCTAGAAAGTACGGAATATCCCTAGAAAGTACAGTAAGATACCTAGAAAGTACGGAATATCCCTAGAAAGTACAGTAAGATACCTAGAAAGTACGGAATATCCCTAGAAAGTACAGTAAGATACCTAGAAAGTACGGAATATCCCTAGAAAGTACAGTAAGATACCTAGAAAGTACGGAATATCCCTAGAAAGTACAGTAAGATACCTAGGAAGTACGGAATATCCCTAGAAAGTACAGTAAGATACCTAGAAAGTACGGAATGTCCCTAGAAAGTACAGTAAGATACCTAGAAAGTAGGAATATCCCTAGGAAGTACGGTAATATAACTAGAAAGTACAGTAGAATACCTGGGAAGTACGGAATATCCCTAGAAAGTACAGTAAAATACCTGGGAAGTACGGTAAGATACCTAGAAAGTACGAAATATCCTTAGGAAGTACGGTAATAATACTAGAAACTACGGTGATCCGAGAAAGTACGGTACTAGAGATCGTTGTTTATATTATAGCCCATTTTGTAGCAAATTTTTCACTGATTCCGAATCTATAGGCCGTTTTTCCGTATTGCGTTTAAAATCTCGATTTAAATCAATTTAAAGTTTGGATAATAAAAATAGTTTTCGAGATCGATATCTGTATTTATCTGACCGCGCGACTATTAACCGATCTTGCCTTCCCCCAGGAGATATGCCGTTGTGGCCGAGTGGTTAGTGCGCTAGGCTCTCAAACTGTTGGACCTAGTTCGAGACTGGGCGTGGGTAAAACTTTTACTTTTTATCAAGAAATTTGTTAGAAAATAGGCTAAATCCCACTTGGAAACTTGGTGGTAAATAAACAACGATTCATAGTTATGGAATTACAGTTTTTCTAAGCTTTCCAGGGTCACACGACTGAATTCACGGCTATTGACACATCGCTGAGTATTTATCATGATTGCAATGATGGGAATACGGTAAGTTAAATGAAATTATTTTTGAGGCAATTATTTTGTTCAATTCTTTGTTTTATTCAATTACCGTATTTTCTTAACGCACCCTGAGCGTCGCTTAAATTCCTCGAAAACTCGAGAAGCGCTTATCAGAACCTATCGATGTGAGGTCGGAAAATGTAGCTGACGATGAGATCTTGTAGAGGATTAGAGTGTTGAGCTTCTGTGAAGAACTTGGAAACCGTAAAATAGTCTCCAACTCGGCTCGGCCGGGTGCACTACTATTAGAGAAAATACGGTAATTCTATTGAGCTTCCAGCTTTCCATTGAGCTTCTGCAAAAGCTTGGAAATGAGTTGGTGACCAAAATAGTCACCAACTCGGCTCGCCGGGGTGCACTACTATTAGAGAAAATACGTTATATTGTAAATTCATCGTTTTATCCAATTTCGTTCACTTAATTTGGATTTTTTGGGAATAATAAGCTGAAATGGAATCATTTCTACAAGCGTTTCTTTGTGTTTTTGTTTTCAATTAGGCTTAAGCTTTAAAGTAATTGTAAACTTGTTAAGATTTACTTGTTAAGGTTAACTTAACTTGTTAAGGTAAACTTTAGCCTTATTTAGAGTGCTCAATTCAATTTTCAGCCTTGCCAGCGTAGATGGCGCTTCGAGATCCCGAGCAAGTACATTTCAACCGGGGAAACGCCGAAAAAGGTTTATTTTTTTGTTCTTATTTCAACGTTTCTTCGTTTAAAGCCAATAAAATTGTTTAAATCTTATTTTGTAGACTTTTGAGAAAAAAAAAAGAAAAGTTCCATAAAACTGTTAAAAACAATGAGTAAAATGAAATTTTTGTTCTAAAATTTCTTCTTTATCGCCCCAGAATACAGTAATCTAAATAAAGACAAGAAAGTTATTCAGTTTATTCAGTTTTTAGCTCTTTTCTTCAGTTTCTTTAGCTATTTCTTTAGTTTTTTTTTATTTATATTGGGTTGGTGAATTGAAAACTGCGGGCTATTGTCATATGTGACAGTTTGAGCACTTTCTTCAAAAGAAACCCATTTTGGTGTCAATGGAAAAGTTGTAGAGAATCAAAAATCAAGCTTATCTCCAAATTTTCAGAACGATTCAAAAACTGGTTTTCAAGAAATGCCAAATTTTCACAAAACTTGCATTTTAAGCAAAACTACTAAGTGTATCTTTTTGGAAATTTGGCTATGAGCCTGATTTTTGATTCTCTACAACTTTTCTATTGACACCAAAATGGGTTTCTTTTGAAGAAAGTGCTCAAACTGGGCTGACAGCTAACATCTCCAGTCCTCCATTTTTGAGTCTTGACTCACACTTGTCTCACACACAAACCAAAATCCTACTACGAAAGAGGAATCCGCAAATTGCCTGTAAAATGGGCAGAAGTCGTCAATAATAATGGAAATTATTCGGAATGAATTGATGGTTTTATGTTCAATAAATTTTAGTTCAAAGTCCCGCAGTTTTCAACTCACCAACCCAATAAAATACGACAAGAAAGTTATTCAGTTTATTCAGTTTTTTAGCTCTTTTCTTCTGTTTCTTTAGCTATTTACTTAGTTTTTTTATTTATAGAAAACAAATTCCAATAAAATCCGATTTTTGCCGAATTCAAGCTTCTAGAATTTCTTTTAAAAAAGAAAACAAAATTTTAGAAATTTATTGATATTTACAGGGTGGCTGAAAATTACGTGCGCGCAGCATCTAACATAGTTTTAAACAATGTATAAAGCATTACTACTCATATTTTTGTGTTTTAATATTCTTTTTATCGTTGTCTATTATCGTTGTCCTTGGAAGTGGCTAAAAATTGACAAAATCACCATCAACTTCTCAGTCCAGCTCTCAAGAGCACTCGCAAACGAAAAGTCGCTACAAAAGGTCTGTTTCCAAAAAGTTTGATGATTTGCGGTGGAATCAGTGCTTTCGGGACGACCCCGTTAGTTTTTATCGATAAAAATGTGAAGATTAACGCAAAAGTCTATCAAAAAGAGATTCTCGAGAAAGCTGTGGTGCCGTGGAAGAGGAGCCATCCCAATTTGACCCTTCAACAAGATTGGGCGCCGGCCCACAGAGCCAAAACAACAATTCGCTTTCTCGAAACCAAAATTGGCTCGTTTTTGACGAAGGATCAATGGCCTGCAAACAGCCCGGATCTCAATCCGTTGGACTTTTCGGTCTGGGGCTTTATGGAAGAACAATTGAGAAATAGGAAAATCAACAATTTGAATGATTTACGTCGAGAATTCATCAAAATCTGGAACGACTTAGATGCAAATTATCTCCGCCGCACCGTCGATTCTGTAAAGAAGCGAATTGAAGCCTGTATCAAAGCTTCAATCGAAGTGAATTGAAGCCTGTATCAAAGCTTCAATCGAAGTGAATTGAAGCCTGTATCAAAGCTTCAATCGAAGTGAATTGAAGCCTGTATCAAAGCTTCAATCGAAGTGAATTGAAGCCTGTATCAAAGCGGATGGAGGCCACTTCGAAAATTTCTTTTAATTATTAAATGCTTTTGTTACAACTATTATATAAATAAATATTTTTACATGTTCTTTGAAAGAAAATTAAATTATGGCGTTTTCTTTGGCGCACGTAATTTTCAGCCACCCTGTATTGATATTTATTGATTTGAATTTATTGATAAAAAGTTTAATTCTTAAGAAAAATTATAGAAGATTCTTGATTTAAGAAGAAAAACAATGAAAAACAATGAAAAACATCAATTTTTTAGACATTTGACATAGGCACGTGGAATCTCGAGGCAATTCTTCCCAGAGAAAAACACGATTGTGATCATTGAAATGGAGAATATTCGATTTTACAGTGAACAATAAAGATTTAAACAATAAAACATCAAAAAAAGCTTACAATTAGACAAAGATTCTATAGAAGAATGAAAACTGACAATGAATTACACTGTTTTTGACTGAATTTGACGATTTCTTTCTCTCAATAATGTCAAAGTTGAATGATCTGTATTAAAAAAACTTCTAATAGAACTTTTATTTAGTCTTTTTTTAAAAGCTGATTAAGTCTTAGATCTTGTTTTCATTTTTTTTCTTGAAAACTTCAAGTTAACTTATTATTTCCCAACTTAACTTATAAAAACTGATTAAATTGATTCAAACAGCGCTGATTCTAGCGGCGCTGATTCAAACAGCGCTAATTCAAGCAGCGCTAATTCAAAAAGCGCTAATTCAGGCAGCACTAATTCAAGCAGCGCTAATTCAAACAGCGCTGATCCAAACAGCTCTGATTCTAGCAGAGCTGATTCAAGCGCCTTGTACAAACAGCGCCAACCAAAATAATGTGTTTGCGGAATAAGAATAAAAAACATAGGAACTTAACAGCGGAAGGGTTTTTTTTGGGGCTGTTTGTAAACGGCGCTGTTTGGACACGGCGCTATTTTAATCAGCTCCCAAACAATGTACTGAACTAGTAAGAGATCACTTTCAAAGAAAACAAGAAAGAACAAAGAAAACGAAGGTAATTGGAATTTTTTTTGAATCTCAAAGATCAGAATTATTGTCTCAATTAATGTTTGGTGTATTTTGTGGAGGAGCTGATGAGCTACGTGATTTTTCCTTTTCCATATTTTTCTTCAGAGTGTTGTCTTGAAGATGTTTGTTCTGAAAATGACTTAGATTTCAAAAGGGTTTCATAAAAAAACGATTAAAGCTTGAAATTACTTACTGCTAAACTTTATAAGCTTTTAAAAATTACAGTACAGTTCCAGTTAGGGTTTTCTATTTAACATTTTCTACTAGAATCCTTTTTGGACTAAATATTATAGAGATTTTTGTATATTTTATGCTTAAAACCAGTTAAAAACCGTTTCTAGAGTCCTAATCTTTCATTTTTCTGCGTTTCTGCTCGAAAAATGAATTCGATTCATTAGAAAGATTGTGTTTAGACTTTTCAAAGCAAAAAAGGACATCAAAAAGACATCTAAACTTCTTTATAATCAAAAGAAATGTAAAATTTACTATAAATTTATCTCTAAATCTCTAAATACATAAGAAATTCTTCAAATTTCTATCATTTACCAAATCTCTAAAGATTTTCAAACGAAAATCCCGTTTATAAATTGTTTTTTTGTTCTATAAAAATTGAGAAACTATTCGATTTTAAGAGTTTTTTTAAGAGTTTAAGAATTAAAGGATTTAAGGATTTAAAGGATTTAAAGAAGATTGATAAATAGCTTTTAAGAATCTCTCAAACCTGATCTCCACTCGACTCCACGTAATCTTTTCGAAGAATCCCGTAAATCGCTCGTTTAACGATTCGATTGTGAAAGAGGAAAAGAATTGAATTAATGCTGAAAATTGATTACGATTTAAATTGATTGATTAATTTTAAAAAATTACTTTTGCAATTTGCATTTACAATTTGCAATAAACAGTACAATTCAGAGTGTCCAATAAAAAAGAAAGTTTTCAAATCCGAATTTCGCCGACTTTTTGGTGGCTAGAGGTAAGATTATTAGTCTGAAACAGGCACTAATCTCTCATACATTCAACCTTTCAACTCACTGTCTTCATAGAGAACTCTAGATTTCTCAAGAAACTGTTTTATTAATCTTAGTTTACATATTAGCTCTAGTATAGCACGACGATGTCAGTAGAAAGTCTTTATCGTAAAATTTTACCCTTTTGATAGTCTCATGATATCATTAACAGCAGAAGGGCTATTTTGGCGCTGTTTGTACACAGCGCTGCTTGTAACGGCGCGGTTTGTACACGGCGCTGTTCGTACACAGCTCTGCTTGTACACGGCGCTGTTTGTACACAGCGCTGTTTTAATCAGCTCAAAACAATGTACTGAACCAGTAAGAGATCACTTTCAAAGAAAACAAGAAACAAGCACTAATTAGCAATCTAATTAGCAATCTAACTAGCAATCTAACTTTGAGCTCAAATATCTCGGTGTACAATCATCCAATTTAAATATTCTTGGTATCTAGAAATGCTAAGAAATGCTAAGAAATTCCGGTTTGAAAATGTTTTTTCTATTGGACATCCTGTAAAACTCTATTTAGGCAAACTATCACGGAAAAAAGCAAAGTCGCAAAGTTCTATCAAAGGAATAATATCCGATTAAAATCCCAAATATTGGAATCTCATTTTTCTTTTAGTACTTTTCAATCTGGAAGTCACACAATACAATTCGCTAGGAAATTCTCGGTTTTAAGCGAAAGTGAAATTTTCAAAATTCTTTTCCTTTCGAATTCTTCAATTCTAAAGCTTAAAACAAAATTTTCTTTTGTTGCTTTTTTCAATCTGGAATTCACACAATACAATTCCGTAGGAAATTCTCGTTTTTAAACGAAATTGGAATTTTCAAAATTCCTTTTCTTTCGAATTTTTTTAATTCTAAAGCTTAAATGAATTTCTTTTCTTTTTTTCTTTTGTTATTTTTTCAATCTGGAAGTCACACTATAGAAATTTCTATTAAAGCTTATTTTTAAACGAAATTGAAATTTCCAAAATTCTTTTTCTTCCAAATTTTTCAATTTTAAAGCTTAACTGAAAATTTTCTTTTGTCATTTTTTTCAATCTGGAATTCACACAATACAATTCGCTAGGAAATTCTCGTTTTTAAACAAAATTGAGATTTCCAAAAAACCTTTTGCTTTCCAATATTTTCCTATTTCGAAATCTTTGAAAATAGAATAAAATTAGACTTTATTTAATTTAATTAAACCTTTTTACTTGATCAAAAAGGAATTTTTGTATAATTTAAACATTTGAATTTGGCTCACCTATGATTTGCAATATTGGCAACATTAAGAAAAATCGTGGAGAACCAGCGAAGCCATGGGATGGCTTTAAGTGGACGGCGGAGTTGCGGGATGATATATTGAGAGACACGGGCTAACTGAAAAGAAATGAAATCTTGTAATAGATCTAATCGATGATTGTCAAGGCTTGATCTAAACAGAATCCCCAGCTTGACTTGATTTATTGTAAGGGATTCGAGAGAGAGACTTATGGTGAGTCGCCGTTGTGATGAGCCTTTTGGAAGGAGGGCCTTTGTGCGCCCATGGATAGTGGTAGAGCTTTTGCCCAGTGGTAAAGCTTTTGCTGTCCTGGGGTTTGAAAGCAATCGATCCCGGGGTTCGATCCCCTAGTTGGCATTTAGGGTATTCCTTTTGAGAACTTCTAGCAGAGCTTTACTCTATAAAAAGCAACTGAGCTAGAAAGAAAGTCTAGATCTGGATTAACTGATCCGAAGACTTGATTGAAAAATTATTAGATAGTAACAGTGAAGCTATTAGTAGAATGGCGGATCTAGACTAACTGGAGGATTGATGGGGAAAGCTTGACGAATCATTGGATAATTGAGAACTAACTAATTGACAACTGGACAACTGACAACTGGACAACTGACGATTGGACAAGTGGACAACTGACAACCGACAACTGACAACTGGCCAACTGACAACTGGATAACTGGAAACTGAACAACTGGACAACTGGACAACTAACAATTGGACAGCTGACAACTGGACAACTGGACAACTGGATAACTGACAAATGGATAACTGACAAATGGACAACTGACAACTGGATAACTGGCAACTGACAACTGACAACTGACAGCTGACAACTGGACAAAGTTCTAAGAAAAAGATGGCAATTGGGGAATAAAGAAAAAGCTTAGAAGAAAAAGTAGTTAAAAGAACACGTTTTTATAAAGAATATCATAGATTATGATGTTTCAAATTCGACTTATCTCTAGTCAGGGTTAATCTTACTTTTAATCACCCGGTATTGCTTTTTAAGAATTATGTTAGCCAACTTTTTACAGATGGTCATTTGTTGAAGATAGAATAGAATAGAATTAGCTAAAAAATCGGAACTCACTTCTAAACACAATCCAATAATGGCCGCTTCTTTCAATATTCTCACATCCGTTTTGTTGTAGCTTCTTTTCCCGCGTTGTCGTCGAATATGGAAATAAATAAGTGAATAGATGATTAAAATCACAAATGGGATAAACATTCCAATAATGGTGAAGATCTAAAATGAATGTTTAATTGATTTGTTTTCAACAATTTTCAATTTTTTCAATTTTCCATTCATTTACCGTATTCAGGACAGCATCGGCTCCAGTTGACCAAACATAAAAAGTCATCGTTTTTTGTCCGAAATGTCTTGTCAATCCAAAAGCGTTCTTTAAACCAGTGATTCCTCCAATTAAACCCCAATTTGCCAAGCAAAGAAGTTTCAAGCGAAGTCTGGAAATAAAAAAAACTGATTTTTATGAATTTTTAGAATGTTTTGAATCAAATTCTAACTATTATCAATGAAAATTCTTAAATCTCAAACTATTTACTGTCAATTTTCATTGATTTTCATAGCTTTATCAAGAAAAAACCTTTAGATCAGAGCTCATTAAAGCTCAGTAAACAATTTTTCACAATCAAAATCACATTTTAATTTCAAAACAAAAGACTAAAAGCTTAAAAAGTCATTCTTTTTATTGGAAACTTTTCATTTCATTTATTTTCATTTAAAATCTCACCCTTTAAACCAATGTGATTGAACGGGATAGAGAAAAATAATTAAACGATTAACGGCAATCAAAAATGTGAAATAAGTAGCCGCCTCTTCTGGAAATAAAATTAGATTTTTGAGAATAAAAGAGAAAAATAGTCACCAGAAAGAAATTCTAGTTATCAGAAAATCTAGTCAAAATCACCAGAAAGTCCAGTCAAAATGCCGCCAATTTGATTGATAATACTTTCGAAATTTGAATCCAAATTGAATAACATCATTGGGACAACGGTTGTCCATTGACAAAAGATATTCAACTCATTCGCTGCGATCAAATTTGCGATGATTATGAAGAGGGGATACTGAAATCGATAGAATTCAAGTTTCAGAAAACAAAAGCGCTCAAAAATGTCTGAAAGTTTAGAAAATGCTGAGACAAGTAAAACAAATTTTGTATATTGCTTGAAATTTTACCTTTAACTATAAGAATAGCCAATCTTGCCTAGACCAATTCTACCATTTGGCCTGTAACCCAGGAAATGGCTTAGATCTCGTCTGACTATGGCGGCTATCGAAATTTTTATGCCTAGATCTGCAGTAAAGCTGAATGGCGGAGATTTGCCCCTTTGCCATTGGCAATCCAACTTTGAGCTCAAATATCTTGGTGTTCAATTGTCCAATTTATAAATTCTTGATGTCATTAGATGCGCCAAGTCTTTCTCTATCGATTGGGACAAAAACGATTTAAATTGAGCAGTCCAACACCAAGATATTTGGGCTCAAAGTTGGATTGCCAATGGCAAAGGGGCGGGGCTTAGGGGCTTATTTACGAGGTCCATTTTCTTGGTGTTGAGCTGTCCAATTTAAATATTCTTGATATCATTAGATGCGCCAAGTCTTTCTCTATCGATTGGTACAAAAACGATTTAAATTGAACAGCACAACACCAAGAAATTTGAGTTCAAATTTAGATTGCCAATGGCAAAGTGGGCGGGGCCACTGGGAAAGCTTGTATACGCCCCGCCCCTTTCCTCATTAGCAATCTCACTTTGAGCTCAAATATCTCGGTGCGCAATTGTCCTATGTGCAGAAGGGGCGGCGCGTATATAAGCCCCTTAGCCCCGCCCACTTTGCCATTGGCAATCTAACTTTAATCTCAAATTTCTTGGTGTTGGGCTGTTTAATTTACAAATTCTTGATGTCATTAGATGCGCCAAGTGTTTCTCTAACAATTGGTATAAAAAAATATTTAAATTGGACAGCTCAACACCAAGAAATTTGAGCTCAAAGTTAGATTGCCAATGGCAAAGTGGGCGGGGCTTATGGGCTTACATACGCCTCCTTTTCCATTGGCCACAATCAGCTTTACTACAAGTCTAATCCATAAATTCCTTTCTGGCCCTGGCTTGGGCCAGAAATTGTTTGGATTAGATGTTTCCGATTAGTACATTCGCGACGAAAGCATTTTGAGCGTACAATCACGTAGTCGTTACTGTTTTACCGATAATTTGGTGAAAATTCAAAGACAAATTTGATTGTTCTCTTATAATCGACCTTTTAAAGGATTGTTTACAAAAACATCTCCTTCTTCACTAATCATTTTGCCCAATTTGTGCCATCCTGTACGATTCTCACAAAGAGAAACCTTGAAATTGTTTAATTATTGAGAAATGAAAAATGAAAGCTCTCGCTTTTGACTAATGTTTACAATAAACTCAAAACGAAAGTACGGAAAAGATTTTTAGAACTTTAATCTCCACAAATTAGTAAACAGGATTTCTAGGTTTAAAAAATGCGTTTAATACAAAGAAATGCGACTTTTCGGATACTTGAATTATAAAAGAAGAAGAAGAAGAAGAAGGAGAAGGAGAAGAAGAAGAAGAAGAAGGAGAAGAAGAAGGAGAAGAAGAAGAAGAAGAAGAAGAAGACTTACTATGAAACTAGACTTTAAAGAAGACTTACTATGAAACTATTGGGTTGGGGAGAATGAGTCGGCGCCAAACTTTAAAGGGACTCTTTGCACACATAAAGCCTTCTTTAAACATACGTTTGGTTTCATCGAAAGGATCCACTATTTCTCTACAAAATGACTTTTGAGAGATTCCACAAAGCTTTTCTTTCGTGGAGTTTATGAACTTCCAAACGCAGCTGGTTAAAATGGCAAAGAGTCCGACTCATCATTTGAACAGTTTCTTTCACATAAACCTTCTTTGGTGTTTATATAAAAAAGATAGAGCACATTCAATTACTTAAGTTGCCAAATTTGCAGGAAGATCCCACCAATGGTTTTTTCTAGATCACAGTTTGTAGTTTTTGTGCAAAAAATGGCTTTTTCTTGAGCGGAGGCGCTGTTTGAATTTTCTTTTAAATGTCATTTTGTAGAGAATTAGTTAACCATTCTACTCATATCAAACGCATATTATTTGACGAAGTCGAATAGAAGTTTTAGACATTTTTTTGATTTTCGGCGCCGACTCATTCTCCCCAACCCAATAGTTACTCTAAAAAACGAAAATTTCACTTAAAACAGCTTACCTCTTTAAATAATTCTCGTCCGTGTATTAAAACAACAATAAAGGTTGTGATAAAGAAAAGTGCGATGCCGAGAAGACTCAAATAAATCCCTGTCGATCCATAAACAATAAACCAATCAAGAACATTTGTGAGATTTTGATCGCTGATTAAATCACTGTTATTCACGCTTGCAACTGAAATTCTTTTTCTGAAAATTCTGTTAACTGAAGAAACTAAGAATTAAATGTATTAAAAAGCTTATTGCTACATTAGTTAACTACCGTAAATACTGTAATAGTACCCCACCCCCCTCGTACAGTCGCGTAGTCGCAAACGTTTTTCAGTATTTCATTTTTTTCAAAGCGCCCATACTTTCAAAAAGTGCGTCTTTGGTATCAAAAAATAGCTGAAATTCAGGGCTATTTTTTGATATCTAAACGTGCATTGTAGCATAAACCAGTGTCGAGAAAAACTCGTTCAAAGCTAGACTACCGTATTTATTCTAATAAACGCCGCCCCCCCCCCCTCGACCAACTTTAGATGCCTCGTTCTCAGCCTGATTTTATGATATTTTTATGTTTAATATACCGAAAAATAGAAGAAATTAAGGGCTATCTTTTGGTATATTAAACATAAAAATATCTCAAAATGGGACTGAGAACGAGGCATCTAAAGCTGTTCGAGGGGAGTGGCGTTTATTAAAATAAATACGGTATACAACACTGCGCATCGTCATTATTGTAGTAGGGCACTATTACATTATTCAAATATATCCAAATAACCTACCGTAAATACTGTAATAGTACCCCACCGCCCTCGTAAAGTCGCGTAGTCGCAAAAGCTTCTAGTATTTCATTTTTTTCAAAGCGCTCGTACTTTCAAAAAATGTGGCTTTGGTATCAAAAAATAGCCCTGAATTTCAGCTATTTTTTGATACCTAAACGTGCATTGTAGCATAAACCAGTGTCGAGAAAAACGCGCTCAAAGCTAGACTACGCAACACTCCGCACCGTCATTATGGCGGTGGGGTACTATTACAGTATTTACGGAATTGAAAATGCAGAAAAAATGAGCTAAATCTACCTGTTGTTGTCGATAAAGGCCATAAATCGTTGACTGTCAAATTACTCATTGAAATTCAATTCAAAACGAGGACAAAGCTAGACGCGAGATTTGAAGTTGTCTTATGATAGAAGTCAGAATTTTTTTTTTCTTTAAAAAGTCTTTTGAAAATCACAAGGGAATCGGACATCGTGGCTACACAATTAACGAAAAAATCACTAACCAAATTTGAGAAATTCGCTTTCCCTCTCGAAGATTGGTTTATTTAATTACTTCGAGAAATGTTTTTGATAGAGTTTAGTCGTTTTTTTTATTCTTTTATTTATTAATTCTTTGGTAGACTAGTTTTTCTTTTGAAAAGATAAATGTAAACAAATGTAAACGTGAAAAAAAGGAAACATTTGAAATTTGATGAGTTTAGAGTGGATGAACGGATTTTGAAAGGAAAATGATCTCAATTTACGTTAGTTTTGTTTAATTTGAGTTGTTAAATATATATGCTTTATTCAGTTGAATAGCGACAAAAAGAAAATCATAATAATTACCCGGGAAACCGCTCAAAACACACCCAAAAGATAAATAGATACCTCAAGAAAAGAATCACAGAGCAGTTAAATCAATTGCCGAAATTGCGGCTTTAAATCTATTAGGTTGTCCAGTTATAAATGCGCTTTTTTGAGGGCTTATTCCAAATATTTCTGCAAGTTCACGTGTAGTTTGTCGAGGATCATTTTCGATCGCCTATTTAAGCACTGCATTATCGATCGTAGAAGGCCGGTGGTCCTCATCTCTCAAAAATTCATTTCCTTCTCGAAATCGTTGAAACCATTGCCGACACTGGCTTTCCGAAATAGCATCTTCTAAAATACTTTCCAAAGGCTTCGATGAGATTCAGCGATATTTTTGCCCAATTTGAAGTCATACCAAAGATTGGTACGGAGACGAAACTTCGTGTCGTTTACAGAAATTATATCAAAAATTGGTTTGACGTCAAAAACACGAAAAGTTGTAATAAAATAAGAAATCCTGAACAGCATATAGAAAATTGGGTTTGATAAAATTGTAAAGCTCTAAGGAATGCTGTTCAAGTTGTTCAAGAGCCGGTTCAAGAGCAATCAAATAACTACAGTATTCATTGTTGATGATAAAAAAAGCAAACGCAATTAGCAATTAGCATTCTCTAGTGTTTATTTCTCTTGTAGTGTGTGTGCGCCAATTTTCCCTTGAGATCACTTATTTTTACTGTCCATTTTTACTTCTTCGATATTGCCGTATTCTTTCTGATGAGACAATGAATTTGGGCTTTTCAACGAGAACAAACACAGAGTAACCACAAGGCTGAGAATCTCAAAAAAGGAGTATCGTTTTTGGGATGGGCGGCTCAGGTGATGCGAAATCACTGTTTTAGTATTGGTTTTGATTTTTAAAGTAATAACAAGTGATTTAAATCTGAATTTCAGATGCTGGTCAACTTGGTCACCGGTTTGGGCGTTGCTGTGACTCATTTTGGATGTCTCTGTGACTGGTTCGATGACGATTTTCAACGGAAATCCATAGTTTTTCATAATCTTCATTGTTCTTTGGCAGTTGTTTTGTTTGGTTTTTTGCAAAGGAAACAAGATATTCGAATAGAAAAGAGAAAAACTATGAGAAAACTATGGGTAATTTTCTGTGTGTTTTTTAAAAATTCGTTATATTTTTGTAGATTTGAGAAGTGAAAAAACCCAAATTATTCATCAAAAGTACAAAATTTTAAATTTTATTTTGAAAAAACTTTGAAAAAAACAAAACTTTTTAACCCATTCGAAACCGCAGCGTTTTTTCTTTTTTTTCGTCTACTGTGCAGAAAAGTGGTTCTTTTCTGTGAAATCTTATTTAATGTTTTGATTTGAATGTCTGGTTTTCTTGTCCCGTCTCTGAAAGATTGTTTTTAAGATAAAGGGACGGATAAAAGGGTCGGAGCCCACTTTACAGGGGCACTTTTCATATTCTCTCCGTATTCCTTTTCGTATTGCTTTTGTATTGCCATGAAACGCTGAACCAACGATTAATCCTATTTTATTGTATTTCTTGCTAGATTCAGAATAAATATCTAATAATCAACGCCCCTATCGGTATTCTCGCACGACATTGCACATGGACCAAGCCCTTTTTTGACATTTTTGACTCCGAAGCAGTTTATTTATGGTTGGAAAGATGTAAGAGAGTCTTCTACACCATTTATTTTTGATGAAGAACGATTTGGATTTGACTTCAGTACTTTTCAAGATCCTATCGATTATTGTTCTTATTTTATCGACGACAATATTTTAGTAGGCGAATCTAATGAACATGGAAAAAGGAAAACAAACTGGCAGGATTTCGATGCAAAATCTTTTAAGCTCTTCCTGGCTTCAAATGGGAATCGTCAAATTACCGAGGATTCGTGACTGCTGGAGTAGCAGGCCTGGATTAGGGGGATTTTCCCACATGTCCCACATTATGTCAAGAGCAAAATTTGAATCTATTCTTCGCAACCTGCGTTTTTGTGATAATGAACTGGATCCTGCAGGAGATCGGCTTTATAAGATTAGAGCTATTATGGAACATTTGAATGCAAAACCAGAGACTGCATTGATTCCGGGTAAATATGAAACATCTTTTTTGCCCACGTAATTTGTAGATCTGCTACAATTGGAATCTACATGTAATGCTGAAAAACAGCAAGAAAAAAGCAATTAATTGAATGAAAATAGCTCAATTAGCACTGCAGCGAATAATCGCTGCAGCGGTACGTTCCTGAGTTTTTGTTGCAGCGATTATTCGCTGCAGAAGTTTCGAATGGGTTAATCTTTTATCATAATTGTTTCAATTAAAACTTTCAATTAAAAGTTTTACATTAAATTATGGTAAAGCTATCGTATTATTGTTTTTTTTTTAAAACGCAATTCCTTTTGATGAATTCTGATGTAGTTCTGTAGATGATTCTAATGAAAAATTTCGTTAACTCTGAAGTCAGAAGCAATTCCATTGAATTGAACTAGTTTTAGCTAGTTTTAACTAGTGTTAACTAGTTTTAACGAAGTTTATAACTAAACCATTTCTCAAGTATTATTTAGATCTGTTGTACTGATTGTTTAGGTCTAAAAGCAAGTCAAATCAATCTGTTGAATCAGTCAAATCAGTCAGCTGCCGGTACCTTAACTCTAATCATTGAGCTATCCGGTACCTTAACTCTAATCATTGAGCTATCCGGTACCTTAACTCTAATCATTGAGCTATCCGGTACCTTAACTCTAATCATTGAGCTATCCGGTCACCTTAACTTGTTAAGATAAAGGAGGAAAGACAACGGGAGAGAAAGGAAGAAAGAAATAAGGAAGAGTAAGGCAAGGATTTAGTTTTAGAAGATCTTTGTTTTAAATGTTATAGTCTTAGACGTTTCCAGGTCAAATCTCAAACTTTATTGACGATAAAAGGGTATGATTCACAATTGTATCAAAGGTTTTTTTAGTACTGTCTACCCCGCATTCACTACTAGATGTGTAAACATTGGTTGAAAGAAGAATGCCGGATGTTTTCTTGTACAGTATAGTCAAGAATGGTCGAAGCGTTTTTAGTAAGAAAATTTCAACAATCAAAAGCTCTCTGACTCTTTAAAAGTACAGCCGATATCTACAAAAAGCTACGGTACTTCAAGAGTTACAGTACCCCAAAAGCTACAGTACCCCAAAAAGCTACCGTACTCAATAAGCGAGTAGCTACAGTACCCCAGAAAGCTACCGTACCCAAGGGAACTACAGTACGCAATAAGCTAGTAGCTACAGTACCCCAGAAAGCTACAGTACCCCAGAAAACTACTCCAAGCGCTACAGTATCCCAAAAAGCTATCGTATACAATAAGCGAGTAACTACAGTAGCCCAGAAAGCTACAGTACCTCAAAAAGTTACTGTAGACAATAAGCAACTAGCTACAGTACACCAGAAAACTACTCCAAGCGCTACAGTATCCCAAAAAGCTACCGTACTCAATAAGCGAGTAGCTACAGTACTCCAAAAGTTAGCGTACCCCAGAAAACTACAGTACTCCAAGCGCTACAGTACCCCAAAAAGCTACAGCATCAGCTCAACTCTAACACCGCTTTCCTCTTGTATATCTATTGCCATCGATCTTAGAACCAATTTCTGAAATGACATCAACTTCAAGTTTCTAATTTTATCCATAGACTTTGTCAAACATCGGCAAGTAACTCAAGAAGATCAAAATCCAAATCCTAAAGGAGAATCGCTCAAATGGAAGATGAAAAGAGATGAAAAAAAAAGAAATTTCAAATTTCTCAGCTCAATTCTTGCCCTTTCTCACAAAAAAGGCACAAAAAACATTCACCTTATAGAAAAGAAAAATTTGAGCTCTCATCGAGCCATTTTTGGGTCTGATCCGTTGAAAAATCGAGGAAAACGCCTAAAAATCTCTGCACTTCTTCGAAATTTTCGATCTTTTCTTGGGGAATTCTTTGAATTCTCTCTAAATCTCTTCGAAAATTGTGGTGTTTTTGGGATTTTCTTTTGGAAATTCCCAGGTTTTCTCTAAAACTCAGCAGAAATCGCTGTATTTCACGCGATTCTCACTCACTTTTCCCCGTTTTTCCCTTTTTCCCTTTTTGGTGTTGACAAATATGTGAATTTTGTGTGTGTTTGAACTACTTGATTTCTCTTTTCTCACTTTTCTCACTTTTTTTTCACTTTTCCACAGATCATTCTACAGTAATCTTGAAAAAAACGAATTTTTTTCAAAGCTCCGCCCAATTTTCTGATCGAAAACTGATCAAGAGCTATATTAATAGTGTTTTGGATGGGAAAAAGATGCGATTTTGTCTCAATTTTGTCTCAATTTGTCTGATTTTTTACTGAATTTATCTATTTTTTTCTGATTTTGTCTGATTTTGTCTCAATTTTGTCTCATTTTGTCTCATTTTGTCTCATTTTGTCTCATTTTGGCTGATTTTTGTCTCATTTTGTCTCATTTTGTCTCATTTTGTCTCATTTTGGCTGATTTTTGTCTGAATTTTGTCTCATTTTGTCTCATTTTGTCTCAATTTGTCTCAATTTGTCTCAATTTGTCTGATTTTGTCTCATTTTGTCTGATTTTTTACTGAATTTATCTATTTTTTTCTGATTTTGTCTGATTTTGTCTGAATTTTGTCTGATTTTGTCTGATTTTGTCTCAATTTTGTCTCATTTTGTCTCATTTTGTCTCAATTTTGTCTGATTTTGTCTGATTTTTGTCTCATTTTGTCTCATTTTGTCTCATTTTGCCTCATTTTGTCTCATTTTGGCTGATTTTTGTCTGAATTTTGTCTCATTTTGTCTCATTTTGTCTCGAATTTGTCTCAATTTGTCTGATTTTGTCTCAATTTTTTCGGAATTTTGTGTGATTTTGTCTGAATTTGTCTGTTTTTTTCTGATTTTGTCTCAATTTTGTCTGATTTTTGTCTCAATTTTCTCAATTTTGTCTGAGTTTTGTCTGTTTTTGTCTCATTTTGTCTGAATTTGTCTCAATTTTGCCTGTTTTTCTCTCAATTTTGCTTATTTTCTGGAAAATTTCTCGAGTTTCTTGTTTTTAAACGAATTTTTTGAGAAATCCTTTTAGATTTCCTCTTTTTTTAAAAGAAAATCAGCTTTTTCAACAATTTCTTTCAATTTTCGATTGTAAAAACGAAATTTTACAAGAAAATCTTTAAAAATTCACTATTTTTCGCTTTTTTATCTTTTCCTTACGTAAAACTAAAAGTTTCAGAGGGTTTTTTCGTCGGGAAAATCCTTTTTTTCATTGAATATCTCAAGAAGAAGAAAATCATGACTAAAGAGGTAAATATTTCGATCAATTTTTGCTTTTATAATAATCTAGTAGAGAAATATCATAGAAAAATTGTTTAAAAATGTCTCCTTTTCACCATTTATTCATGTTTTTTAAAGAATTCTGTTTAAAAACAAAAAAATAAACTCCGATCTTTGAACGTCTTTTCAATTCTTTTAAGTCTTTTTTTAAGATTTCACGAAAAAAACTAAGAATTCTAAAGGATAGAGTTAAAATTTAATCAATTTTAATGCGTTTTCAATCAAAAATCGACGTTAAACTTGGTTTAAAGCTTTTAAAAAGCGTTTAAAAAGCGTTTAAAGCGTTTAAAAAAGCGTTTAAAGCGTTTAAAAAAGCGTTTAAAGCGTTTAAAAGCGTTTAAAGCGTTTAAAGCGCTTAAAGCGTTTAAAAAAGCGTTTAAAGCGTTTAAAGCGCTTAAAGCGTTTAAAAAAGCGTTTAAATACCATTTACAAAGCGAGAATTCGTCGTGAACAATGAAAAATGGCTGTAATCGATGGAAACTTGAGATAAATCTTGAATGATCTTGAATGATCTTGATTGATCTTGATAGATCTTGATTGCTCTTGATTTAACTGATTGAAACTTGATTTAAATCTTGAAATATCGATGAACTTTCTCGTTTCCAGGCCCATCGAGCCATTCCCGTGCTCTCGACGCCGACAATGTCCGTCAAACAGAACCACGATCGGTCGGAGACGACAACAATCGCACAGGAAATCCCGCCACCCACTTATACTAGTGAATTTAGTGAGTAGAGTTTTAAAGAATGAATTTAAAATCGAACTTTTATATAAGAAACCTCAAGAGAACGACCAAAAAAATTCGTTAAAACGAATTGTTCGTTTTATAGGTTATTTTAAGGTAAAACCCTTTGTTGAGATCAAAATAAAGTTTCTTTCATCAAACGTTTCATTGTATTAAAGTTCGTTTTGTTGAATTTTGATTGTATATCTAAATCTAGGTGAACTTGGTTTCCCGTCGACTAAATCATTGAAAACTTTACCGGAATCAGGACGAGGCAGCAGTCAAACCGAGCTCATTCCCGGATCATCTCAAAATCGTTTGTTTTAGCTTTAATATTATAATATAAGAGTTTTAGATCTGTTTTAGATCTGTTTTAGATCTATCTAATGTAAAAAAGTAAAGAAAAAGTCAAGATCCTTTCAGAAAAAAAGATCCTTTCAGATTTCATGAGCTCAGTTTATTGGCTGGTGAACAATCATCGGAAATTCGCGATTCGACAGATTCTTCTCGTTTTGGCGTTCACTGTTGTTGCACTCTTGGGCGGAGTCGTTTTTTATTATTCGGAGAAAGGATACGAAAAGAGAGTGAGTGATTTTTGAGGGAAAGTTTCTTGTTATCTAGATTTTAAGGCATCTAGATTCTAGTTTTCTATATTCTAGTTATGTAGATTCTAGATATCTAGCTTCTAAGATATCTAGATCACTAGAAATTAGATATCTAGATTTTAGTTATTTAGATTCTAGTTAGCTATATTCTAGTTATCTAGATTCTAAGATATCTAGATTCTAAGATATCTAGATTCTAGTTTTCTAGATTCTAAGATATCTGGATTCTAGTTTTCTATATTCTAGTTTTCTATATTCTAGTTATCTAGCTTCTAGTTATCTAGCTTCTAGTTATCTAGCTTCTAGATATCTATTTCTCTAAATATCTGAATTTGTTTTCAGTAAAGTTAACGGTAAAGACTCTAAAACTTTGGGTTTAAAAATTTGAATGACCTAAATGCTCAAAATTTGAATGATCTAAAAACTCCAAAATAGATAGATCTTCTTTTGAAAGCTACAAAAGAGATAGATCAATTAAAAGTGAAAAATTCTTTAGAGAAAAGCTAGAGTAATTTTGAAAGCTGAAAAGGGCAGTGTTAGAAAGGGCAGTGTTTAGAAGCTTGAGTGTTAGGATAAAAATGAAATCATCAAAAATCCGAAAATAGTGCTATCAAAGTCAACATTCACTTGTAAAATTTGATAAATAAAACTCCAAAATAAATAAATAATTTCTGTTTTCTTGATCTGATTTAATTAATTGAGGTCAAATTGAGAAAAAAAGAAAAAAATAGTTTTTTTCGATAAATTGACGAGTAAATAAGCAAAGCAAAAAAGTAAATAAAAAGAAGAAAAAAGGAAGTTTTCTAGAAGAAAAAAAAGCGGTAAACATGTACTCAAAAAGAGCAAAATTTTGATCTTATTTCAAAAATTAATTTAAATTACAAAATTTGAGAAAACGATTGATGCAAAAAGCTCAAATATCTCTTCAATTTGATTAAATTTGATCAAATTTAATTCAACGATCAAATTTGATGAGAATTTTGATTAAATTTTGATTAAAAATTTGAATTCAACTTGAATTAAACTTTAAAAAGAAACGTTTAAAAATGGGAAAATTTTTTGAATATAAATACTTTATTCAGAAAGAAATAAAGTGCAAAAACGACAAATGTACTAGATAAAAGATCACAAAGTTACTTAAAATGCAACGAAATAGCCCTTTTAAAATCAGAGACGGTGGAGATCAGACGCAACTTGTCGGGAAGGGCATTCCAAACTTTAGTCACACGATTTACGAGGCTCTAGAGGCTAAAAAAAGCTCTAGAGGCTCTAGAGGCTAAAAAAAGCTCTAGAGGCTCTAGAGGCTAAAAAAAGCTCTAGAGGATTTAGAGAGAGCAGATTCGGGACGCAAGATAAAAGAGAGCCACGCCTAGTCGCCAAAAGCCTCGAGTTTAGTCGAAAAAGATTTTTAAAAAGATGGTTTTGATGTTTTCCTTTTACAATTTTAAAGCACTCAACCAAATCTATGATAAGACGGCGTTGTTCTAAGGTTTCAAGTGAGAAAAGTTTGAGTTCAGTATTTTGTGAATTTTTCAAAGAGATTAAACTAAAACTATCCGCTTTAAAACTAGATTGTTTTTTAAGAATCAAAAATCAGTCGAAGTAAGCATTATATAAATACTTTATTTAGAAAGAAATAAAGCGCGAAAACGACATGAAAAATGTATCAGATAAAAGATGACAAAGTCACTTAAAATGCAGCGCTGTTCGAAGGTTTGAAGTGAGAAAAGTTTTAATCTTTTCAATCTATGTTTATACCTGACCGATGAGTAGTTAGCAAAATCAATTTTGAATAGTGCTATTCGAGTAAAGTTTTTCTGAACCTTTTCAATTTTGTTTTGAAGTTTTGGGAAAGTTTTTTCTTTAAAATTCCGAAAACTCTAGACTAAATGCCGATTTTTTAACATAAAAATTTGAAATTTTACTGAAAAATAGAATCTTATTGAGTTATTTTATTACTTTATTGAGTTATTTTATTGCTTTATTGAATTAGAAAAAGAATTTAAGGCGCTTTACGGTTGGCGGAGTGGGGCGAGTTTTTCACCCTTTTGCGACCCGATTTTAGATTGATTTTTGTTCATAAACTTTGATGGAAGAAATAGTTGAAATTAATAAATCTAAAATTTTAAAAACCCCCCCCAAAAAATTTAATGGGGGAAAAAAGGGGGAGATGGGGAGCCCCCCCCCCCCCCCAAAACCAAAATTATATTTGATCGAAGAAATAGTTGCTAAAAGTTAACGTTCTAAGCTATCTAAATCTTATTAAAACTTCGTGATCTCAAAAGTTTAAGGCGCTTAAAAATGAGCGGTAAGTTGGTTAAAAACTCGGGTCCCTCCGCCTTACCGTAAAGCATCGAATTTAGATATAAAATTATCCAAATTTACCGAAATTTCTCTAAATTCCTCTAAATTTCTCTAAATTTCAGATGCTACGTGGACAAGTGACTTCATTAAACGCTCTTTTGGCCGATATCACAACTCAATTTGAAAATGTTTGGAATGAAGGCAATTCGACGGATATCCAGCAATTTTTAAGGGTAATTTGAGAGAAAACTATTGGAACCGTATTGGAACCGTATCAGATCAAATAGGAACCGTATTGGAGCCGTATTGGAGCCGTATTGAAACCGTATTAGATCAAAAATAGGAACCGTGTTGGAACCGTATTGAAACCGTATCAGATCCTATTAGATTACTATTTAATTACTATTAAATTACTTTAGAGTTAGTTTAAAATGAGAATTAACTATACTTTTTTCGAGTTTTTATTCAAAAATAGGCAAAAATTGTATCGAAAATCTCTTGAATCAAAGAAATGCTTTAGAATTCGTACAAAGAAATGCTGCAAAACGAGAATCGTTACCAGTTGTCGGCTTTGTGGAAATACGATGACGGGAATTACGCCTGGCAATATTGGCCATCCGTTTTCTATCAAACGAATATCTTCATGGGTGTCGATTATGGTTGGTAGAAAAGAAAGACTTGTAAAAAGAAGCAAAACAGCACTTTGTAGGTGCTGGGGTCAAACCCGTGACCACTTGACTGAGAAACAAAGCCCCTAACCACTCGCCCATGACTGCTCGATGCCTAACTAGGAAACAAGACTCTTAACTAGTTTATGGTTAAAAGTTTTGAAAAAAATCACTGAAAAATCGCCCCTTAGCTAATAAGAGTGCACCAAACTCGAAGCAACCAAGAGCAGCGGTAGTCTAGTGGTTAGTGTGATGGACTGCAGAACCCACGAGCGATCTTATCGTGGGTTCCAGTCCTGGGCTTTTTTTGCTTTTTTTTTTTTGAACACTTTACAGTGGAAAAGTACGCTAGATGTGAAAAAAAGCTTAACGATTGAAGAAATAGGTCAAGAAAAAAGATAAAAGCTTTGAAAACCATCCAAAGTACAATCATTATCATTCCGCTTTCAGGCAATGTTCCCAATCAAAACGGTGTTGGTCGGCTTGTATTGGTGATCACCACCTGTATCACTTTGTCTCTTGCTCAAGTTGTTGCTCGAGATCTTGGTCATTGGTATCTCTTCCTATTCACAAAGCTTTATGCTTGGATAAACACTGGATTCAGGTAGAAAAGGAAGTTTATTCTAAAGAAAATGGAATATTTTTGCAGGAAAGCTTTCGAATTAAAGCCATTAGAAGAGGTCGAGTTGCCGCTACTTTTCTGTTTCGGATTATTATTGGGTGAGTTTTTTCAAATCTTAAAATACTAGATTTCTAGAATTAGCCAGAGATTTCTATAGAAATGGTACTTTCTATAGAAATCTCTTTCTTTCTATAGAAATCTCTTTCGAAATTTTAACAGTATGTCTTGTCAATCTAACTTTGAGCTCAAATATCTTGGTGTCGAGCTGTTTAATTTAAATATTCTTGATCTCATTAAATGCGTCAAGTCTTTCTCTATCGATTGGTAGAATAACTATTGAAATTGAACGGCTTAATGGCAAGATATTTGAGCTCAAAGTTAGAGTGGCAATGAGAAAAGGGCGCGAGGCGATTGTGGAAGCTTTTTTCTCCCCGCCCCCTTTTGCAATTTGGCTGTAGAATTTCAATATTCTTGACATCATTAGACGCAATGGCAAAAGGGCGTATATAAGATGTCTCAGTGGCCCCGCCCCTTTTCCCATTGACAATCCAACTTTGAGCTCAATTTTCTTGGTGCTGGACTGTTCAATTTAAATAGTTTTACTACCAATCGATAGAGAAAGACTTGGCGTCTCTAATGACATCAAGAATATTTAAATTGGACATCTCAACACCAAGAAAATTGAGCTCGTATATAAGCCCCTAAGCCCCGCCCACTTTGCCATTGGCAATCCAACTTTGAGCCCAAATATCTTGGTGTTGGGATGTCCAATTTAAATAGTTTTTATACCAATCGATAGAGAGAGACTTGGCGCATCTAATAATACCAAGAATTTATAAATCCAACAACCCAACATCAAGAAATTTGAGCTCAAAGTTCGATTGCTAATGGAAAATGTCCCAAAACTCCTTTCTAAAGTTTACTAGCTAATTCTAGGAATAAAAAAATGGTCATCACATCAAATATTCTCTTCTATAAACCAATTGCATTCAATTCTAGGCAGTTGGTGTTTGGTTTCGGCATTTATTTGCGGCTATGATGCGGCTTTTGGAGAAGATGGGATCAATTATTGGTTATCTTTCTATTTAGCCTATGAAACGGTGACAACAATTGGAGTTGGTGATGTGATGCCAAAATATACTTATGTAAGTGGAAAAACAAGCTTCTAACTTTTCTAAAAAGCTTATAACCTTTCCAAAAGCTTATAACCTTTCTAAAAGGCTTATAACCTTTCTAAAAAGCTTATAACCTTTCTAAAAAGCTTATAACTTTTCTAAAAAGCTTATAACCTTTCTAAAAGGCTTATAACCTTTCTAAAAAGCTTATAACCTTTCTAAAAAGCTTATAACTCTTCTAAAAAGCTTATAACTCTTCTAAAAAGCTAATAACTTTTCTAAAAGGCTTATAACTCTTCCAAAAAGCTAATAACTTTCCTAAAAAGCTTATAACTTATAACTAAAAGCAAGTTTTCCTTTTTCAGAAAGCGCCACTCTGGAAATTCTTCTGTTTCTTCTTTGGGACACCATTTCGAGTAAATTTTCTTCAAAAACAATAGCTATATTCAGATTTTGTGATATCTAATTGCTATATTTGATTTAAATTTATAATTTATAGACTTTAATTGATATTCTAGGCAGTGAATCACTCAACTTTCGTCGTCGTTGAGCGCTCAATTTTCTATCCATTAACAAGATTTGGAGATAGAATCGCTGATTTTTTGAGGAATCGAGTGGCTCCTGAAGATAAGGTAAGCTTGTTTTTACGTGTAAAACTTAAAATATTATTCAAATCTAATTTTAAAAGATTTGAGCATTGTAAGTCTAGAGGTTTTGCCTCTAAAAACTTTGAAAAATTCAATTCTAATTGATTCAAAACTCTGAAACTCTGAAAAAGGTTAACTACTATCAAAATTGGATTTAAAATCGTGTTCTTATTGTAAAGTTATCTGAAAATTGAGCTCGTATATAAGCCCCTAAGTCCCGCCCACTTTGCCATTGGCAATCCAACTTTGAGCCCAAATATCTTGTTGTTGGGATGTCCAATTTAAATAGTTTTTATATCAATCGATAGAGAAAGACTTGGCGCATCTAATGATACCAAGAATATTTAAATTGGTTGATTGTACACTGAGATATTTGCGCTCAAAGTTAGATTGCTAATGAGAAAAGGAGCGGGGCGGATATAAGATGTCCCAGTGTCCCAGCCCCTTTGCCATTGGCAATCCAACTTTGAGCCCAAATATCTTGGTGTTGGGATGTCCAATGTAAAGATTTAATTGAAAAGAATTGAAATTAATTGTAATTAATTGAAATCAATTGAAATCAATTGAAATTAAAGATTTTTCTTTGAGAAAAGTTACTGTAAGTCTAGTCTAGGCCTTCATTTTCCTTTTCCATTCACTACATTCACTGGCATTCATCACTCTTTTCTAAAAACTCTTTTCCCAGTTCATGATCGTTGTTACATAACATTTCTATTTATTTTTTGACGTAAAAATCTTTCGAAAAGAGTGAACGGTCAAATTTTGAGCTCTCCCAGAAAGGAAAGTCACCAGTGAGTCGGTAAATTTGAGAGATCAATCGTCAGATCGTCAGAATTTCAATTTGGATTTTTGAGAGGGGAATTTTGAGGGGAATTGTGATGAGAGGAATGGTTAAAAACCGATTTAAATTACTTGTTTCATTTGTAAAATTGTTTTTTGTAAATTAATTCGTTTTCTAAACCTTTTCCTTTTCTTTTCTACCGTAATCTCGTTTATTTTTATAGATTTCGATATTCTTTATGAATAATCAAAGCTGGTTTTCTATAACGGAACTTCATAAGGAACATTTTAAGGCCAACCTGAAGTTGATCGGTAAATTAGAAGTTGAGATATGGAGGAAAAGAGAAGAGTGGTCAAACTCGGCCGAACAATAGTACAATTGTTGAAGAAAAAGAGTACTTTTTGTTAGGTGACCCCTGATTTTTTCGACGGATTCAAAGTCCCCGGCTAAAACTACGTCTAGAAAAGTGTTTTTAAAAGATTTAAAAACAAGATTGAATTTTTGTATTGTATAAAAGTGGATAGAAGTGGATTTTTTGTGGATAAAAGTGGATTTTTTGATTAAAATAGAGACAAGATTACGGTAGAAAGAGAAAAGGTTCAGAAAAGGTTTAGAAAAGGTTTAGAAAAGCTTTTAGTTTTTAAAATAAACACTAATTGAGATATCACTAGTGATTTCAATAATCTTTTAAGAAAGAAGACTATTTTAAGACTATTTCTGATTACTGTAAGCTCTAAAAACTGAGCTGGGAGACCTTGATTTCACTTAAAATGTGTCTTCAAGTATCCGCTTACGTTATCGTTAGCTTACTCACTTTCAGCAAGTCAGATGCTCGAGAAACATTTCGAACACTGGTTTCGAAAGCAGCCATTAGCCTAAACCCTGTACTAGAACGATTAAAATTATTAGAAATTAGAAAATTACTATTCTATGAATCAATTTAACGTAACTAACTTGGAAAATTAGTAAAAAAATAACTTATTGATGCACAATTACATATTAGTTGACAAAAACTCATGACTTTATGTTGTTTCTTGGCCCCACAATGGCCCCCGCTCCCTTTCCCAATGGCATCCAACTTTGAGCTCAAATTTCTTGGTGTTGAGCTGTTCAATTTCAATAGTTTTTATATAAATCGATAGAGAAAGACTTGGCGCATCTAATGATACAAAGAATATTGAAATTGGATGATTGTACACCGAGATATTTGCACTCAAAGTTAGATTACTAATGAGAAAAGGGGCGGGGCGTATATAAGATGTCCCAGTGTCCCGGCCCCTTTGCCATTGGCAATCTAACTTTGAGCTCAGATTTCTTGCTACTTAGCTGTTACTTTTGCGCTATATCGTTCCAGCTTGCTCACTTTCAGCAAGTCAGATGCTCGAGAAACCTTTCATGGGCGGGACTTAGGGGCTTATATACGCGCCCAGCCCCTTTTGCCATTAGCAATCTAACTTTAAACTCAAATTTCTTGGTGTTGGACTGTTCAATTTAAATAGTTTTTATACCAGTCGATAGAGAAAGACTTATATAAGCCTCTAAGCCCCGCCCACTTTGCCATTGGCAATCTAACTTTGAGCTCAAATATCTTGCCATTGAGCTATTCAATTTCAATAGTTGTTCTACCAATCGATAGAGAGAGACTTGGCACATTTAATGAGATCAATAATTTATAAATTGGCTCAACACCAAGAAAATTGAGCTCAAAGTTAGATCGGCAATGAGAAAAGGGCGCGGGGCGATTGTGGGGAGCTTTTATACGTGAGGCTCCGCCCCTTTTGCTATCCAGCTCAAATTTCTTGCTATTTAGTTGTTACTTTTGTGTCATATCGTTTTAAAACATATTTTAAGTAAAATAATTGACAATTAGCTGAGCTAGGATTACGGTAGTTCAAAAAATAATACATTTTAAGGGGTAATTCGACGAAAAATCATCAAATTTTACAGAATATCGCTCAAATGACGTTTCCCAAAGATGAAATGGACCAAGGAATGCGCAATTTCATCACCGATCGCCGTGATTTGTACGGTGGACAATATGGGAGAGTGAGAATAAATGCAAATGAGCTTGATGACACGAACGATCAAAAGGATCAAAAGGATATCGCTGTGGTTGCGCAAATCTAGTTTTTCATATCGAAATTTCAATTTTACGCATCTTCCTGTGATTTTTCTTGTTGATTCTCAAGCTTTACGGGTGATTTTTGATTTTTCGAGGAATTTTTTGCATTTAATGTGATTTCTCGTGAATTACAAATAGAATATAAACTTTTTTTCAATGAAAATTGAGATTTCAAAGGAATCTAAACAATCCCAGACTGAAACTCGACTTTTTTAGTAACTCTTGGTACTCTTACAAGCGATCGCTTAACAGAAAAGCTAAAGAAACACAATCTATATTGATTTGGGATCAATGGGACCCTTACTGACTTTTGCCTTGACTGAATTTGTGATCCTGTCGGGCCTGTCGAGCCTGTCGAGCCTGTCCAAAATCCTGTCAAGCCTGTCCAAAATCCTGTCAAGCCTGTCAAGCCTGTCCAAAATCCTGTCAAGCCTGTCAAGCCTGTCCAAAATCCTGTCAAGCCTGTCAAGCCTGTCCAAAATCCTGTCAAGCCTGTCAAGCCTGTCCAAAATCCTGTCAAGCCTGTCAAGCCTGTCAAGCCTGTCCAAAACCCTGTCAAGCCTGTCCAAAATCCTGTCAAGCCTGTCCAAAATCCTGTCAAGCCTGTCCAAAATCCTGTCAAGCCTGTCAAGCCTGTCCAAAATCCTGTTAAGCCTGTCCAAAATCCTGTCAAGCCTGTCCAAAATCCTGTCAAGCCTGTCCAAAATCCTGTCAAGCCTGTCCAAAATCCTGTCAAGCCTGTCAAGCCTGTCCAAAATCCTGTCAAGCCTGTCAAGCCTGTCCAAAATCCTGTCAAGCCTGTCAAGCCTGTCCAAAATCCTGTCAAGCCTGTCCAAAATCCTGTCAAGCCTGTCCAAAATCCTGTCAAGCCTGTCAAGCCTGTCCAAAATCCTGTCAAGCCTGTCCAAAATCCTGTCAAGCCTGTCCAAAATCCTGTCAAGCCTGTCAAGCCTGTCCAAAATCCTGTCAAGCCTGTCCAAAATCCTGTCAAGCCTGTCCAAAATCCTGTCAAGCCTGTCAAGCCTGTCCAAAATCCTGTCAAGCCTGTCAAGCCTGTCCAAAATCCTGTCAAGCCTGTCAAGCCTGTCCAAAATCCTGTCAAGCCTGTCCAAAATCCTGTCAAGCCTGTCCAAAATCCTGTCAAGCCTGTCAAGCCTGTCCAAAATCCTGTCAAGCCTGTCCAAAATCCTGTCGAGCCATTCTTTAACTTACGATAGAGAACGATGTATTAAAGCTTAAAAGAAGAAAAAGAAAAACTATTAGCGGACTTGAGCCAGGGTCTTCCTACCTCCCGTCCAAACTAACTACCACTTGGCCACCGCCGCAAGTAGCGATTCGGCGTAAGACAGGGTTGTAAGGTTGCTGTTTGATTTTTCCCTACAACTTTAAGCACATATAACTTTTGATAGAGAGCTCCGTAACAAAAACGGAAATCAGATTCGGAATCAGCGTTGAACTCTGCGTTGAATGATGTATAGCTGATGAACCATTGACCAGCAAATCTTGTTAATACCTCTCATCTTATTCTTTCTGTACTTTGTGTTCTCAAAAGTGTAAATGAATCTCTTCTGGCACAGTCATTTCCTCAAAAATCATTCGATTTTATTCAAAAAATGAAGAATTGTAAAGTATTCAGTTGCTAGACTGAAAACTGGATCTGGTTTAGTTACTCAATCAGCAGAATTAGCTGCTTCGAATCTATTTGGGTTCACTTTGTGCTCGGGAGAATGTAAAATGAAAATTGTTCATTTTAGTACACCAGAAATGAAAATTGTTTATTTTAGTACACCAGAAATTCTCTATTTAGGCAAAACGTAGCTTTCAACAGACATTCCAGCCACAAAAACAGACTTACGACAAAAAGTTTGGCTTGGTCTTTTGGTTTGACCCATTCTCGCTTTGCTTGTCGATTTCCTTGTACTTCGTTTGTACTTAATTTGAAATTTGAAAAATTAGAAAATTCCTAGTACTTAATGCCTGAAAAGTGAGATTTTTTTTTGACTAATCATGCTTTTTTTCTATCTTAAACTACCCAAAGCTCAAAGAAACTCGAATTCAGAAACGTTTTGCGTTATTGGTGAATTAGGTAATCAAAAGTTAAAGCAAAGCTTCAGCTCGTCAGCTTTTCGAATCTTTCCTGTTATCAGAGGGGATCAACAACTCACCGTACTCCTAGGGTTTTAGCTCTACTTGACCCCAGTTATTGCCTAGAAACTTTATCTAGGCCTTTTCTGGAACACACAGCAGACTATGTGCTAATAAAAATCGCACCTTGTCGTAATCTAGTAAATGATGCTCCTGCTACAGTAACCCAGTTCTCTGTATGTCGATTTTTGACACAGCAAGGTATAGAGTGGTTAGTATGACATCCAGCATAGCCATCAAGAAGATGAATTTCCTGAAGTAGAGCCCATAGTAGGACACTTAACACAGCAATTGATTCGCTAGTGCTCTAGCTAATCCAGAGAATAAAGAGAGAAGTACAAAGTTGTTCGCTGCAACTAAGCTAACAATAAGTCAAGTTAAAGCTAAAGCCAATGTCTTTTAATGGCCTGGAATTTCAATCTTACCTTGGCTTGTCCTGAAATTTAAGCGGTGATTAACCGGGAATTAGTTTGACTTTGGCTTTGTCTGGAAATTTTGGTTTGTCAACGATTGTCAACAATTCAACAACAACAACACCAACAACAAAACAACAAGTTTGTCAACTTCAGATCAATTAGAGTAATTCTATCTTTCTATGAGTCACTTGTTCGGAAAGAAATTTAAGATTGGTCAGAAAGAAAGAGAAAAGAAAGCACAGATCATTAGCCAGAAAGAAAGAGGAAAGAAAGCACAGATCATTAGCCAGAAAGAAAGAGAAAAGAAAGCACAGATCATTAGCCAGAAAGAAAGAGAAAAGAAAGCACAGATCACTATTTTCCCATTTCAATCAATCAAATCTGTTTATCATTGCCAGAGAGTGAGCAATTCAATTCAAAAGATGATAAACAAATTCTTGAATTCTTGAATTCTTGAAAAAATCTTGACTTTCAAGTAGATGAGTCATTTCGGGAAAAATTGAGGGTTTTTGTTTGATCAAAGACTCAATGTGAAGCCTCAAGAAGTATAAAATGAAAGTAAAAAATGAAAGTGCGTAACTAAACCGAAAGAAAAGAAGAAAATCTCAGAAATGATCTCAGAAATGCTTTGCTCGTTTCTATTTTTGTCTTTTGCTTTCACAGCACCATCACCTGGCAATGGAGCTGGGGTAAATGTAAGTTTTTGAGGCTCGTTTTTACAGTGGATGAATTTGAGCAAGAATTTGAGCAATTTTTATGAAAATCCAAGTTATTATAATGTTTTGGATAGGTTTAATTTTAATTTTTTCATTAACTTTTTGATCTTTCAATTCCAGGACCTTGGAAATGGAGCTAGGCCTCAGCACGACTATCCTGTGCCAATAAATGTGAGTTGTTAAAAGGTTTAGGATTTTAAAACCTTTAAACTTTTCAATAAAAAGGTTTCTTTTAAGCTTTGTCATACAATTTTCATGAAAATTTAATTTTCAAAGATGAAGCCTGAGATTTTAGAATGATCAAAACTCTGAAATTGGTCACGGAGCTTCTCCTTTGTCAAAAGTGAGTTGTTTGTTGAAAATTAGAGTCAAAATCGATAGCTATTAGTCTCTAAAATTGCTCAGTTATTAGTCTTGGCTAAGAAATAGAGTAAGACATAAAGTAAGACATAAAGCTCTACCATAAAGCAATGGATACATGTCGGTGTAGCTCATTAGCACAACGCTCATTAGCACAACGCTCATTAGCACAACTCTCATTAGCACAACGAGAGGTAAGCGGTAAATCCCGGGTTCGAATCCCGGACCAACCCAAGACCAACCCAAGACCAACCCAAGCCTTAACCGGTTCGACTATAGCTTAATATGAGACATTATCTTTATCTGTATCTATAGCTAGATTAAAAAGGATTACTCTAATTATTCTATAGAAGATTTTGAAAGCAATCTGTTTACTAATAGAGCTCAAGCTCTGTTCACTAATAAAGCTCAAGCTCTGTTCACTAGAGCTCAAGCTCTGTTTACTAATAGAGCTCAAGATCTGTTCACTAGAGCTCAAGCTCTGTTCACTAATAGAGCTCAAGCTCTGTTCACTAGAGCTCAAGCTCTGTTCACTAGAGCTCAAGCTCTGTTCACTAGAGCTCAAGCTCTGTTCACTAGAGCCAAGCTCTGTTCACTAGAGCTCAAGCTCTGTTCACTAGAGCTCAAGCTCTGTTCACTAGAGCTCAAGCTCTGTTTACTAATAGAGCTCAAGATCTGTTCACTAGAGCTCAAGCTCTGTTCACTAATAGAGCTCAAGCTCTGTTCACTAGAGCTCAAGCTCTGTTCACTAGAGCTCAAGCTCTGTTCACTAGAGCTCAAGCTCTGTTCACTAGAGCTCAAGCTCTGTTCACTAGAGCTCAAGCTCTGTTCACTAGAGCTCAAGCTCTGTTCACTAGAGCTCAAGCTCTGTTTACTAATAGAGCTCAAGATCTGTTCACTAGAGCTCAAGCTCTGTTCACTAATAGAGCTCAAGCTCTGTTCACTAGAGCTCAAGCTCTGTTCACTAGAGCTCAAGCTCTGTTCACTAGAGCTCAAGCTCTGTTCACTAGAGCTCAAGCTCTGTTCACTAATAGAGCTCAAGATCTGTTCAAATTTAACTTTTCAGCCTCCACAACCGATTGGTGGAACAATTTCGAAAGGAAACACGAGAGTTAAAAGAAAAGTTTATTGGGTAATCCATCATTTTCAGCAAAACTATTGAAAATTTCAGAATAACAATGAATATTTCCGAAATCAACATGACTATTCTGGGACAAATCCATACGTAAATTGTTAAAACGAAGCTGGAAATTTCAAAAAATTTAAGGCTTACCGATCCAGTGACAATTCCCAAAGTCGAACCAGCTACTACAACAGAAATTCGTATGGATACCCGTTTTATGATGATCCAAATGGGTAAATGAAAAGGATTTGGAGATTTTTCTTTTTTAATTTTAGATCTTTTCACATTGGTCAGGGAGCTTTGCCATACGATGACCCGAATAATGGAGGAAACGGACAACAAAATTATTACAATCCCTATGAGAATCAAGGAAATACATTGCAGAGAATTGACTTTCATGGATGGGGAAAATAAAGTTTTATTTTCTGATTATTTATCAAATGCACAAGTAAAAAGATATCGTTCTTACTATTTTAAGCCAAGTACAAACTGGTTTTGGACTAAAAACAATTAGCCAGTCAGAAGCCTAACCAACTGGGGCTAGCTGGTCAGGGATTTGCCAGGGATTTGCCAGGGATTGCTTACTCCTGTAAGCCAGATCTCAGGCCGGGCTTCTGACCTGATCTGGTTTTCCTAGAAGCCAAGATCTAGCTTTTGCCCTTGATTGGTTGGTGGCCTAATGGTTAACGCATTAGGCTACCGCCAACCTCATCGTCGAATTCAAACGGCTTCTTGAAGGTAAAATAGGCGTGAAGCTTATAGCTTATAAAAAGCTTAAAGTTTTAGAGTCATTACCGTTAACTTTTTTTGGTTTTTTGACAATTTTGAGGGTTTTGAACTTACGCTCTATTTAATTTTCTGTAAATGCATTTCCGTTAGACTTTTTTAATGAATTGATATCTAGCTATCCTTTAGTTTTGTTTAAATCTTCAATTTTGGGAAGCTAACTCTATTTTGACCACACTAAACTTGCCCGTAAAGTGACTCGATTCATTTTTTTTGCCCTTTTTTTGGTCACTCGCATTTCGCCCACGAAATTTCTTCAATGCTTCAATCAATTGATCAGTTTTTAATGAATTAATATATAGTTATCCTTTCTTTTTGTTTAAATCTTCAATTTAGGGAAGCTAACACTATTTTGAGCACACTAAACTTGTCGCTAAAGTGACTCGATTCCTTTTTTTGGTCACTCACATTTCGCTCTCGAAATTTCTTCAATGCTTCGATCAATTAATCAATTTTTAATGAATTGATATCTAGTTATCCTTTAGTTTTGTTTAAATCTTCAATTTTGGGAAGCTAACTCTATTTTGACCACACTAAACTTGCCCGTAAAGTGACTCGATTCATTTTTTTTGCCCTTTTTTTGGTCACTCGCATTTCGCCCACGAAATTTCTTCAATGCTTCAATCAATTGATCAGTTTTTAATGAATTAATATATAGTTATCCTTTCTTTTTGTTTAAATCTTCAATTTAGGGAAGCTAACTCTATTTTAAACACACTAAACTTGTCCCTAAAGTGACTCGATTCCTTTTTTTGGTCACTCGCATTTCGCCCACGAAATTTCTTCAATGCTTCAATCAATTGAGACCCGTTTTAGCCTATTTTGTAGAGGAGATTTACAACTTTCAAATAGTTTATAACATTCATCGATTCTAGTTTATAAAATCACGTTTCTATCGTTGGAAATTTATAAAAATGTTGAAATCCGCATTTCTTATGGATTTACCTAATAGAATATAGATATCTTAGAATCTAGATAACTAGAATATAGATATCTATAATCTAAATATTTAGAAATATAGATATCTTAGAATCTATCGTTGGAAATTTATGAAAATGTTGAAATCCGCATTTCTTATGCATTTACCTAATAGTAGTCCAAATTGTTGACGAGTTTTTTAATAAAGCACTCAAGTTTAGCCTAAACAACTAATAGCCTAAACAACTAATCTTTTGAAATTTCAAAATCCACAACGAATCTCAAGTGAGGCACTTCTAGGAATGATAGGTAGAGTCGTCGCATTGCTCTTCCCCTTTGCCTTTCCCCTTTCGAAATCCATTTGTGACTTCTCACCTCTTCTCCCTCCCAATTCCCCTTATTTTCCCTATTTGGGACCTCAGATTGGACTCTTCTTTCTCCTCTTTTCCCTTTTTTTCTTTTCCAATCTTTTGTGATCTCATCACTCCTCCTAATTCCTCTTGCTGAACGAAGAAGAGAAGAATCATCGCTCCATATATGTTTCTCTCAGAAGACTTTTCCTTTTTATTTTTCTTCAACAACTCACCCAATCCATCACTTCATTGATCTTTCAAGGTTTTCCCGGAAATCTAAAGACTAAAGTGTTTTGAGTTTTACGTGAAAAGTCTTTTTAGTCTTTTTAAACCCGGAAAATCTGTTCTACGAACTTGATTTTAAGGTTTTTTTTGATTTTTTGATTGATTCTTGATTTTTTCAAACCTTTTCCTAAAACATGCTCTTTCTATTGTAAATTTGATTATATTCTTATCAAATCTACTGTCATTATTCTAATAAAAGCATCACCCGTACAGTTTCCCGAGGTTTTCCGAAGTAATTTTTTAGTCAGCCCCTAGATTTTTCTCTATGTTTTTTATATCAAAAAATACTAAATTAAAATGGAAAGAAATTTGAGAAGATACTTTAGATAAGCACAAATAGATAGATAAGCAACAAATAAAGTAGATAAATAATAATACTTTATTCAAACGATAAAGTGAAAGAAATCATAGAGAAATGCACAGTGATACTTAATCATACAATACATACTGAAATCAATAAGCCAATTACTTACGGCAAAGAGCCACTAGATCTAAAGCATCGATACGTTTCTTGAATATGAAAAGCGACTGAATTTCTCGTATGTCGTTTGGGAGCAAGTTCCATAATCTAGCGGCTCTAACGGGAAATGAATTTGATAAAGAGGCATTGGAAGCAAAGGGAATTTGCAAAAGGAATGAGCCACTTCTGGGCCCTGACCGCGGTTTAAATTTGTCTATAAACAAAGGGCTAATCTGTTTACTACGGAGGATTTTGAAAGTTTCGACTAAATCAATGACAAAGCGACGATGCTGTAAAGTTTTTAGTTCAAAAAAAGCAAGTCTCTCCTCACAAGTAAAGCTAGAATATTTAGAATAGTCAATTTTCCATAAAGCGACTTTTGTGAACCTCCTCTGAATTTTCTCCAAGCGTTCAATAAAGACTTGTGACCAAACAATAGAAGCATATTCTAAGATGGGCCGGATATAAGTCGTCAAGCATTTGCGGTAAGAGTTTAGGTTAGGATGAACAATTGATTTGAGAATACGGCTAGAAACAAAAGAAGCTTTTCGACAAATGATTTCAATATGTTTAGTGAAATTAAAAGGGGGAGAGATGTGGACACCTAAATCTCTAACAAAATCTAATTTACTAATGTAATTGATAGGAATATTGTTAATTACCAAAGAGAAACTAAATTTACCAGTGGAAAAATGTTGAGATTTTGAAGGGGATAGGGAAAGCTTCCACGTTTTGGCCCACAAATTAATAAGTTCTAAGTCATGGTTTGCATCTTTTACAGCCGCAAGCGAAGCTACTTGAGTTCCGATGGGAATTTTGAACGTAAGCTTAACATCATCGGCATAGAGCCAGATGGAGGAATTTTTTGATTTGAAAGGACAGTTAGGCAGGTCATTAATATAGATAGTAAACAAAAGAGGGCCAAGAATACTACCCTGAGGAACCCCGCTAGGACAATCAAAAGAGGGAGAAAGAACATTATTTAGAATTACTTTGAAAGTCCGCTGAGAAAGAAAATTTTTGACGACCGAAATTACAAGTGGGCTGAGATAAAAACAATATTAAAGAATTTCCCGAAAGCTCCGGCACAACTTTTTCTAAAAACAGCTTGCAAATGTCTAAATTATTTCAAAAGTAGTAAGTGTTGGTACTTTTCCGTTAGACCTTCGCCAATCCAAAATTTTAAAAAACGGCACTATGCATTTAGCGTCCCGCATGCATCAATGCGTGTATTTGTGAATTTAGTCTGATGTCAGTTCGGCAGAGATTTTTGACGTTAAAGACCTCTGCCCATTGACATCAGACTAGGCTAAATTCACAAAAGTCTGGGTAAATTTAGCCTGATGTCACTTGGGCAGTGGACTTTAACGTCAGTAACTTTTGAATCATCGATCCGGATAATAAATTCCAAAAGCTGGTCAACGAACGTCTTGGTACTCCGTTTAGCCACTTCAGCAAGGAAAAATTTGTTTTGGTGGCGGGGTATAACCGAAAAGTACTTAAATATTATAAAGGGATTTGAAGCCCGGAATCTTCTCTACATTTACATCCCAAAAGCTTTCGTTTTGGAGGCACACAACTCATGTGGCAAGCTTTTGAGTGAGTACTACTCAGTCGCTTTCCTACACGCCGGCATTTTTCATGATTTTCTTTATAAAAAATTGTTTAAAAGAGCTTTTTTGTTATTTATTTTATTAAAAGATAACATTTATTATCATTTAATAAAAATAAGAATAAGAATAACTGTTTTCTCAAACATTCCTAACCAAAATTCAATTTAATTTAAAGTTCATTTTGAAGCTCAAGGAAAAAAGCAAAAATTGAGCGTTTTTTGATGTTCAATTTGCATTAAATTCATTGAATTTAAATTTTTTGGAATAAAAATAATTCAAAGTTCTTTTGGGAAAGCCTTTCTAAAATTTTTTATGAAAAAAATCATGAAAAATGGCAGCGTGTAGGAAAGAGACTGAGTAGTACTCACTCAAAAGCTTGCCACATGAGTTGTGTGCATCCAAATCGAAAGCTTTTGGTATGTAAATGTAGAGAAGATTCCGGGCTTCAAATCCCTATATAACACTTAGCACTTTTGAAATAAGTTAGACACTTTTGCTAGCTGTTTTTAGAAAAACTTGTGCTTGGGCTTTTTTCTGATACTCTGTTTATGTTTAAACTGGTTATTTGTTAAGGTTAAGGAGGTGGAATTGGATAGTACCCGTTTTTTTATCCTTTAATATTCTTTGTAAATCATAATCAGACAAAAAGTGGATAGATTGAATGAAAAATAGAGACAAGATTACGGTAGAAAAAGGAAAGAGACACGTTTTAGAAAAGGGATTACTTGAGTCATTTTGTGACACTTGAATTCTTTTTACTATGATCTACAATAGTTTCTACGGGAATGGGACAAATGCGACCTTTTTTTGCGCACCCGGACCTTTGCGCACCTTTTTTTCCGCACCTTTTTTCCGCAAAAGCTCTAAAAAGCTAATATTAACCAATTTCTATTCGAAAAGTTGTTTTTCTAGGTAATTTGAGGGCGTAGAATCGAAATTTTGACATATCAGAGCTTGTGGAAACAAACGGACGGAGTTATACAAAGAGAAAACACAATTTTCTTTCTGTACAATTTTCTGTAATTTGATCTAGCCGCTTTGTCTTTCAAATTGGCTCCACAAGCTCTGATATGTCAATTTGATAGATCCCATCCACCGAGCGGGCCGACCACGAAGGCGTCGAGGATGACCGAGTAGCCGAGAGTTGTTCTTTTGTTTCCACAAGCTTTTGTTATGTCTGATATGTCAAAATTTGAATTCTACGCCCTAAAATTACCTAGAAAAACAACTTTTGGAATAGAAATTGGTTAATATTAGCTTTTTAGAGCTTTTTTAAAACGCGAAAAAAGGTGCGCTAATGGGCAAGGTGCGGAAAAAAAGGTGCGCAAATGTCCGGGTGCGCAAAAAAAGGTCGCATTTTTCCCACTCCCAGTTTCTACTTGTAAACAAACCTTTCCTCTTACAATTTTATTTGTCAATGATGCAATTTTGCAGAATTTTATCTCTTTGTTTGTTTCATTTGTTTTTTTTGTATTAACTTTTATATGTCGTAGCCGATTGCGAATGAAATTTTTTAGCAAACCTTTCTAGTAAAGCAATTCTTTATTCAATGTATGAGCAAAATCTTATAGAATTTCGTAGCGAATTCAATTCTGCGTCGATTCGTATCAAATTTCTGTTTATGTTAAAAATTGCGGGCTTTATACAAAATCGATGGGACTGAATAGCCGATTATGAATTTCAGCCAATCATGAATATTGGTCTAGGCGCGTCCAATCATCAAGTATTTGGTATCATTCAACGCAGAATCATTAATAATTATGTTAAATTTTTTAAATTAGAAAGATTGAATAAAAAGAAAAATAATTACGGGGCTTCAAAGTTTTCTCTTGAAACAAACAGTTTTTTTTGCTTTAATTTGTTTTCTTTTTATCAAATCTTTCTAATTTAAAAAAATTGAACATAATTATCAATGATTCTGCGTTGAATGATACTAAATACTTGATGATTGGACGCGCCTAGACCCACTCATTCATAATCGGCTCCTGGGGTTGCGCGGATTTTGAATGAAACGATCTAGCGCCGCAATTTTGAACCTAAACTCACAAATTTGATACCAATCGACGTAGAATTGAATTCTCTACAAAATGATATAATATTGTCCTTATAAAGATTGAATAAAAGAGAAAATTACGGGATTTCAAAATCTTCTCTCAAACAAACAGTTTTTTGCTTTAATTTTTTTTCTTTTTATCAAATCTTTCTCATTTTAAAAATTTAATATAATTATTAATGATTCTGCGTTGAATGAGATCAAATACTTGATGATTGGACGTGCCTAGATCCAAAATTTATAATTGGCTGAAATTCATAATTGGCTACGACATAGTCGAACTATAATTTCTATATAACGATTCTAAAAAGTGCCTCACATTTTCTGGGTAACTGCCCTGTGCGGACAACAATTGCAACTAATTGAACAGCTACACAGAAATTAAGGGCACGTTTTAGGATTTCAAAATCGTTATATAGAATGTCGTTATAGTTCGACTGTATATGTCGTAGCCGATTATGAATTTTGGTCTAGGCACGTCCAATCATCAAGTATTTAGTATCATTCAACGAAGAATCATTAATAATTATGTTAAATTTTTTAAATTAGAAAGTTTCGATAAAAAGAAAACAAATTAAAGCAAAAAAACTGTTTGTTTGTTTGAGAGAAAACTTCCAAGTTCCATAATTATTTTTCTTTTTATTCAATCTTTTTAATTTAAAAAATTGAACATAATTATCAATGATTCTGCGTTGAATGATACCAAATACTTGATGATTGGACGCGTCTAGACTAGTATTCATGATTGGCTGACATTCATAATTGGCTGAAATCCATAATTGGTTGAAAATCATAATTCGCTGAAATTCATAATTCGCTGAAGCCCATAATCGGTTACGACATATATTTAATTTAACCAAAATTAAGCAAACCTTCAACAATGAGATCGTGAAGAGAAAGATTCAACCAAATGGGTTGTCAAGTTTGTCGACCGGCTGTCGATTCATGCTCGTTAGAGATCGAGAAACAACTCAAAACGGATAGATTTCTTCAAGAGAAAACGATCAAAATTCTTTTATTGGGTTGGAAAAAGCTTTTAATTCTATAGATTTATATCTAGACGTAATCTAGACGTAATCTAGACAGACGTAATCTAGACAGACGTAATCTAGACGGAATACTCAAATCTTGACTGAATACCCGAATCTAGACTAAATACCGTGATCTAGCTTTTCGAGGCTGAATATCCTATTCTAGATTGAATACCGTAATCCAGGCAGTCTAGATTACGTGAAAAACTAATAGAAAACCCTTTTTTCAACCTTTTTCTCTAGCCAAAGCAAATTTGCAACATTTCACAAATTTTCACAAAAAGCTTTAGCAATCAACCAAACAATTATTTTAAATTGAATTTTTCGAATTTTTAAACAAACAATGAACACTATCCGATAAACAATTACTAACAAACGTAACAGATTTAATCATAAAATCATAGAATTAAATATAGATTTAATCAAAACATCGCTGTCTACAAATCCCTTATTCTCGTCCTCATGTAGATCGATTTTTTCAAGCAAATTCGTACAAGAATCTTCAATGCGTGCATCAGAAAGTTTGATCAGATCAAATTTGGATTATCAGAGAGCACCAGAGTTTGATCAGATCAAAGTTTGCTCATAAGAGAGCATCAGAGTTTGATCAGATCAGAGTTTGCTCCCCAGAGAGCATCAGAGTTTGATGCGTGCATTAGAAAGTCAAGCTAAACACCGGTTTCATCGCAAGCATCAATCATTTCCTAGACCTCTTTGCGACGAATCTTTGCAAGACGAAGCACAAATTTGATAATCGTTTCCCAAACTTTTGGAGATTTCCGAGGAATCGAAGTAATCTCTCACCATTGATGACGAAGATTTACCCCCAAAAAATTGATGAAGATCTACGTTTTACTGGTCGCAAAATTATACGATTAAAGTTGTAAATAGCATTGTTAAATAAAACTTAAAACTTTTCTAATCAAAATCCGTATTTCTTATGCATATACTTAATAGGGTTTCTTATGCACTAGGGTGGGCGCACTAGGGTGGGCGCACTAGGGTGGGCGCACTAGGGTGGGCGCACTAGGGTGGGCGCACTAGGGTGGGCGCACTAGGGTGGGCGCACTAGGGTGGGCGCACTAGGGTGGGCGCACTAGGGTGGGCGCACTAGGGTGGGCGCACTAGGGTGGGCGCACTAGGGTGGGCGCACTAGGGTGGGCGCACTAGGGTGGGCGCACTAGAGTGGGCGCACTAGAGTGGGCGCACTAGGGTGGGCGCACTAGGGTGGGCGCACTAGGGTGGGCGCACTAGGGTGGGCGCACTAGGGTGGGCGCGCCCGGCTTATATAAACCTCGTCTACAGTAATCAAAAGTTAGAAAGCCTTTCAGCTGCATAAACAACAAAAACTAGAAAAAGGGATCTTCTATTAGAGTTTTTACGGTAAATTCGAATTTCTTTCAATAATCGATTTCTAGGCACGGCTGACTCTGGAAAGAGCACGATTGTTAAACAGATGAGGTTGTTATCTATATAAATTTTCTTGATTCTAAAATTTAGACATATTTACATATCGAAAACGGATCCCGACGAGTTGAGATTGGCCACGAATCAAGTCTTTCAAAATGTGCGAGTGATTTTTCACGAGGTCGCCAAAGCAATTTTGGATCTTTATCGGCCTAGTCCGGAAGCACAGGTGAGATTCTAGAGCTTCCATTCTGTTCCTCAAAAGTTCTCAAGTTTACATCAATCACGATCTTTATTCTAGTAACGGAAAAACCGGATTAACAACGGATTTTTGGCTTTTCTGGCTGGATTCGCATAGTCGCCATGGCGTTAAAATTCTAGAACTTACCTATTTTCATAACAAAAACAAAACATATTTAACAAGAAAGATATTGATTTATCGATTCAACCCGTCTAACAGCTTAACAGAGGGTTTTTCTCGATCAATCTCTTCGTCAACGTGGTGCAGTCGAGAGCGCGCTAGTCTACGGCTCACATGGCTCGGGTTTGACCCCCCGTAGTGCTCTCAACTATGACTTTTTATATTCAATGATACAACTACAATATATTCTAAGGTTTTCTAAAGAAGTTTTAGCTTTATTGATCGAAAAATGACCAAGAAAATGAACTGTACAAACAGACAGACAGACATATCTTTTATATATAGTAGATTTCTGAATTTTTAACAATTAACAGCTTGAATACTAATGAAAACCTTTCAATTTTTAGAAAATTCGTTTTTTTAGGAAGTTCTGAGTCGTTTCTCAACAACCGACCTCCTTGAAATGGACGTTGATTGGACGATTGAAAGGGAATCGATCGAGGAATTCTCCCAACTCGGCGATGTTCAAGATTTCATGGAAAAGCATAAATTCTACAGAACACTACCGGACAATGCCACTTAGTATGAAAAATGATTTGAATTGAACCAAAGGAAAGCTTAGCTTTTGGGAGCGAATCCCCGCGATACTTGAGTCAAATTTTGTCGCCAGTGAACAGGACACTGTACATTTGAGGACACCAACATACGGGATTCACGAGATTAAATTCAAATTCAAGCTAGGAAATATCAGGTAAACGGTAATGTTACAAAAGCTCTTGACAATCAGATTGAAATCAGAGTTACGGATTACAATTCTGAGCAGGGGTACTGTAATGGTTGGACTCTTAGTCTAGAGAAGAGCTCACTTCAGCTTTTAGAGCTCAATTCAGCTTTTAAAGCTCACTTCAGCTTTTAGTAAGAAAAGATTGTGATAAAGAGGATTTTAACCAGATCCTAGAGCTCTAGGCAAGAGCTGGACCCAGGCCAGACCCGTGTTGGGCCGGCCAGAGCTTTTTCCAGGGTCCATCTTCTGGCTTGACCCTAATTTGAACCCTTGACCTCTCAACTAGGATATAGCTCCTACAGTACCCCAGCTTGCCACTCTTACAGTACCCCAGCTATTTCTAGACGCCCATTGAGCAGTTATAGGACCGACTAAGTTGATCAAAATGCCGCATAAATTAACTGCTCATACTCACGCAAACGTGAGATATTTGTCATAGAAGTTTTCAACATTTAAAGTTTCAATTTCAACATTAAAGTTTCAACAGCTTTCACCGCCTAAAAGGCTTTTCTCGTGCGACTTCAATATAAGCTGGTAACAGAAAAAATATTCTTAAGGACAGATTTTACTGCTAGAGCTAGAGGAAAATAAAAAAAAAAACTTTGTTTGTACGCAAAGAATTTCAAAATCTATAACAAAATCTATAAATCTATAATCAAATTTTATTTTCGATTCTTTTCTTTGTAAATTTTCTTAATCTATTTAAGGGGAAATGAAAAGAAACAAAAGTTTTTTGTATTAGTTTTATTAAAATCAAAAAAAGCTAAAGAATTTGGGAGGCGAGGAGTCGATCCCGAGTCGTAAAGGGACTCGTTTTGAATACAAGCTTCTTATCCACTTGCTTATCCACTTGCTTATCCACAGCAAGCTTATCCACAGCAAGCTTATCCACAGCAAGCTTATCCACAGCCTTATCCACTTGGCCACGAGCTCACATTGAAGTTGTACGAAAAAGCCTTTTAAGTGCGATGTTGTAAATTTCTATGTTAAATATTTTAAATATCGGTTGACCGCTAATTTTTGCAGCATTTTGATCACCTTAATCGATGAATCGGTTCTATAACTTTTCCTTGAGGATCTGGGGATTGGCGGTGATGAGCTGAGGCACTTCACTTATTATCCAGTCGGCCATGGCGATCAAAAAGTTTGAACGAAACATCTGGAGACTATATTTTACAGCACTTTATCAAAAATGGCTTTAAATTTTGTTCAAATATGTTTACCAACTTTTAGATTAATCGATGTCGGCGGCCAACGAGCGGAGCGCCGAAAATGGATTCATTGCTTCGAAGGGGTAACAGCGGTGATGTTTGTCGCAAGTATGGCAAGCTATGATCAAGAATTGGAGGAATGTGCAACAACGGTTAGATTTATTTATGGAAAATCTTCAGCATAAGCTTCAGCATTAGTTTTAAAGTCAAATAAATGAAAATAAAGCTCTAGAATCAATCTCGATTCTCGAGAATCAATCAATCAGCTCTAGATTCAATCAATCAGCTCTAGAATCAATCAATCAATCCATGAAAGCGTTTCAGAATCGACTCGCCGAAGCGATTTCCCTCTTTTTCGAGGTTTTTCGCAACCGTTGGCTAGCCGCTTCAGGATTTTTGCTATTTTTGAATAAATTCGATCTCTTTGAGAGCAAAATCGCCTTTTCACCGATTTCTTCATTCTATCCGAACTATGATGGTGATTTTAAAGCCTTTGAAATGATTGGAATACCGTATTTTCTCTAATAGTAGTGCACCCAGAGCGTCGCCTAAATTCCTCGAAATCTCGAGAACCGCTTATCAGAACCTATCGATGTGGGGTCTGAAAATGTAGCTGACGATGAGATCTAGTGAGGGATTAGAGTGTTGAGCTTCTGTGAAAAACTTGGAAACCGTCAAATAGTCACCAACTCGGCTCGTCGGGGTGCACTACTATTGGGTCGTCCAGTTATGAATGCGCGTTTTTTACTATTTTGTAAATTTCTCAAGATACCGAAATCAAGAAAACGATATATATGAGTATTATTCGAAAGCTGAAGATCTCCTCTACATTTTGATATAAAAAGCTTTTGAATTTGTCCAGCTTTTGGGCAAATTAACTGCACAGAAGAAGAGGTGGCCAAAAAATGGAAGGGTGCCTTTGGATCAAGTTTTGGCTTCGCTCAAATTGAGTTAACCGTTTGATGTTTGGCCAATAGATATATCAATACAAGTTTTTTTTAAATATAACAATTTCAGAGCATCTTTACTTTTCTTTTCTTTTCTGGGCGGTTATTTTAAACCATAAAACTTGAGGAATAGCTAAGCTGGAATGGGTTTTTTTTCGAAAACGACCTCTCCCTTTGTGCAGTCAATTTCCCAAAAAGTTGAATGAATTCAAAAAGTTTTTTATTCGAAAACGTAGAGGAGATCTTTAGCTTTCGAATGATATATAACACTCATATAAATCTATTCGATATCTTGAGAAATTTACAAAATAGTAAAAACGCGCATTCATAACTGGACAACCCAAGATTAGAGAAAATAGGGTAATCGATTTTCAGGTGGTCGAAACATTCACAAAGCTGCCGATTTCATTCATGATTTGTTTACAATGGTGAATTTTAAAAGATACAATGGAAATTTCGAATTCTAAGCTAGAAAATCAGACGTAGAAAGCTGGCATTTGTTTAGTTTTAACTAAAAAGTAGAAAGTTTTTTCCAGAAAATCCCTCCCGATGACATGGAAAGACGCGGTTTTCACGCTCATTTCACCACCGCTGTCGACCCGGAGAATATCGATTTCGTTTTCAAAGGAGCTATGGATATCATTTTGAATAGTAATCTTTATGGAACTGGAATGATGTGATCAATTTATTGATAAAGTTTAGAATAAATGAATTGAAAAACAATGACAACTGGCTTTCTCTTGACTTTCTAATCTTTCTAATCCGTTTTCTAAAATCCCTCTTTCTATTTCTACCGTAATCTATCAATTTTATTAGGTTGATGCATAAGTCTTTTCGTTTTTTTCGTACTTCTGTTAAAAAGTAACAAATTCACCAATTAATCTATAGTTTGCTCTATAAAAAAAGTGTTTTTTTGTTCAATTTGCATCTTTTTAAATGAATTTCGGTTGACTTTCAAGCAAATTCGAGAGTGAAAAACGCCTTTTTCGTAAAAATCTATAAAAAACTCTACGGAAAAATTGGCTGAATGAATTTCTCTGAAATTTTGGCGGAAATATCAAACTTTTTTTTCTCTATCTTTTATCTATTGACACGAAGATAGGTTTTCTTTAGCTAAGGTGTCTAAACCGCATCTTTAGCTAAGGTGTCTAAACCGCATCATCGAGTCAGCCCTTTTTGACTACCCGACTTCATACTCTCAAGAAAATCCAGGCATTAAATATTTTTAAACCCGTTTTAATGTTATTTTGCAGAAAAATAATTGCTTTTTCTAATGAAATCAACCGTAGTTTAATTGGTGCATTTGTTGGCTTGAAACGGCAGACGAAAAAAATGAAAAAGACTTTTGCATCAACCTAATATTTCTACCGTAAACTATCAATTTTATATCTTTCGATATCCTTCTGAATCCATACAGCATCAAAAAATAGATAAATTTTATAAAAATAAAGACAAGAAATAAGTAGAAAGAGAAAGAAGACACGTTTTAGGAAAAGAAATCCTTCTGAATTACAATTTTCAATGATTATCATAATTTTTCTTTATAAATTCTTTATATAATCATAATTTTTCTTTATAAAATATCGATCTACGAGAAATAAATCCATAAAATACAAGAAAGGGGATAAGTTTTAAGAAAAGAATTTCAATTTGAAGTGATTCATCATAATTTTTCTTTATAAAATACCAATTTTCTAGATTCGGGTACGATTTTTATCTTAAAATCACGATTTTTAGGCTATTTTATCTTAAAATAACGATTTTAAGACTATTTTTGTCTTAAATTGACGATTTTAAGACTATTTTTGTCTTAAAAGAACCATTTTAAGACTATTTTCATTTGAAACAACCATTTTAAGACTATTTTTAACGTAAAAGAACCATTTTAAAACTATTTTTATTTTAAAATAACCATTTTAAGACTATTTTTATCTTAAAAGAACCATTTTCGTTTAACTCTCTTTTCTTTTTTTCCTGAAAGTACTCTGAAAGTGCTTTAAAAGTGCAAATGTTGTTGTTTTTTTTCGAATTTTTCCTTTCTCTCCCAGACGTATGTCCTTTTTACGTGTAAACAATCGAGAAATTCATGAAAATCTTTCAAAAAAGTCTTTCAAAAAACTCTTTCAAAGACATCAATTTAATTTTACGTTTAACAACGTTTACGTCACTTAAAAATGTTCTATTTTACGCTAAAGTATACATTTTATGGGCTTCTTTTCGCTTTTATCAGCCATTTTCTGTAAGTTTTCCAGTGGTTTCTTGAAATATTTCCATTTTTTTTGATGGGTAGCCGATTTGAATAAACGAGTTTACAATCATCGACCTGGGAAATGCCAAATTGTTGAAGGAATTCGTAGGTTTCAAAAAAAAAAAAATCATCTAGCTTTTGCTCAATTTTTGTTCGAAACAATGTATTCGATAAAATCCATAAAATACGAGGAAGGGGACAAGCTTTAGGGAAAGAATTTCAATTTGAAGTGATTCATCATCATTTTTCTTTATAAAATACCAATTTTCTAGATTCGGGTACGATTTTTATCTTAAAATAACGATTTTAAGTTTATTTTTATCTTAAAAGAACTATCCTAAGACTATTTCTGTCTTAAAATAACGATTTTAAGACTATTTTTGTCTTAAAAGAACCGTTGTAATACTATTTTTATCTTAAGAGAACCATTCTAAGACTATTTTTATCTTAAGAGAACCATTGTAATACTATTTTTATCTTAAAATAATCACTTGAATACAATTTTTGTCTTAAAAGCACCATTCTAAAACTATTCTTATCTTAAAATAACCATTTTAAGACTATTTTAAGACAATTTTTGTCTTAAAATAACGATTTTAATACAATTTTTAGCTTAAAAGAACCATTTTAAGACTATTTTATCTTAGAACAACCATTTTAATACTATTTTTAACATAGACTACAATCATCGACCGGGGAAATGCCAAATTGTTGAAGGAATTCCTAGATTTCAGAAAAATCATCTAGATTTTGTTCGATTTTTGTTCAAAACAATGTAAATCCAACAAATCCAGGCCCAGTAAAGAGGAAAAAGGAAAATCGAATAAAAAGATCGAACAAAAAAAGATTACAGTAAAAATTGATAGAATAGAATTTTAGTTCACGGCGCTGAGCACATCGAATATGTTGAATCGGGAAATTTTGCTCTCATTTCGTCGGGACTTCAATTGATGAGCGACATGCCGGGACGACCAGGACAGGCAAAATTGAATTAATCATTCACAAAAGATTTGCATAAGCTTTAAAATTCATTGATTTTAAATCAATTTCTAACTTTTTATATACCAAAAAAGTCAAGTTTTTAAAAGTTTTATTCAGATTTTTCTCTACGATTTGAAAGAAAAGTCGAAACGAGCGATTCCGTTGAAAATTCTTGATGAACCGGCAAGTTTTTGAGTTTAATTTTTAGCCATGATATTAGAAAACGTAAAAAAACGATAAACGATTGATGAAATCGATTTTAATCTTTTCATTTTTCAGTACGATTTTCATCCACATGGAATGTCGCATTTCGTTGAGAAAACAAAGATTTTTCTTTACGCAATCTCACATACGACAATGAAAAACGGATTTAGACATTCGGTTGAGGTGAAAAACCGTTCACTTTTCGTCAAATATCTGTTTATTTTAGTTATTTGAGCTTAATGAAAAGCAAAAAACCCTTAAACATTTGAAAACGATTCGACATGAGACAATTTTTCGGTAACACTTTATTTCGAATCGGGGTAGGCTAGTTTTTTAGCTATCTTCTATGATTTTGGTCGCATTTTGTAGATCGCAATAAGTGCAACAAAAAGAAACCAAAATCGTAAAGATTGGTCGATTTAGAAGAAAGTTATGTCGAGCCAAACGACCTAATCGTTTGTCAACTGGGTCGTTTGCGCAACTCGCCATAACTTTCTTCTAAATCGACCAATCTTTACGATTTTAGTTTCATTTTGTTGCACTTATTGAGATCTACAAAATGAAACCAAAATCATAAAGATTGGCCCACTTAGAAAAAAAGTTATGGCGAGTTGCGGAAACGATCCAGTTGCGCAAATGACCCAGTTGCGCACGTAAATTGCGGAAACTAGCCTACCCCGTCGAATCATTTTTTTTCATCAATCATTTTGTCTAAAAATGGAAAAACTTTAGACCAAATGCAATTTACGCTCTAGGAATGGATCGATTCTTTGTGACAAACGATGGACGGGCACAGGTAAGCAAATGTAGGTTCAAGAGGCATAGAGAGAGAGAGAAAGAATACATGGCTTGGTCTTTACTTTCAATAATTGCAGATTGCGATTACCGAAAGAGAAAGAAAAGGAGATTTATGCTAAATTTATGATAGCGGGCCGTTTTCGAAAAGAGATTGGCGAAAATCGGAGTAAAAATTGAGTTTTCGGCTTGAAATGGTGAAAAAATGAGCGAAAAATGCTCGGCTTTGAGCGAAAATCAGCTAGATTGGAGCCAGTTCAAAGCCTGATCTCAATCGCAATCAATATCCAATGATGCCGATGGTTGATTGGATTTGAATTTGAAATTTCTAGATGTTTTTCAAGGCAAAGATCTAGGAGTACTGGAGTGAAAATATTGGAAAACGTTTTTTCAAAACGTCAAGGGATTGGTGGCTCTTAAAAACTTCTATAGTTTACTTAAATAACTAAAAAATTATATTAGCTTATAATGATAATGATATAATGATTAACAATGAACATTTAGAAAGGTTTCCTCAATTTGATCGAATTGTTATTTTCCCTGCCCACTGGCGATGTTGTATTTTTCGATAAACAGGTATCAAATCTCAAAAATCTACGATTTCTATACGAATTCTTAATAACATTTCTACGTTTTTATTTTTAAAAAATAATTAATTTATTAAATTATAACGATTTGTTGCTAATGTAAAGATTTGGAAAAGCTCTGGATTTAAAAGGTTTTATCGTTGAAAGAAGTTAACGGAGCAGAACGCTCGATAAAGCGATTTGATCACTTCGATAAAGCGATTTGATCACTTCGATAAAGCGATTTGATCACTTTCTTTCACATAAACCTATTTTAATGTCAATAGAAAAAAGATAGAGCATCAAAAGTTAAAAAAATAACCGAATTCTCAGCTTGATTTATCTAATTGCTTTAGTTATTATGTTTGTTTAAAGAATTGTCAATAAAAGACATCTTTTGCCATCTAAATTTCCTTTAAAAGAACCCAAATTCAACTATAAACAACTTTTGTTTGTGGAAAAATTCGAATTCTAATTCTATTAATGATTTATAAGACAAAAATTAAATATAGGTTATCGAGAATTCGTACTCTATAGATCTAGAGTTGAGTAAAATTATCCGAACAAAAGTTCTTCAAATGTAACTTTGCAGCCAATCGATTCAAACGTTGAATTTTCTATAAATTTATTCATTCCTTAACCTAATGAGAAATTAGTGAAAAGAAAAACAGGATTTAAAACCTGTTTTTTTTATTGTATAGTAAATCAGCTTTAGAATTTTACGGTTTATTAGTACAGAACAAAAAGAAAAAGGCAACGATACCCATTACAAAAACAGCATGCGCATGAATAGATCAAATCAACAAACATCAAATTCTGTAAATCAAATCATCAAACAGGAAACATCAAATCCTAAAAGAAGAAAGGCAAAAATCGCAAACCAAAAGGGCGAGAAGCTGCCCTAAAAAGTTTTGTCTAAAAAACAAAAAAAAAACAATTTGGTGGAGAGAATGAGACGAAAAAGTGACGCGAATTAAATGCAAATAGGAAGGAAACGGACGATCAGAAAAGAATTACAATTTTGAGTGATCAATCAGAATTTTTCTTTCTTTCTTTTCTTCATAAATGAATACCGTATTCTCTAATAGTAGTGCACCTGGCCGAGCCGAGTTGGTGACGATTTTACGGTTTCCAAGCTTTTGCAGAAGCTCAATACTCTAATCCCTCACTAGATCTCATCGCCAGCTACATTTTCCGACCTCACATCGATAGGTTTTGATCAGCGGTTCTCGAGATTTCGAGCGATTAAGGAACAGTAGTTTTCGAGATTTCGAGCAGTCTTTTGTTCTTTGTTCGCAAATCTTTTGTTCATATCTAAATACCGTATTCTCTCTAATAGTAGTGCATCTGGCCGAGTTGGTGACTATTTTACGGTTTTAAAATTTTGCACAAAAGCTCAACACTCTAATCCCTCAATAGATCTCATCGTCAGCTACATTTTCCGACCCCACATCGATAGGTTTTGATAAGCGGTTCTCGAGATTTCGAGCAATTTAGGCGTCGCTCTGGGTGCACTACTATGAGAGAAAATACAGTATCTAGAGCTGAGTAAAATTACCCGAACAAAAGTTCTTCATTGTAACTTTACAACCAGTAGAATTTCCGTAGAATTTTCTATTAATTTATTCATAACCTATTGGAAAATTAGTGATTAGTAATTATCTTTCAAAATAAAAATTATTGGGTAAAATTGTTTCTAGCGCGGAGCTTCATTTTCCTCCTTTTTAGCGCTTTTTTTGTTTCTAAAAAACTCGAGAAAAAAACAAAATTAAGACTAAGCATGGTTTTTTTCAAGGAGAATTAGGAGTTTATAGAAAAAGAATTATAAGAGTTTTATGAAACGGTTGACGAATAAAATGTAAAAAAAGTCTTTTTCAGGTGATTTTGCTCAACTCTATATAAAAGGAGCAGTGTCTCCGTCCGTCTGTGCGAGTTCTCCAATTTACAAGATTTTTAGTTTGTTATACCTAGAACTCTATGTAGTTTTGCATCTCAAATTTCGTTTTTTTAAAAAGTAAAAGTCACGAGACAGTCGGGAGTCGAACCCGAGTCGTGTAAGCCATAGACAAACGTGCTCTCGACTGCGCCACGGCAACTGCGCGCCGTTAGGCGAGTTTTTCAGCTGGTTTTCCGAGGTTTATCAGCTATTAATTTCGTTGGTTGTTGGATAAAGAGAATTTTTAGGAAATCCACCCAATTGTTACTTACGAAATAACCCCGAATGGAATCTGGGTTGATGAAAAGGAAAGGATTCTCTATTACGCCTCACATCTAGGGAAATTTGTGAAAGCTTTGCGATTGAGTGATGTAAGTTTGTGGCTATAGCTTTTGTGGTGTAAAATTTGAGTGTAAAATTTCGTCTTTGAGATTGAGAGAGTTTTTCTAGGATTTCAAAAGCTCAACAGAACTCCTCGGAAAAGCGGATCTTCTCACCGCTCCAGATAATCTCTTCTTGGACGCGCAAGGTTGGGTTTTAATTCAAAATCTTGCCTAAAACACTTGAAAAGGGGTATTTTGAATGGAAACAAATTATCTGTTCGTTATTCTTCTTATTTAAGGCTATCTCTGGTCGGGTGCTCATCCGATTTTCCACAAAATTCTCGACAATAGTCGATGCTTTACTCGAGAACTTCCGCAAGATCAACTACCGCCATCACAAGTAAAAATTTAGAAGAATCTATAGATTTTTATAGATTTTTATAGGTTTTATAGGTTTATTTTTATAGATTTTTATAGATTTATAGATTTTTTTTACCTTTTTAGGTGTTGAGACTGAAATTCTCTGAAGACTTTACGTCATTTGAGGTAATTTTACATCAAAAACAATTTGATATCAAAAAAAATTCAGTTAACTGAACCCTATACAGATGATGGAAAGCAAATCTCGTGTTCAGCTTCAGCAATTCACGATGGAAAAGGAAATATGCTCATTGGTAGGAAAATTGAAGTTGATCCGCTGATTAAAAGGGGAGCTGGTCAAAATAGCGCCCGCTCAAACGCTCAAATACCCGGCTACCGTAACCCAGTTAGTAGTTAGGCTAGTTAAAAAGTTATTCGAAAGCATCAAGACTAGCTTCAACTATCATAACTTCAAGCAAAAGTGTAAGAGAAGATTGTAAAATCAATCCATGACCTGATCAATCCATCAAAAAAAGATACCGGATTACGGTAACAATGACACATTATAGAGTGGTCTTAGAATTGCCCAGTTACCATTAGAATGTTTAATTAAGGTAGCCAGGAAACACTTTAGGGTTAAACGAAACAAAAATATAGGCTCTGTTGGAACAAATCTTCTTCATTGTGCCTACACCGAAGAGACTGTGCAAAGTTGAAAAAAAAACTACTTAATTTTGGAATCACTTCAATGGAATCGTTTAAAAATATATTATTTACTAAATTTCTCGAACAGTCAACTTTTGTTATCAATTCAAATAGCCAAAAGAATTGCAATTAGCAGAGAATCCAATAGATTAACTTTTTTTCAGAGTTTTAAAGGGGTACATGGAAAAGAAAGACGGTTTTTGCAATGCAACACGTTTTTGTACCCTTTCTTCGCCAAAAACCTTCTTCTTTAACCAGAAAACTAATTCACTTCAGATTAGGTCTTATAAAGCTCTTTTCACATTTTTTCTAAAGATATCAAGGCGTTATTCATTGTTATCAGGGAATAAAGAAAATAATGCGAGCTTCGAATTTCCCGGTTTCTTTAAAGCTTTACCTCAATTTCCCGGTGCTTACAATATCAATTCGAATAGCCAAAGGAATTGCAATTAGCAGAGAATCAAATAGATTAACTTTTTTCAGAGTTTTAAAGGGGTAGAGACATGGAAAAGAAAAACGCAACACGTTTTTGTACCCTTTCTTCGCCAAAAACCTTCTTCTTTAACCAGAAAACTAATTCACTTCAGATTAGGTCTTATAAAGCTCTTTTTCACATTTTTTCTAAAGATATCAAGGCGTTATTATTGTTATCAGGGAATAAAGAAAATAATGCGAGCTTTGAATTTCCCGGTGTTAACAATTTGCCTGTTTGCTTACGTAATGTTTTGAAGTGAGAGTGAGAGTGAGAGTACTAGAGTACACCTAGTAACAAAGCTTTAAAGAAATTGGGGATCAAACCGCCTAGAGTTCGATTTCTGCACGATGACGCTGAACTCCACACTGCAAAAGCCACTCATAAAAAAAAATTGAGGAGCTAGGTTGAAAACTTTTGCCTGATGCAGATTACTCCCTTGACTTTGCACCGTCGGAATACTTTTATTTCGGACGTTGAAACACTTCTTGGGGAGATGTACAGTTTGATAATCATGCTCAAGTCATAAATAAGCTTCACGCCTATTTTACCTCCAAGAAACTGTTTGAATTCGACGATGAGGTTGGCGGTATCCATTAGGCCACCAACCTACCAAGGGCAAAAGCTAGATCTTGGGTTGCAGGAAAGCCAGATCAGGTCAGAAGCCCAATCTGAGATCTAGCTTGCAGAAGTAAGCAATTGAAGACATTGAAATAAAACTGAAAAACCCAAAAATAGCACAAATTTCCCCTTTCTTCCAAAAAGAATCTCCCCTTTTCTCTAATTTTTCACTTTTTTTCTCAATATTTTCCAATTTCTTTCCCATTTTTTATCTTAATTTCCCAAGGTTGAGGTTCGTTAGACGGTGAGATGGTTCGGTAGACTGTGAGATGGCTACCATCCGGTGAGATGGCTACCATCCGGAGATGGCTACCATCCGGTGAGATGGCTACCATCCGCTCCACCCGCTGCCACCGCCACGATGGAGACCGCCCGACTTTGTGTTCGACGCCGGAGTCGCCAAGCAGCTCGACTCCTCCTACTACGTCGTCATCAAAGGACTGCCTGAAGCGGTGTTGGGTCCCGCGATGAACTCGATGTGATTGAGAGAAATGCTGACCGCTGGCTCCTCGAAGGAATTCTGACGACTTTTGAGCTCGACGCGATTGTCCTCCACTCGTACCGTATGGGTATTTACAATCTCGTCCGCCCAAGGCCTTTCAAAGTCGTCCTCGCCTCGTCGCATGCCTTGTCAAACCTCGTCAAATCGTTTGCTGTCCATCCAAAGTCCTTGCTCCCGTGGTATGCTCGATTTTGCGTCATTCGTAGATCGGATCAGATACAAGCAGAAGTCGCATTCCGTCGTCGCCGCCGAGGGTGACTCGCCCGCCGTGAAACAGGAGATGGAACGAGATGATGGAGCTCCTGGACGTAATTGTAATTGGAACGTAATTGGACAAGGCGCTGAGATGACAACCAGACAAAGGACTCAGCCAGGTTCACCGAAGCCAAACCCGCAACGCAGGACTGCTACCATGCCATCCAATCAAGCCTCATCACGCCAGCAGCAAGTGGTCTCTCATGACGATATCCGAGGAGTCATCGTTGATCGTGTGTCGCAGTCTCAACCTACAACCGCCACTTCAAACACTTCATCACTCTTTTCAAAATTTGTTAAAGTCGTTTCGCATCATTGCCTCGCTCTTTCAACCAATTCCTTTCTTAGTCCCTAATTTTTTGTCTCGTTTCCTTTAAGAAATCTTTTATTGTAATGCTCATAGTATCGTTTCCAATTCTTCCAAACGTTTAGCCATTTTGTTAAATTTTCCCTTTCTTAGTAATAAATTTTTTGAAAACGATCAAATGGGCATTGAAAAACCAAAAAAATAGCACAAATTTCCCGTTTCTTTCAAAAAAAATGTCATTTCTCTAATTTTTCACTTGTTTTCTCAATATTTTCCAATTTCTTTTCTATTTTTTTGTCTTTTTCTGACCATACCTGATAGGAAATTTCTCTTCTTTCCGCCAAAAACACTCAATTTTTGGTGTTTGTATTGGTGATTTATTTATTTTTCTTTAAATTTTGATCAATGATCATTCTAGAATTGATAAATTGCTTCGATTTCTAACAGAAATGACTATTTAGAATCGGTTTTTACAAGTAGATTCGAACTTTTTTGTCTTTTTTTAAGTCTTTTAACTTTTCCAGGTAATTGTCATCATTTTTTTTTCTTTACCAAACAGACGAAAAATCTGATTTTGAATAGTTATTAGGTTGATGCATAAGTCTTTTCGTTTTTTTCGTACTTCTGTTAAAAAGTAACAAATTCACCAATTAATCTATAGTTTGCTCTATAAAAAAAAGTGTTTTTTTGTTCAATTTCCACCTTTTTTAAATGAATTTCGGTTGACTTTCAAGCAAATTCGAGAGTGAAAAACGCCTTTTTCGTAAAAATCTATAAAAAACTCTACGGAAAAATTGGCTGAATGAATTTCTCTGAAATTTTGGCGAAATATCAAACGTTTTTTTTCTCTATCTTTTATGTATTGACACGAAGATAGGTTTTCTTTAGCTAAGGTGTCTAAACCGCATCTTTAGCTAAGGTGTCTAAACCGCATCATCGAGTTAGCCCTTTTTGACTACCCGACTTCATACTCTCAAGAAAATCCAGGCATTAAATATTTTTAAACCCGTTTTAATGTTATTTTGCAGAAAAATAATTGGTTTTTCTAATGAAATCAACCGTAGTTTAATTGGTGCATTTGTTGGTTTTAAGCGGAAGTACGAAAAAACGAAAAGACTTATGCATCAACCTAATATTAAACGTTAATTCTTATATTGGGTTGGTGAATTGAAAACTGCAAGACTTTGAACTAAAATTTATTGAAAATAAAACGATCAATTCATTGCAAATAATTTCCATTATTATTGACGACTTCTGCCCATTTTACAGGCAATTTGCGGATTCCTCTTTCGTGGTGGGATCTTGGTTTGTGTGTGAGACAAGTGTGAGACTCAAAAATGGAGGACTGGAGATGTCCCAGTTTGGGCACTTTCTTCAAAAGAAACCCATTTTGGTGTCAATAGAAAAGCTGTAGAGAATCAAAAATTAGGCTTATAGCCAAATTTCCAAAAAGATACACTTAGTAGTTTTGCTTAAAATGCAAGTTTTGTGAAAATTTGGCATTTCTTGAAAACCAGTTTTTGAATCGTTCTGAAAATTTGGAGATAAGCTTGATTTTTGATTCTCTACAACTTTTCCATTGACACCAAAATGGGTTTCTTTTGAAGAAAGTGCTCAAACTGTCACATATGACAATAGCCGGCAGTTTTCAATTCACCAACCCAATATAAACATTGAATTTTAATTTGTTTTCAGAATTTATAAGCGAACTGAAAAGTTTTAAACTTTATAACTTTTCCAGAAAGAAATTTTATTTAATTTCTAGAGTTTTACAGAGAAAACTTCAAGCTTTGAATGAAATTTAATCTCAATTTCTTTTACATTTCAGGTAAATGATCGGCAAACTCATCGTTTACTCGCTAATCGGTTTCGTACTTTATTTTGTTGGTGATGTGCTGTAAGTTTTGAAAAGAATTCATTCAAAATCTTGTTTAATCATCAATAAATTTCAGTTATCGTTTGGATTTGAACAAAAGAGTTTACAATCATCGACCGGGTTTCTGCCAAAAAGTGAAAGGATTAGGTTGGAATTGTTTAAAATCTATTGGGGTGGTGCAAAAGAAATTGCCGATTTGACGGGAAATTAAAAAAAAAAGATGGCGTTCAATGGTGACATGATCACAATGGAATATTTTCGCAAGATTTCGAGCAGATTGGCATGGATCGGCCTGAATAACGTCCCTCAGCTTGGCTTCGTTCACGACTTCTGGCCTCGAACCGTGCTCGTAATCTTCCAAAGTCTCGTCTCCCTCTCGGAATCGTTGAAACCAAGTCTGACACTGCCTGAGAGACAAACTGCCATCTCCGAAAGCAGCATGGAGAGAACGATGCGATTCGGCAGCAGACTTTCCAGTTTTGAAGTTAAACAGTAATGCTGCTCGTAGCACAAACCTTTGCTCGACCATGATCTCGGCAGCAGACTTGGTTCCTTTTCTCTACAAATTTGGTTCCTTTTCTCTTTTGGTTCCTTGCGAGACAACGATGCGATTCGGCAGCAGGCTTTCCAATTTTGAAGTTAAACATTAATGCTGCTCGTAGCACAAACTTTTGCTCGACCATGATCTAAATAAAAAATATAAGCATTTTTAAATAAAATAAACAAGAACCAAAAAATTCAAATGTCGAAATAAATAGCAAACAAATATGCGAACAAAACATAAAAAAAAGTAATGCCGTTAGCCTCGCTCGTTTCTGATAAATGAGTGCTTGAGAGATACCCATCGGCAGTTTCTTTTGCATCACCCTAAGAATTTAAAATCATCTTCATTTAACAATGCCAAACGATAAAACTAAAAAAACTACTTAAAACAGAAAACAATTTCAAGACAAGTTCAGAACTAAAACTAAAGCAAAAGAACTTTAGATCATGGATCAGAACATGTTGAATATGTGGAAAAAGAGAAAATTGCTTTCCTTTCTTCCGGAGTTCAAGCTTTGTTTGAAGAAAATGGACCAAAAGGAGCTGTATGTATTTTGAAATCGAAAAAAGAAATACATTCTCTCCATTTTCAGATTTATCTCTATAACTTCAGTGATACGGATCACAAAGCGATAAAGCTGACAATCGAAAATGAACCGGTACATTCACTTTCATTCACTTTTCCAAAGTCTCAAAGCCTCAAAATTTAGACGGATTTTATCCCTCATGGAATGGGTCACTATTATCTGAATGGAAAGCTTCATTTAATCGTCATCTCTCATACTTCTTTTAAGAAAGGATTTCAACATCGAATCGAGGTTTTTTGCAAAGAAAATTTGAATTTATTTGACACTGCTGGAGTTAGCCAAAGCTCTTGTGAGCCTAGCAAAGTCAAAAACTTTACTTAATTCAGAGCAGAGTTTACTCAATTCTTCAGATTCTCGAGTTTAACAAGGAGAAACAGAGCTTAAGCTATGTGAAAACGATCAAGGACAAGAGTTTTATCAAGTGAGAATTATGAAAAGTGATTTGTGTTCAAAAATCTAAACGTATCCTTTCTGGCGCACGAAATACAATCAGTACAAAAAAATCAACATCATAAAAGCTGTGGCTAAAGATTTGCTAAAGTAAACGGATCCAGGAGTTTTTTTCCTTGACAATGAAACATCAAGAAAAGTGAGAAACTTTGACGAAACTTTGGGAAAAACACAAGTTGATCACGCTGATTCCGAATCTCTAATTGGTTTTTGCCCATGATCATTTTAAAGCTAGTTATAAGGGTTTGAAAAACGAGGTCTACAGATGGGTAGGAAGCAAATGAAAAAGAAAAAAAAATGAGGGTTTTTCACGTTTTCTCAAATATGTCTCAATGGCCTAGTGGATAGGAGCCTGTCGCGGCGCAAATATTTTGCTCTAGTTCGATCTCGCGCGCGATTATTTGGTTTTTACAAAATGATTTCAAAGAGCTAGTCAAAGGGATAGTCGTCGCTTTGCTTTTAAAGAAATTCTCAAATTCGTGTGATGTAACGAAAGCAAATCGAGAGGAGAAAAAGTACATAAAGATTTTTGAGTACAAAGTACATGAAGAATTGAAGTTTAAAAAAGGCAAAAAGGCGTCAATAATCAATTCTTTAGACCAAACGGTCTACACGCAGTTGGGCCAGAGCAATTCTTTTTCACAAACGATGGTTATTATCAAGTTGAATTATTTCATTTAATAAAATCACCAAGTTTAGTCTGAAATTCTTGGCGCTTTCGAAATGCTCTTTAAAATCAAAGGTGGATCAGTTTATTATTATGATGGAAAGGTTAGAGTAATCGAGACATCAAAGACAAGATATCTAGTCTAGGAATCTCATGCTTTGATCTCATCCGAACAAACTCCGAACGGAATCTGGGCTGATGTGAAGAGGAAAGTCTTGTATTATTCCTCGCCGTTAGGAGAATTTATCAAAGTGATCAAGTTGAGCGAGGTGGGTTAGAGATTATCTTTGGGCACTAGAAACTCCAAAAATGATGAATTGTCACACTCAAAACGCTTCGAAATTGCTTTAAATTTGCCGCATTGACATGATCCTTAAAGAATACTTTAAAAAAAATAGAGAATTTCAAGAGCTTTTGAATGGATTAAAGCACATTCAAGAATATCAATTCTATAAAAAGTTACAGTGGTTTGTAGCTTGACTTATGCGAGCACGGTTCGTCCAACTATAAACCATTGTAACTTTTTATAGCATTGATATTCTTAAATGTGCTTTAATCCATTCAAAGGCTCTTGAGATTCTCTAGTTTTAAAGCTATAGAACATGTCAATCCGGCAGGTTTAAAGCAAGTTAGAAGCGTTTGTAGTTTACGTTTGTAGTTTGTAGTGCTCATGTCATAGATAATGTAATTGCTGTTACTGGGAAATGAAAAGGCAATAAAAAGTACGGTACTAGCTTGTAGAGTTTCAAACCGAGGTATGATCTTAAAAAACTGTCCGGATCCGGCCTCGGAATCTCAATGATTCAAATGATTTAAATAAATAAATTGACAAAAGTAGGGTAATAACGACAAAATGGCGATAGAATGTAGCGCTTCATTGATTGATATAACTGCTAATGAATTAAAGCTCTGAATCCGAACCGAATTGGCTAGTGGCTAGAGAGCGAATTACCCTGAAAAAAGCCTGGATCCGAACACCTCTGATTCCAAAATTTAGGACCTAAAATCGGTAAAAGGAGAGCTCGCACACGTGCCTTTGTTGACCTCACCGGACAATTTGTTCATGGATGATGAAGGTTTGTGCTTTAAGACTCGAGAAAGGCTGGCAACACCAGCACATTTACAGTAAACTAGCCTATTACAGTAAACCCTTTTAACAAGGGCTAAACTTGACTTCTTGTAGATCCAAAGGGTTTTTTTCTTGCAGTTTGCCCAGACCAGACTGACCAGGAGCTAGCTTTTCACCGGTTTTCCTCTAGTTTTACTTTTCCCTTAACAATTCTGCTTACTGGTAGGTGCCCTATGGACCGGCGCTCATCCAGTTCTCTACAAAATCGGCGATATCCAGGCTTGCTTTGAAGTAGCTGGCAAACCGAAGCCATCACCACCTCCATCACAGGTGAAATCATTAAGAATTCTAAAAAGGGAATGTAATTGCTGGCAAAATGACATTTGCCACGGGTTATTCGATGCAGAATTCAACGCTGATTCTGATGCTGCTTTCCGTTTCTGCCTTGGAGCACTCTCTCAAAAGTTGAAAGCGTGCAAAGTTTTGTATGTTAATGGAGAACAATTAACTTTGTAAATTCAAGAAAGGAAAAGAGGAAAGTGGAGCGGACTGCCTAGAGGCTTTCTACCTCGTATTCTACTACCACTCGCCCACCAGCGCTTTCTAAGCTCTCTAGGAAATCTGGTTATAAATTTTGGGTTTGATGATGGTGAAATCTTATATAAAACTTTGTAGGCTTATAACTTTTAATAGAGTTCTCCATAGCAGAAACGGAAAGCAGCTTCAGAATCAGCGTTGAATTCTGCGTCGAATAACCCGTGGTAAATGTCATTTGGCCATCATACTCAGTTCAAATTCCTTTGTAAATATCGAAACACTACTCATTATGCCAAATTTCAGGTTCTTCGCCTCAAATTCTCAGAAGATTTTAAAACGCATGAGGTGAGTCGGTACTTTATGAGTAAAAGAGTCAAGATTCATCATCAAAAGCAACTTTTAGCTGACCGAACCTTACACAGATGATGGTCGACAAATCCCGTGTTCATCTCATGTCGTTATTGATGGAAAAGGGAATATGTTAATTGGTAAGTAGCTGAGAGTTTTCCCTTAATATACGATAAAATATACAATAAAATATCCCAAAATGTTTTATCATTAAAAATCATGCCAAAAGTTAGTGCAAAATAGAAAACGGATTGCGGTGAGTGTAAATGCAAATCTTTTTTTGTCATTCAATTGTTTTTGAATACAATAAGATAGAAACTAACTTGAAAGTTATGTTTTTTAAAAAAAGTGATTGCAATCTTGCTTGTGAAACATTTGATACCCGCCCGCCCCTTTTCCCATTAGCACTCTAACTTTGAGCTCCAATTTCTTGATGTTGAGCTGTTCAATTTACATATTCTTAGTATCATTAGATGTGCCCAGTCTTTCTCTATCGTTTGGTACAAAAACTATTTAAATTGAACAGCCCAACACCAAGAAATTTGAGCTCAAAGTTGGATTGCCATTGGGGAAGGGGGCGGGGGCCATTGTGGGCCTTTTATACGCCCTTTTGCCATTGACATTGAACTTTTACCATTGAACAGCTCAACACCAAGAAATTTGAGCTCAAAGTTGGATTGCCAATGGCAAAAGGGGCGGAGCGCGTATAAAAGGTCGCACAATGGCCCCGCCCCCTTTCCCAATGGCAATCCAACTTTGAGCTCAAATTTCTCGGTGTTGGGCTGTTCAATTTCAATAGTTTTTCTACCAAACGATAGAAAAAGACTTGGCGCATCTAATGATACCAAGAATATTTAAATTGAAACAGCCCAACACCAAGAAATTTGATCTCAAAGTTAGATTGCTGATGGAAAAAGGGGTGGAGCTCTTCAAATGTCCGTCAACTTTTTTTCTTTACAGGATCCGTTGGTCTGAACGCTGTCCACTGCAAGTATACCCCGGAAACGATCAACGCGCATTAGGAAATTCTTAAATTTTGATGTCTAGATCAAATAAATATCCAAAAAATTCAAGTTCTTTGTTTTTCTTTGCAATAAATCAATCATTGACCTTTCTTTTTCCCAAAGAATTGTCACGGGGAGCGGAGGAATTTTCCCCTAAACCCTGTCCACTGTAAGTCCACCCCGGAAACGATTATTGCCTATTAGATTAAAGTTTTTTTTAGCATTTCTTCTGGGATTTTTATTGACCATCAATAAGCTTTATTCGGATTAAAAAAGATTGGGATTTTGATAAGATTTATTGAATTGGAGCATGTCGATCGATGACATCGGTTGGGTGAGCTTTTGATGAGTTCCGAGGGATTTTTTCGTAGACAATCATCTAGAAATGCCTTATCAATCATCAGTTAAAGAGTTTTTAACCTTTGCAAATGCTTTAGTTTTTGGGATTTGCAGATTGTGAGAGTCAGAAAATGCCTTGGTTCTACGTAATCTCTATCTTTTGACTTTTCAACAACAATCTGATTTTCAATAGAAACCTGATTGGGTTTTAAACTAAGTCTTGACTTAAATTGCTAAATTCTTAGCTTTGTCTTTCAGTCAAAGAATGTCTTTCAGTCTTTTTGTTATAACTTTCTCTCTAATCGCTGAATAACTTTATAAATTTGGCAGTAAGCTTCTAGGTTTTTCGTTTTCCTTTGAAAATTTCATTTAAATCTACTGATTCTACGCTGATATATTAGAAATTTAAGAAAGGAACAAGACTTAGTTCAAAACTTAATAGCTGGTAATAGCTATTAGGTTTTGATCAGAGCTATCAGAGTCCCAGCAGCTCTAGATCTGATTGCAATGAAGCCAGATCGATCATAACAAGGCTAAAACCCAGATCAGGACCTATCCTTGCTTTGATTTTCCTTCCAGATCGATCATAACAGACAAGGGTGATACCCAGATCAGGACTTGACCTATCCTTGCTTTGATTTTCCTTCTTACTCACATCATCCTCACTCTCCTCATCATTTGTCCTTCTTTGTTCATCTTGATCTCTTGATCTCAAAAACTCTTGATCTTTTTGCATCAAGCGAATCAGTTTTGAGACCAAGTAGAGCTCCAACAGTTTCTCAAGACCAAACTAGAATTTCTTGACTTTTTATAAACAAATCTAAACAATCTAAACAATCTTAACACTTTTGATAAACAAAACTTAACAAATCAAAGTCTCACATAAAGACAAATGTATGCTTGTGGCGAGTCAGTGGCGGGGAATTCGTGAACACATTCGTGAATCAAATCATCTTTCGTCAGAGTTCCTGAACTTTTGAAATTTTGGGAAATTCTAATTCTAATGCTCACCGTTTCTTTCGTTTTTCGCAAAGATCCGGCCAAGTTTGCAGAAAAGTGGAATTGAGATGTAATAGAGGAAAAAGAGAATTGGAGTGAAAACACAGGGGATCTAGATCATTAGAAGATTTCCATTTTGTAGAAATGAATAAAGTTTAAGAATGTTTATTTTCAAAAATCCTACCAATACAATAAAAAGTGGCATTAAGAATTTCCAATTGTCGTTGATGACAGAAATGGCCGCAAAAGCGTTTGCGGTGAGCATTCTGAAAGTATCAAAAGATCAGGAATGTTTTGGTTGGCTTTAGATACTTTTTAGGTATATAAAGACAGCCAAAACGCGTTTGCGGTGGGCATTCGGAAAGTCTCAAAAGAACAGGAATGTTTTCGCTGGCTTTAGATACTTTTTAGGTATAAAGACAGCCAAAACGCGTTTGCGGTGAGCATTCTGAAAGTCTCAAAAGATCAGGAATGTTTTCGCTGGCTTTAGATACTTTTTAGGTATATAAAGACAGCCAAAACGCGTTTGCGGTGGGCATTCGGAAAGTCTCCAAAGATCAGGAATGTTTTTTCTGGCTTTAGATACTTTTTAATAGAAGGATTATGAGATTTTCGTTAGCCAGGGTTAGAAAGCTATGTTCTACATTGAATGACATCATATTTATTTCAATTAGAGAAATCCTGACCAAGCTACAAGCAATCTCAAAGCAATTTCTCTCTAGAAACTACTCCTAATCCTAAACTACTCCTAATAAGCTGTTTTAAATGTCTTATATTTAGTTTGGCTTAGAATTCGATCTAGTTATGCCTAATGTTTTTAAATTTTTAAAAAACCGAAACTGGCGGCACGAGCGGGGGTCGAACTTGGGTCGTATGAGCTAGAGACAAAGGCACTCGCACTGCGCCAGAGCATGTCCGAGTGGTTAACCCGGATTAACCCGGGCGTCTCTCAAACGAACGGAGGAGAAAGGTCGCGGGTTCGACTCCTCTCAGCGCCAATTTTTTCCTTTTTTTTCCAAAAACCTTTTTTTGCTGGTATAGTAGATACTTTTTGTGTGCATATCGACAATGGCAGCATTCTCAAAAGCGTTGTGAATCGAGAACAAATGTCCGTCCAGTGATTGGCAACTTTTGCGCGTTATGCCACACCGATTTGGCTATTATCGATGGAATCAAAAATGGTATAGCTAGTTAATACAGTAAAATTGATATATAAAGAGACTAAGACGTCTGTATGTCTGTCTGTCTGTCTGTTTGTCTGCCTGCCTGTCTGTCTGTCCATCTATCTGTCTGTCTGTCTGTTTGTCTGCCTGTCTGTCTGTCTGCTTGTCTGTCTGTCTGTCTGTCTGTTTGTCTATCTGTCTGTCTGTCTGTCTGTCTGTTTGTCTGTCTATCTTTTCTCATTCCTCCGCTCCCAGTGAACCATTTCAAATAGCTTTTAGTGGGTTGAACTTTGAATTATATCTAGTTGTGCACATGTTTTTAAATTTTTAAAAAAGAAGCTGGTGACGCGAGCGGGGGTCAAACTTGGGTCCTATGGGCTAGAGACAAGGGCACTCGCACTACACCAGAGCATGACCGAGTGTTTAACCCGGGCGTCTCTCAAACGAATGGAAGAGAGAGGTCGCGGGTTCGACTCCCCTCGGCGCCAATTTTTTCCTTTTTCCTCCAAAAACATTCTTTTATATTACCAGTATTAAATCTAGCTTTTTCTTGATTTTCCAAACTCACATTGCTCCAAAAGTTAAATAATTCGTCGAGTTGAGCGGCGCCATCTCATAAACGGCAAAGAAAAGAGCGATATTCGCCATGATCATCAATAACAATGAGGCCTGAAAAATAGGTATTAATCTTAAATTTCAAAAAAACACAAGTTTAGCCGTTTTGATAGCAAATTTTAGCTTTTAAAAAGCAAATTTTCCCAACCCTGAGCCTCATTTTCACGAGATTTTTAGCAGAATTTGTATGGTAGATCTAAAGAAGTGAATGGAAATGATTTTTAAGATGATGATTTTTAATTTATAATCAATTCCAAACCTTTAATATCATGTGTTTAACTGGCGGCTTTACATAGACGAATTTTGTCTCTGATTCGTTCATTTTTGTGCTAAATTTGATGATTTATCTTAAAAGAAAAGGAAAAATAATATGAAAACTTCAAGAAAAACTATCAAAATAGAGTTATTTCAGATGAAATATTGAAAAATTAGTTAAAAGGAAGAAGTTTGTTATGTTCTTTGCGCTCTGGTAAACGCACGCTTTCTGCCACTCAATCTAGTGTGTTAAAAAGCGAGCGTTTACAAGCAGCTCAAAGAGGAAAACAGATTTCGTAAAGAAGTGTATTTTAAGTTGCCGAATTTCACGCTTTCTGGTACTTTCAGAAAGCTCAGATTCAGAAAGCGAGCGTTTAGTGGTGAGCAAAAAAAGCAAGCGGTTTTTCATTGCTTTAAGCTTTCCATTGCTCTAAGCTTTCCATTGCTCTAAGCTTTCCATTGCTCTAAGCTTTCCATTGCTCTAAGCTTTCCATTGCTCTAAGCTTTCCATTGCTTTAAGCTTTCCATTGCTTTAAGCTTTCCATTGCTCTAAGCTTTCCATTGCTCTAAGCTTTCCATTGCTCTAAGCTTTCCATTGCTCTAAGCTTTCCATTGCTTTAAGCTTTCCATTGCTTTAAGCTTTCCATTGCTTTAAGCTTTCCATTGCTCTAAGCTTTCCATTGCTTTAAAATCTCCATTACAGTATGCTTGAGAAGTAAATAAGCTTTAAAAAAAGTGAAATGAAAGAAGTGAATCAAAAATTCAAAAATTCTCCGTTCTTTAACTGAAATCGATTCCTCTTTCCGATTTCTCTTCCCGATTTCCCAATGAATTCTTCATTTTGTTTCAGAATATCGAAAACCAATACATTTTTCTCTCTTTTCTGCTATTTCTCTCATCTTTTCGGCACAAAAACAGTGAATAAGAATTAAGTGGGCAAAAAAATAAGAAAATCGTACAGAAAATGGGAAAAGTTTCTATAAAATAGCTTTAAAAAATGAAAAAAAAGCTGAAATTAGTATAAAAATCATAAAAATTACCATTTAAAACAGGATTCTCCGTCTAAAAATCAAAGTTTGCATGCAAATTACCATTCAAAACATCATTTACCGGTTAAAAATCAAAATTCGCATATAAATTAACATTTAAAACAACATTCACCATCGAAAAATCAAAATTTGCATACAAATTACCATTCAAAACATTCCCCACCGTCTAGAAATCAAAATTTGCATATAAATTAACATTTAAAACATTCCCCACCGTTTAAAAACCATAATTGAATACAAATTACCATTTAAAACACCGTTTCCATTCTTTTTCAAAAACCTATGACTCCTCTCCACTTAATAGCGCGCCCTGGCTACCGTACCCTCACCGCCGTCAATCAATCCGCGTATATAAGGCCATTTCGTCCATTTTCCCTTTAATGACGTGGAGTTAGGACCTTGCTTTTTCTTTATAAGTCCCAAAAAATTGGCAACCGAATATCACTCCAATACAATTAGAATTAAAATTAGAAAAACAACAAAATAAACTTATAAAATAAAGTGATTCCATTTCGGGTAATTAAAATGAAAAAAAAAATGGACGAAATGGTCTTATATACGCACAACGCGCAACGGCCTTATATACGCACAACGA